AATTGTAAGAAAATAGCCTTAGAGTTGTCTGAAAACAGTACAAAAATCGGTCGAAAGAGCATAAAAACAGTACAAAAACAGGATGGAAATACCATTTAAATTCATGAAATAAAATGACTACATAACCGTCGAAAATTACCCTGAAAAAGCAAGATTTACCTTCACGAGAATTATCTCTTAGCCGATGACTTTACGTTGATTTCCCTACGTATTCTCGGGAAATTCTTATGGAATTTTTCAGAAATGCTGAAATCAATCTTTAGCCTGTGTACAGACCCCCTCCCCTCAATAAACATCGGAGGGGAGGGGTCTGTACACAGGCTATCAATCTTCGGCTTCAAAAGGGGTTTGCGTTACTGACGTTACCGGTAAGTAATAATCTACATACATGTAACTTACATTATTTATTATATTCACGGCTTTACTCAAGTATTATCAGAAGCTTGCAGGCTACGCCTGAACATTAATTATTGGCTGATAAAGAACAACATAAGAATAACACCATCAAATTTACGCGAGAATGAAAGAGCGTGACATCAAGTGACTGAGATCATTCATGCAACACAGCCAGGATGAGCATGGAACCCTGTAAAAACTAAAATTGCCGTACAGGCGGGAGTATATAAATGTTTACTACCCTTCATTTGTTTCTCATATGGCGTATACTTAAGCGTCTTAGTAACATGTTATAATACTCACGTGAGAGAAGACTCTTGGATTAACCCATAAGACAGCGTGCTTCGAATAGAACCTGAACCAGAACCTTTCAAAGTACACAGCAGTCGCTGAGGAGTCATACCCATTTTTGATTCGTGATAAAAGCAACATCTACGTGTTCAGACAATCCGCAGAGTTGAAATGTACTTTTGTAAGATCGTAACAAACAGTAAAATCAAGCGCACCCGCAATCACAGTAACCGCCGGTTCAATAATTTGAAATGAGCAAAGGACAAAGGACGGTTTGTTTATCACGTGCATTTGTCACATCACCACTGCGCGAAGTCGTGATTTCAGTCGCGCGTGACATCTCAGAAATAATATGCTATGCATGTACGGAATAATCTATGAGAGAAAGACAACCATAATGTCGGAGTTATTCAGATCTGAGCTTTGTTTCTTGATGCAATATATACGAGGTGAGATCTTATAGCTTGGATAATTTATTTATAATGTAATTTCAAGGGCTTATTTTAGATAAACCTCTGTTGACCGCGTGCATCCGGTTCTCGGCCCGCGGCCTCGGCTGTTTGTGAAAAATTTCCATTAAAATGAGGTTTTAAGAGGTTTCTTTTAAAAAACTTATGGAATGCCGTAACTGCATTAATTGAATCACGGCTAAAATCTACGAGGAGATTTTCGCAGAGAGCTTGCAGGTAATGAACATTGAGGAACGGATTGATCTCTTATCGGCACACTGTCACAGTTACGTGTTGTCAGTCAAAGCTAAAATCTAGTCCTAACTTTCTTTTCTTTTTTTATTTAATGTAGATTTAATTTTTCGTTCAGCTTCGAACCTTGTTGAGAAGAGAATCCGGTCTACAATATGTGACAGCTTGTTTTGAGTCATTTATGAGTTCGTGACACTATGAAGGCTTAAAAATTAACTTTGTGCAATTGTTACTTTTATAGTCTGAGTATCCCAAAGTACATTACAATATCGCACCTCAGTAATAATAAGTAATAAGTACTTTAAAGTATTTAAAGTAAGGTCAGCATTTGATGTCTTTAAGAAGACTTAAAATAGTTTATGTATATCTGTTTTTATAGTCAGAGTGTTGTGTGCCCAAACTACAATTCAAATATACCTCAAAACAGTGTTTAAGTACCCTATTTAAAAGTATTTAAAATGCGGTCAGTTCTTAAGGTTTTAAAACATATTTCAAATAGTCTATTTGAACTCTGTTTGTAACTTTTTGAGTGGATGAGTCTCAAAATACATTTTAGATACAACTCAAAACAGTGTTAAAGTACCCTATTTAAAAGGATTTAAAATACGGTCAGCATTTAGGCTCTTAAAACATATTTCAAATAGTCTATTTGAACTATCTTTGTAACTTTGTGAGTGGATGCGTCTCAAACTACATTTTAGATACAACTCAAAACAGTGTTAAAGTACCCTATTTAAAAGTTTTTAAATACAGTCAGCATAAAAGCCGTTAAAACAGATTTCAAATAGTCTACTTGAACTCTGTTTGTAACAGTGTTAGTGGTTCTATGCCCAAAATACATTTTACGTACCCTATTTTAATCATATTTATTAAACAAAATACATTGTGAATTGATGAGAGAGGTTTTCGTTTTCATGAAATACAATTTAACTACACTCAAGATATATTTCAAACATGGGCGAAAATTTAAATTTCTTTGTCAAACAGGATTAAAATACAGTAAAATAGTGTTCAAATACTGAAAATACATTTTAAATACTTTAAAATCAGTTTCAAAATACATATGGTTTGGTAAGGGTGCTAAATGCCACTGCTCTGGAATTTCGTGATTGAGTTTCGTTATTGTTGAAGATTATCACCTCTGTATTTATAGTAACTTTGAAGGCTTGAGAAACATTCCATTTCGAAATTCATTTGTTTTAAACTGCTTGGGCACTGTAACATATTCACTTTCTCCTTAGTTTTTTCTTTTTTTATATTTCATGACTTTCTTTGTGTGTTGGTTACTTCATAGATAATGTTTACATTTCTTTAGCATTTTATTTTTGGCATGTGTTTTGGCATACGGTATTTAGCATTTGTTTTTTGGCATCTACTTTTTGGCATACATTGTCTGTTTTAAAAAGCATTTCGTCAGCATTTCTATAGTAACTTGTTGGCATCTCTATAGCACTCACGCATTTAAGGGAGTTAGATCCTTGCCCAAAGCTGCACTTGTTCTGACCTTAGGAATTCAAACCCGACACAGTGTAAGTATCCGATTGCATGTGCACCTGAATATTCTAGAACCTTGTTATCAGTGCAGCATTTCTTTTAATAACGCAAAGATCACCTTAAGCTTATTAACTCTTTTTAGTTGTAAAATAATTTGCTTTCTCATGTAAACATCAACGCCGCTTTTCAATTCGCGGACCGTTTTTTGCTGCTAAGGCTCTTTGGTCACTCTTTGGCTTATTTGCTTTTCGCTGAAGGAAATCACATCGTCAGGCTTCGATAGCTCTTTCACACTCTGTCGATCGCATCTTCTCCATATCAAGTAACATCGCGGAACAAATGCGCACAATTCGTCCAAATATAAAACAGTGATCCGCGCTCAATTATTTCAACGTCCTTTTAACAATTCCAAGTCCATTTCTTACATATGATATTCTCAGTTTTCATTAGAATATTTCCATTTATACAAAACCCATCTTCGGCTGGCTACTCTTTTGTGTCGGGAAAAAAATGTACGCCTTACTAGTACCCTCTAGAATATGCCAAACATATGCGTAAAAGGCACTTTGAACAAAAGTAATGCTAAGCAAGGGAGGTAAGAGTAAAGTGTATAATTTGACTTTGATGAATAAATTAATAAGAATCGAGTGAATGAGTGTGTAAGTGGGTGAGTGAGTGAGTGAGTGAGTGAGTGGTCGAGTGCCATTCGAGTGTCTCCAAAAGCCCATGGCATGACTACGTCATCCATGAGCTAAAAAACCTCTGTAGTTTTAACAAACCGTCGACGTCTAGAAAGGCAACCTCGTTCCCAGGATTCTCTCCAACGGAGAGACAACCTGGGAACGAATTGAGCCTGTCAACACTTAACTGAACGAGGTTAGTGGGAAAGGAATGTGTGACAGCGGGGAGAATTGGGTGACCCCAGCCCGAGCGTCTGCGAGGAAGACTATCGTCTCCCGCCAAAAGTCTCAGGTTTCTTTCTTTCTTTTTTTTTTTTGAACGGCAGTTCCCGGCCATGAACCTATTAATTTTACTTTTTGTTTGTTTTGAACGGCAGTTCCCGGCCATGGACATATTAATTTTACTTTTTCCGTTTTAAAAGGCAGTTCCCGGCCATGAACATACTAGTTTTACTTTTCCTGTTTTGAATGGCAGTTCCCGGCCGCGAACATAATAATTTTACTTTTTCTGTTTTGAATGGCTGTTCCCGGCCGTGAACAAATTAGTTTCACTTCTGCTTCTATTTCACTTTTATTTTTATTTTCATTTCATAATAAAAATGTTTTGTTTTGTTTTGAAAATTAACAAAATGAATCTATTTCCAGTTCAATGAAAAACAAAATAATTTGACGTTTTACTTTCGCTTTATTTTCAATTCAAAATAATTAAAGTTCAATCTAAAATTAACAAATTTATGTCGTTTTGACAGATGGCAGTTGTCGGCCACCATAGTTATGAAAAAGAACTTGTCAGTGAATTGGTTTATTTCTAGCCTGCGAACAAGTGCCGGGGGGTGGTGGCGGACAGAGCCAGGTGACTATTCTTTTTTTCAGGCGGGAGCTAGCAGTACGTGCATTCTGGTCTAACTCCATACTGTGTAGACTGGACAATTCGTCAACAGCAGGTTAAGGTCTCGCCAGAAGATGCCCTTGCTGCAGAGGAGCAAAGCAATACTACTTTCAGTAATTTAAACATGTTAAATACTTGTATTTCGCTCATCAAATGTGTCCATTGTCCATTGTCGATTTGTGGTTTACAGGAATGTTCTTTTGCGGAGCATTGGCCAATTTTCTTTAAACAGTTTTACTCGTTTCCATTCCCCTGCTCTACCTTCATGTTGCATATGGCGTACGTGTGTACCTAAATCCCTCAATCCACACTGAGGTGATCGATAAAGAAGTCTACACGCTAAGCGGGGTTAAGATTAGTTTATTACAAGCAAAGGCTCAGAAGGCTAAGTGCAAATAAAAGAAATCTAGTGTGAAAAGTTTTGCAGACTCGACTTACTCTATTTGTTTTCTCTCTCTATTTGAGTTTCGGCTGGTGACATCCTAAAATCAAGTTTAGTTCCACGTGTTTTGGGAATATAAAATACAAAACTAAAAAAACAGTGTTAATTGTCATTTTATTTTTTTCTTGTACACTCGTGCGATGATTTATCCTTTTCTGTACAGTTGCGTGACCAGACTCAAATTACACACGGGCTTTCATCACGCATCACAGGGTTTAGTCCGAGGCTAAACGACGGAAGACTTCAGTAAACTGCGGCCACTTGCGATTGAAACGACTGTGGTAAGTAATTCTTAGAGATCTCGAATCCCATTTAGAGCTAGCACGCCGTTTCTAGCGGCTTCATTTTAGGTGCAGAAACTCGAGGTCAATATTTACACTCCATGAGAACTTAACAGCGTTGTCTTTTTCAGCGTGCAATCAAATGCAGTGTTAATCTACTTAGCTCTTTTTTGTAACCATCAAATTGAAAAGCCTTTTTCAAAAGATTTTAAGAACTTTCCGTAATGTGCCCCTTGCAAAAGAAGCTAAGTTAGCAAAAACTTTTGTGTACCCACACTCGCGGCTAGCTTGTTTTCAGCGTTCCAACGAGAGAAAATACGCTGCACGTTTCGGTGTCTCAGCGACGCAATTTTGTAATGCCGCCAAAAATTTTTTAACACAAGAAACGGCAAAGGATGTGCTTTAAAATAGTGTTTGTTCATGTTGAAATTCCGTGTATCAATTCTTTTTTTCGATGGTGAAGTTAGGTCAAATTTGCCATTTTTGAAAACAGGCGAAATCGTGTTTCTTCTTGCGGCCAACACAGTCACATTTAAACAGCTTATCTAAAGATAATTGCAGAATTATAAAGAACAAGTCGGTGTTTTCCTTGTGACTTGATTTCATTTAGAGATATCGTCCCGTTTTTATGTACGAGCGCGAAGAAAATGATTAATTTTCGCTAATTTCATACTCGAAAGAGCGCCGATTTGGTGTTTTTCATACTTTGCCCGATTCAGGAAAAAATAAAAAGCCTTTACAAGTTTTAATGTGATTTTTGAAATAAGCGTATTATAGAGATTATGTGGGCAAAATATGAAGAAATTCAAAAATTCACGACTGTCAACCGATTCTCGAAAATTACAGACATTGGGAGTCTTAAAAATAACAACAAAATGTTTAACTCATTTCGTAAAATTTCATAAAATCATTTCACCTATCCCTCGCCTATCTCTCCCCTAAGCTAACACATTCTGTCTTGCATGCAATGACTCGCTTTTTCAATCGAAACGCGGATACTTACGATAAAGCACTTTCGCACTGTAAAGTATAATTTACTTATCCAAACCATTGGAGGATGATTTCTAGTTAAATGGTTCATTTCCTTGGCTTATAGACGGTTCGGGCTACGTGGGAGGAGCTGCATCACAATGTTTGTGTGCTATTCGTTCTCTGGCACCTTTGTGTTGAACGCCAAACTTGTTTAACAGCAAAACACTTATATTTTGGAGAAACTCTAAACTTCTTTTTGGGATCCAATATGGTGTAAAACGTTTAAAGAAAACAAATCTTGATTGTAAGTGCAACGGACTTGAGCATTTTTATCATTATTATTATTTAAAGCGCGCGCGAGGCAAGCGCGAGCTTTAAGTAGAGCTTACAAACATTAGCCCCATGAGTGCAGTATAAGCCCAGTGTATTTTTTTAGGTAGAGCTTACATACATATCAGAGTGTGTCCAACAGAGAAATGCCGAATCCAGCAAAAGTAGTCCTGGTCATCATTTTCCTGCTGTTTTCACCTCAGTCAATGACAAATGCCTTTCTCAGGTAAATAATATATTAATTACAATCCTACAGGTATGGATTCATCAAGCCTTCCAAAACTAAGATATACAACAACAACAGCTTATCCTTTACTCACATTAAATAGATTCGTTTAGTAGTGTAAAGAATACAAATAAACGAGAAAGGAAAAAGAACTTCATGTGAATCCGAAGTTAGCATAGCTGTAGTTGAGGCAGAATGGAAGTTTAGGTATGTGATTTTTTGTAGAGAATATTGAATTTATAATGACAACCATTTTTACTGAGGAATTTTGTAACCTGTATAGTCTAACTATCGACTGTGGCAAAGGAGCCCGATTATATAGCAGATGAATTCAACGTAATCATCCCTATCCAAAAGAGTCTCCGATAAGTGTGGCCCCTGTTCTCGAAATGAGCGTCTGCCGCCCCTCCCGAATCATAATAACCCAACTTAACTCAACGTTAACTGGACTCAGCTTTATCAAAGCAATATTTGCTGTGTTCTCCCCCCCAAAAAAGCATCAACAAGAAAATGATCTGCAACGAGCATTAGCTAATCTAGGCGGAACAGTCAGTCATACCAATACAAAACATTGCAACATTACAGTTCAATTAGCCTGAGAAAACAGCCCACATTTGGCGACACTACCACTGTTTGCCCGCCAAATGACGTCTGGGAAACGAGAGCAGAAATTCCATACTGATGAAGTGTCACTACCCAGATCTGGGTAGTGCTTCTGATTGGTCGTGCCCCGTGGGAAATTTGATTCAGCCAATCAGAGCTCGAGGCACTACCCAGATCTGTGTAGTGATGCTTCATCAGTACGGAAATTCTACGCTCGTCTCTCAGACGTCATTTGGCGGGGAAACCAGAGGTAGCGTCGCCAAATGTCGGGCTTCAGTTAAATTCAATATAATTATCATCAGCTTGATTGCAAGCCGCAAAGTTCTATTAGTTTTTAGTGCTGTAGAAATTTAAGAAATGTCGATTCAGTCATCATGCCTCTCTAGAATCTCAACCAGGAAAAAGTGGAGTTTCGTTTTTCAAAAAGTGCTTTTTCACAGTGTTTCGGTAGCTTTCTTAATGTTTCTTGTATGACGTCAATGGTTACTTCCTACCACTTTTTACATCGTTGTCCGATTTGAGTCGACCCTGTTGTCGAGATCTAAAACTTTCTAACCAGCTTTACCAAGGGTCTTCACTCCAAAAATATACTAGGTGAAAAGGTCTGAAAACTATAGTAAGCATCAAATATGCTGGAACCGCTAGTGAAACAATCAACATGGGATGAGGCAGCTTCATCTGATAATGTTTAATGACCATTCTCCCCCGGTTTTACTAGAAAGTTCCTTGTCGTGTAAAGGCTGGGCTTAAAGAGTTCACAGTTAAAACGGATTTCCAACATACTCAAATTTGGGACATAAAATTTCATGCATCCATGCCTCTTGAACTTTTAACGCAGGATTGGCTGAGGCAATATGGTGCGATAAATCAAGTCAATTATCAAATACTTAAGTATTTTCTCCCTCTATGGGGCTTTTCAGGGGTAATGAAGCAAATATTCAAATGGTACATAACAAGGTTAAGAATCCCAACTGGTAGGAGGCGAATTAAATGGCTATTTTACTAGCGTGGCCGAGGATTTGAACGCGGGACTACCGAGAACCAGTCCAGCTAGCGATAAGGGCAGGACTTGAACTCGGCCCTCCGAAATACAAGTCCATCGCGGCCTCGTTTTCTAATCAAGAAAAGAAGGGCGAGCAAATTTGAAAGAAAGGTTGGGAGGTAAGGTAATGGCGTCGAGAAAAATTTTGTTTTATGGTCATGCAGAAAGTTTGTTTGCAAGAGGTAAAGACCAAATTGAATTTTATAAAATGTACTTAGCAGCACTGTCTCTTCATTAATAGAACAAAGTCAATGTTCTTAATTTCTGATGTTTTTAAGTCCTATTTAATATTTACTTCTTTTCATTATAGCGATAACTCAACGCAACTCATGGACGATATTTCAGCTGTCATTACGAGAATAGCAAAGGATGAAACACACAGGTTTATTCGGCCAAATGCAAGAGGTATAGAAGACAATAAGGAATGACAGAAATAAAGCACGAGAAGTTACAGATTTCAACAGGATCAGACATTTTCCATTCTGACGACTAACAAGGTCCCCTTTGATCTGAGTTTTACCTTGTTTTTGATAGGGCCGCCAATAGAAGTCCAAGCTGAAGTGCAAATAGTTTACATTGGAGGCTTTAAAGAAGTTGATATGGTTTGCAATTATTTATTTTACAACAACTGCATTATATCTCACGCGCTGATTGGCTAATTTTTATTATCAATTTAACAAATAAATTCCATGTTGCCGTTCGTCTGTTCAGTAATAGAGCACAAATGGGGTCAAAATGTGGTAAAAACAAAGTGGCACACGAGCCGCAGGCGAGTGTGTCACACATACCTGCCTCCTACCGCTTGACTGTTCGAGGATTTGTGCTAGTTTAGGCATTTTTAAAGTCCCAAACGCTACCTTTCGTCTCTACTTTTTCTTTTTTTCTTTGTCTTACTTGTATACAGTTTCTTCGAAAAATTTTTCAACGTCTTTTCTTGCTCAAAGCATAATAATGGCGAAATCATTTTGCAAAACAGCGAGTCTCTCGTCAGCCGACACACGATGGCAACTGTTGTGAAGATTTCTTGTGGTTTCTTAGGCATTCAAGTAGTCGAGCTATTTTGTCTCCGTTTCTCCATTTTTATTCTCCTGCTAAACTTTATTGGAGGCTTTCACTTGCTTTAATCCGAAAAAATCTCAGAAACTTTTTCAAAACCGCGCTCCATATGTTAAACAAAAGAAAGAAAACAAGTTTCCCGTGACGTCATCTATGTATCCGGGCTCAGTTGTTCGAAGGCCGATTAGCGCTTAACCCAGGGTTAAATTTAACCCGGGCTTCTTTTTCTTTTTTTCAAAAGCATTTTCTCGGATAATTTCACTGGTGTTTTTAAGAGCATCCAATCATCAGCTTGTTGATAAAAAGAATTAAACTGAATTTACTTTTTAAGCTTTTTAACCTGCGAGAGCGTTCGGTTTTTTCGGCTCAACTAGAAACGACAGAAACTTGAGCCGAAAAAACCGGATGCTCTCGCAGGCTATCCCATTAATAATTTACTGACAGACATGTTTCCTCGATGGGCAAGTATCGCCGACAAGTAGATTTTCTCGTTTTCACTGGGAACTGAACTGAGATTGCCAATGTTTCCTTGGCAGACTTTTACTTTGGAACTGTTCTTTCGTCAGTACTGGCGTGATGACAGGTTATCTCATAATGTGCCTGAGAGGCAGATAACGTTACCTGGTGACACCGCTGACAGACTGTGGCAGCCTGACACATTCTTTCTAAACACGAAAAAGGGAGAGCTGCACAAAATGACTACCTTAAACAAAGTGATGGTAATTCAAGCCGATGGTAGTGTCTTTGTCGGCACAAGGTAAAAAAAAGAACAGTTTTTCTTAATGCCTTATTACGTATCGCCAGGCGATTACTTAAGTATGGGCATAACTGAGGCTTTTTATTTTACCAGTCTTAACGACAATCATCGACAGTCATCAGTCATCTTAAAACCTTGTGAAATTTGTTCTAAAATTGTTCTTGGATCGTCATGACTTTCGACTTATTTTATTCATAATATTTAGAATCACTCTGACGTGTGTATGTGCAATGGACTTTCGCAAGTTCCCCATGGATCGACAAGTGTGTGAATTGAACTTCTTAAGTTGTAAGTTCCGAAAAAAATATACATATTAATGAAATAAAAGCGCTGATGCCAGGTGACTGTTTATGTGTTAGTTTTTATACCTGCTAAAAAAATGTCGAATTGCTGTATTTTCTCTATCTTGGCAGCTGTTTATCTTGCCCTTGTGCCTAGATTTTATTTTATATTCCAAACAATAACTAACGGGATTGTTTAAATCATTCTATTTTAGACCCCGTTATTAATTTTGGAATGGTCTTGAACTTTATTATTTACTAGGCTTCATTCTAATACACTCCATTAGTAAGGAATAAGCATTTAATTTATTATCCCTTTTGTTTACATTTTATTCACTGAAAAATGTTTCTTGTTCTTTTAGTCATACCATTAATTGTTTTCTCTTGACTCTTTTGCTTTGCAGACTCTTTTACCACTGATGATATTGTTTACGAGTGGAAGGAGAAAAATAAAACTTTGTCAGAAAGTGTCGAGATTGCTCAATTTACACTGAAACCAGTCAGCACTCATCAGGACGTCAGCAGCTACGTACTTGGTACTCTATGTGTTGATGTGTCGGGGATGTGGTCTTGAGACAGCCACCTGATCTATTCCCGGAGTAGTCAATCGACAAAAATCGGCAACGATAAAAATCGATAGCAATCAAGTGATTTTTATCGATTGACAATGGAAATCGGTGAAAATAGATAAACTAAATTGCTCTGTCAATTGCAAATCGATATTATCGATTTTTCATGATTTTAACGGTACATGACGGAAGTCCGCCATTGTTGATTTTTGGCATAAGTTAGCATCCACGAGTAACAACTGATCAGCAAACGCGAAAATGAGAAATATGGAAACTATTGCACACACAACTTTCTCTCTAAAACTCTTCGTTTTGTACATAATAACAAAAACGGTTCGGCTTTATAATTACATTCAGTTCTCGCAGGAAAGTATCACGAGAAATACAAGTAAAGACTCCCTAGTCTGAATTTCAGACATCCACTCGAGTCGAAGGATTTACCGATTTTTATCGATTTATCGATTGATAAATCGATACGATTTTTATCAATTGATTACTCCGAGTCCATTGAGATTATCGGTTGGCATTTTCCTTAAATAAAGAATAAAAGCGAGAGATTTTATTCTGGATTTTACATACAAGAGAGTCGACATGCTGTTTGTAAACAGACTTCTCCTTTAATAGCTCCCTATCACACTTTGTCACTAAAGCTCCTTTCTTTTGAATTTGCCAGTGTTTCTTATCAAATGCTTGCATATTTTTAAATGTTTCTTTCTCTTTTCTTAGGTAATTACTCTGTTCTTGGCCTTAGATTTGTGTTCACTCGACGCATTGGCCATTACCTGACAAGGGTTTACATTCCAGCCATTCTCATCGCGTGTATGTCTTGGCTTTCATTCTTCATTGATCGGAAGTCAGTTCCAGCTCGTGTTGCACTAAGCATAATGACTGTTCTCACAATTACTACACTGTTAATCGGTGTTGGTCAGGGATCTTTGCCTGTGGTATCGTATGTGAAGGCAGTGGACTGGTACCTAATTTTTTGCTATATTTTTGTGTTCGGTGCATTTGCAGAATATGCAATTGTAAACAGCATAGAAAGAGGACACAAATCTACAGAACATCGAGTGGTGAGAATTAGTATGGATGCATTTGTATATACTCCGTGGAAATAAAAATGTGATTAAGTGGTCTACTTATACTGTCAACCATACATACAAATTTTGTTACAAAATTGGCGAGTAAAATATCCGAGTATCGTAAATCTTTTTGTTTCCACTTGTCAATAGTTATTCTACGGCTTTGAGTTTTACACTTTCCTCAATGATTGTTAAAAGGAAGTAAAACCGAGTCAGCGCGTAACGATTGACAATTGTTTCCACGGTCGCTTGTTTCGCTTTTTCTACTGTCTTAGAAAAAAGACGCGAGTATCAGATTTGTAGCTAGAGTAACAATTACGCAACCCATCGAACTCATCGAACCCATCGATCAAGATTAGCTGCCGCCAAATATTTGGAGACTTACCACCGTCCACCGTACTGAGAATAGACCTATTCGGCTAGCTCGGTGCTGTACCCAATTCAACCCTTTGGGAATAAAACGTTTTGTTTCAAAGATTTCCATATCATTTAAATGTGAATGCCACATTATAAAGCAAGTACAACACACAACTAATCTTAACCCCGGAAGATTTGAATTGGGTACAACACTGAGTTAGCCGAATGGGTCTTTTTGTCAGTACTTTTACTTTTCTGGGTAAATTCTACCTCTTTTGTGCAGTTTAGGAATAAATCAAATTTTAACTCTTAAGAATAAAAATTAGCGAAAAGAGTTTTCACACAACGTTTCGATGTCACCATGACATCATTATCAAGTGACAAGATAAAAACTAAGATATATTAAGTCAGATTTTAGTTTTTTCTTTTAATAATGATGTCATGGCGACAACGAAACGTTGTGTTCAATTCTTTTTGGTAATTCTTATTCTTAAGTGCTGAGGCAGTTTCCAGAAAATAATTGTTTCTATAGCGACAGCACAACCCGTGGGGCTCATCTGCTATTTTACCTTAAAGCTGTTATAAGTCTTAAGATGTCAAATAATTGCGGTGCATTCAAATATGTTAACCTCTCACGTGTTTGACTGCAGAGTGTTACTGAGTCTATTGGCAGTATTAAATAGTAAGTGGAAGAGCTGCCCTAAACTCTCTGGCTCTTTTGGGCCACCATTAATACGGTGATTCCAATTTAAAGGGTGTTTTTCCCCCTTGGTTCATGAACATATAATAGTCCCTAGGTAATACGAAGAAAATTGAGGGTGAATACTAGTTTCCATAAAAAAAAAGCTTTATAAACTTTATGAATTTCATCTGCCCTTTTTCTGAGTTCCAGTAAAAAGCCATTCAAAACTAATTTTCAGTTGGAAGCATCAACCTTTGTAAATGTTAGTTACTGAAATCTTGCCATGATGCTCTGACCATATGCGCAGTAGCAAAATTTGAGGACCATGGGTACCATCCTTAAAATCAGATTCATCTTAATTTAATGACATCTAATTGAGCTGTTTGTATTTCTTTGCTTGAATAAGTGTGGTGAATTAACGCTCGGACGTACAGGGGGGTGAATGACGACCACCACCCTCCCCTCCATCATTAGGTTTTTCTGAGTTTTTTTTTTTTCCTAGAAGATAAAACATCAGTACCTGACGTTTTCAGTAGCTGTATGTTCTTTCATCCCTCGCAGACATTTTGAGACAAGTTTAGTGATGGCCAGTTGCTATGGTTACGAGATATGACGTCATAAGTAGCAGGTGGTCAGGCCAATTTTGGGTGAAACTGCATGTTTTTTCAACTTCTTTCAAGAATAAAAGTAAATTTTGTGGCTAAAATCATGCAAAGTGCTTATTCATGTGTTATTTTTCATGTACAGCACAAAAAAATTACCATTTTTTGCAGTTTTAACCTGATTTCTAGTTCTTGGTAAAATCCAAGATGGCGACCATTGTTGGTGACGTCACAGGCCTCCAGCAGCGCCACCACCCCTAAAATATAGCTTATCTTGTTAAGAAGATCACAGGCTTTCCACTAAAGGTAAAATCGTTTCAAAATACTGCAAGATATCAAAAACTACCGGGAGGGGTTCCATCCACCCGCCATGTACCACGGTGCGTGTACGTCCGAGTGTTAAATGGGAAGAAACACTTATATAATTCGTTCAGTTTATTTATCTAACAATAAATGACGCTCGTTTATCATTTCAGAATTCAAGGGAAATCACGAAACCTACGGATAATAACGCCAACGTTTCTTCAAGATCACTGCAGAAGGATTACGCCGGGGAGATATTTGAACGACATCCCATCTTTGCATGTCGGCCGTCTGAGATGAAACTGGCCAATCTCAAGAACATTTTTAAATGCGGTTCATTAGATGATGTTGCCAAGATAGCTTTTGCTGTTGTTTTTATTATTTTTAATGGGTTTTACTGGTTCTACTATCTGTATTTTACTGCCTAAAAAAATATCTTGCGGGGGAACTTAACAATCAGCGTTTAAAGAGTCTCCACTCACTTTCAGCTTTTTAGTACTTAGCATAATAAAAAATAGCTTAAAATTATAGTTAATTACTTAGATCTGCTTATCAACGAGATCACCGTTTCTCAGGCACGGGCTGAAGGTACCATTGACAATGGAAGAAGAAACTAAGACTGAGTTCTTGTTACGGCAACCCCAGTGCGTGATCATCAATAAAAATAGTTTATTGGGAAGCAGTTGTGTTTTCTTAGCTTCGGTATTGCTGTGAGAATTAATCAAATCAATATAGTAATGGAGAATGTTCAGGCCCGACATAATCATGAAAAAAAAAATACCCTAAAAGGTACCAGAATCTTGTTTTATCGGCGTGTCCCAAATCCATTTCCACCCCTAAGATGTACCAATTCAACAACAACAAATTATATAACTGGCACTACAAATCTTAATAGTAATAAATAAGACTTCTCATAAATCTTTATCCTAATAAAGCGTATCAGCCCCTAAAATGTTACCGAGACAACTCTAGCAGCAGTCATTTTAGCTTTTAGCATCCTGAGCGGTACCAATCCACAAATTTAAACTCCTAAAAGGTACGACGAGCAACCTCGTCACTATTATAGGGGAGTACCCCCCCGGGGGGGAGGGAGCAAACGTCTCCTTTGCAATGGGAAGAGGTTTCTTCGGTACCAGTCGGTCTACTGGAAGAGTGCGAACGTGAATGGGACTCAACGACCGTTTTAATGAAAGAACATTTCAAAATCAGGTTAGAGTGTCTGCCTATATATTGCCAGTGTCGATAGCGTAGCTTTTAATTATTCACTGCAAAACTTGAATTTTGAAAACTTTGAATGTGAACGAATATACTCGTAAATAAATTATGAATTTTGCACCATTTCGCCAACCATACGTCTCCAGTCTTGGTGCAATCTTGCGAGTCCCATTGAATTAAGAGGTCTGAAGCAGAGCAAGTCTGATCCATATCCACAGACTAGATAAACGTTACTGAGGTAATAGCCTTTGACATGCAGGATCTTGCAGTCAACATTCAAATGCGAGATTGAATGATATTTGATATTTCAAATACTGATGACTGAATATTAGACATGGCAGCTTCCTCAAGGGCAAATTACATTCTAAATCAGGGCCTTGCATGACGTCAGCAGTGTCTGAAAAAGGTTCCAGCGAACAGAAAGCGTGGAGCAATGCTGATGATGGAAAAGCTTTCCGAGAAGGCCTCTCAGTTCATGTATATTTTTTCTTTGTTTTGTTTAATTTTTTGTTTGTTTGTTTATTTGTTTTTTTTTATCGCGATAAGCAGAACATATTTCTAAAAAGCAAGGCATCTTTAATACCAGCTGATACCAGGCTTTCCTCCCTAAAAAGAAAAAATAAACTTTTTTTGGACTAAGTGAAATTCATATCAGTATCGAAAAAATCAGGGTATAGACTGAGCGTCTCCGTCATTATCAAAAGTCTGGAGAAACCTTTGCCAAAAAGTTGTCTTGCCTTCAAGCATTACACCAAGGTCATTTCTGCCTGAAATAAACAGCAGCTGAAGAAATAGAGAAAGCTGTGGCCTTTTTTAGGATAGTGCATCTTTTAGTTATTTCTTGAAAATGTTACTTCCGAACTTGCTTTTCTTCACAAACCTGTACTACTGCTCTATAAATCTTCAATTAAATTGAAAACAGTTTTCAAAGAATTTCTGCTCTCCGTGATAATAAGGTGATAATATGTATAGCTTAAGACGTCTATTGATAGGAAAACGCTGTAAAATATGCACATGCAATTCGGCGCTTCACAAACGTATAAATAAACCTACACTGCACTTCAAAGGTATATATGCGTTTTATCGAGAACGGAGGATATTTGAAAAGCCTGAAGCATTGATTTTTGATAACCTTACAACAGCCGATATTGTAAAAAGCAACGCTTTTATGCTACCAAGGTGATCCCATCTTTTTCTCTGGATGGTTTACCAATTAACAGGACACAAAAAACGGTAAGGTTTTGTGTTGTGAGTGATTAAATATACACTCACAAATAGCCCCGGCCGCTACAACATAAAAGCAAACAAACAATGGTTCTCGCAACACCAAGACACCCAACGAAAACGCAGCTGTTCAAAACCTTCTCCAGAGTGGAAATGTTGAAAAAAGAAGCCGTTTCCCTTGACTGGACGGATATTTTGTCCACTAATCTTGACGTAGCGTCACCATTAGATTAAACTATTTAATTATTTTTCAGCACTTTGGAAAAAATTGGTTAAACGAGATTATTAGAACGTTAACTATTTCCGATTTAAGTTTGCCGCTAAAGGAGGCGCCACGGCAAATTGTTTCATTAATGAAATAATAACAAAAATGTTAATTCATTTCATAAAATTTTGTTAAATCATTTCACCTACCACTCCCCCAAAACTAACCTTAATACTTACTTCTTACTTAGGGCAAAATGTTGGCTTAGGGGAGGGGTAGGTGGCCAGTTTCTCAGAAACATGATTCGAAATTTGTTTCCTAAATATACGAGTGTCTTGACACTAAGCATGCCAGTCAACTCAACAGTGACTTCCAATTCTCTTGCGATGGAAGTGGCTATGAATTTCCAACATTGGACCTGTGAGAAAACGAACTCAATCTAAGCAATACTTGGGAAATGGTATTGAGGGGGAAAACGAGCAAAGAAACAACTGCCTGATACGTTATCCTCAATAAAAATAAAGCCTGAAAGGACACACACATACACACTCCACCTGCGCTGTCCGTTTCCATTCTAAAACATCTGTTCCTATTTGTTGCGTCCATTTCACTTTGGATTTCCTGGACATTGTTGAGTCGGCAGTAAATTTCGATCGCAGTGTCAGTCATTAAATTATAAAAAGATTGCTTGACAAGATGCAAGGAATCCTAGACACTTTTCCGAATGAGCTCTAGTGTTCTGAACATTGGCCTGCTTTCAATGAGAACGAACTTTATCGGAGCTTTTAAACCTCATCCGCACTAGTCGTCGACCATAATAATATTATTATTATAATCATTATTTGAAATGAACTGTGTTTTAATTGTATTTTTTTTCGAATATATGATACATTTTTAATGGAATGAATTTTTTCAATCGAAATTAAGTCTTTTTTTTAATTGAAAGGAATAATGTAAATAGTGCTTTGACTGAATAGTTTTTTTAAGTGAAATTAATTGAGCATAATTGCAAATAGGATTTTATAGTTAGCTTTGTTATCAATAAAAGATTTGGGTTATTATTATTATTATTATTATTAATTGTTTGCAGATACAATACAGCTTTATCAATGATGGCTTTGGAAGAAACTTAATAAATATCCGTATTACGCTTCGCGATTTAGCAAATCTGCTGCGGAAATATATATTTTCTCCCATTACTACCGTTTTCGCCGTAATTATCGAATCAAATACTTTCTAATGATCTCACTTTCTAAAGATCATTAAACCTGATTCAATTTGCCCGGATAGAAACGTGAACAAAACTGACCTCTGAAATAGAAAAGAAAAAACAAACAAAGGCTTTTATTTTTGCCGGCTTCGTTTCTTGTTACATTTTTTTATTATTATTTATTTTACACCACTACTTCTTGCGTAATTAAGACAACAGCACTACCTTCAATCTGAGATAAAATTCACAGTACCATCATAAAATAGGTAATATAGAAGGATCAAGACAGTGAGAGGTGAGGAGACCTCAGAAAGCCAAAGCTGGTTGTACAAGGAGGTCTCCCCATGATATGGTCATTGATTGAAGTAATTTAGGACTGGGGGGCAGCAGAAGAATACAATAGACTTCAGTCTGTTTCAAAGGTACGAGAAGGAAAGTCACGAAGACGCTTTTTACAATTAGCAAAACAAGTGGAGCTTGAGACGGATAATGGAAGGGAATTCCAAATTTTTGGACCCAAGTATAAAATAGTCATATGATGACATTTCTCTGACAGAAGACTGTCGGGAAAAACACGGCACCTCACGCACGGATCATACGTGACAAAATCCGCCGCGACTAGGCTAATGGAGAAAAGTGTCTCGGAGAGCTCCATACAATTGCTTAGAAAGGCGCTAAGGAATTGTATGGGGCCCTCCGGGATACTTACAGTGCAAGCCCTGTGTGACTTCTCATGCTTTCAATCAAGGCCCTCGTAACTTGGAAACTCATTTTGACTTATTGCTACATTAAGCTGGTTCCAGTGTAAATTTTATGTTTATTTGCAAAATAATTTAACTGCTCCATTTGATAGCTTAATAAGTCATTATTTTGGAGAGGCGCATTGCAATGTGGATTTGGTAAAAAAAATTGAACGTCCTTTCATTGATTCAAAGGACGCGTGTATTCATACAGGGGTATCAATGATACTATAACAAGATTGCAAGTTGAGATTTTTTATCACGATCCATCAGGTATGATGACAAGTGAATAATTCACAATGGAAGGGTCAGACATAAACATGGAAGAGCTAATGGTTGATGGTGTTTGTCCACCAAATTACACTCTACAACTTCAACTTTTCGAAGCCACAAGAAAGGGAGATCTTTCGAAAGTAAGAAGCCTTTGTCAGCTAAACTTGGATCTAGATTGTGTTGACAGTTCTGGGAAAACCCTTTTACAGGTTGCTGGAAATCTGGAAAATGTGTCTGTTCGAAAAGAAATTATGGAACTACTTCTAAGTAGTGGGGCTGACTTGAAATTCGCGTTACTAAATGAGGTTCGTGATAGCAATGCACAAATGGTGGAAGTCCTTCTTCAATTTCACAACCCAGCACTTGGTTCATCCCTAACAAGATACGTAAACCCGCTGATTCCTGCGGCATGTTTGCAGAATTTTGAAATCATTACAATGCTGTTGGAAAATGGATTCAGCATTAGTGATCCAAAAATTGCTCAGTGGTCTTCAGACTCCAACACTGTGTGCAACGAAAAGTTTGAACCTGCCGTGTACCGTTCTATCGAATACCGCGCTCTTGCCAGCCCCATATTTATCGCGGCGTCTTTTCTTCGCGACGTCTACAATGGTCCCGGTCCCATTTATCGCGCGTGCGTCCTGCACAAAGAACTGCGTGAAATAGCTGAGCATGAATACGAGTTAAAGAATGAGTATTTTCAGCTCAGTGATGCCAGTAAAGAGTTTTCGGTGGATCTTTTGAAAGAATGCCACACGATGGAGGAGATAAGATGCGTGATGGAGATGCAGGACATACATGACAGTGTACTGCATGTAAATGGGAGTTTAAGCATGCTTAAGCTCGCCATAATTACTGGAAATGACAAGGTAGGGTCTCCTTCTTTCCACCTTTACAACTGAAATCAGTCTTTTGGGCTTAATACTCGCTGTCAGAGTCTTTGTTGGCGAAAAAATGAGTCGCTATTACAAATAGTTTGCAAACAAAAGGTGACAGCACAACCCTTGCATCAAACTTCTGGTTAATAGCCTGTTAAGCTTGGTGAATCAGACGTACCACACTGTGTTAGGCTTTGAAAATGAAAAGTTAATTTGAAAGCCGGGCTAAGCCTGGTTTTAAAGAGCTATCCAGGTAAGCCGGATTGAAATTTACGGCCTATGAAAGTCTGGTGACTCAGGTTTCGACTGGATCATCTCAACCAGCTAGAAATTCTTGGTTAGTCTATTACCAGACTTTCCTGTTAGGCCTGATTGAAATTTATACCTGGTTGAATTGAAACCTTAAAAGCTTCGTTAGCCTGGTTGGAAATGACAAATCATAAATTAACGCAGAGCAAAAGGTAGACCGAGGATTTATGATAAAATTAAAGCTATCGGGTGGAGGAGCAAGAGCTTGGCTGAAAAGTACATGATTACACGCAGTAGCTTAGCGGTTTTGGTAAACTGAGCTGGAGAAAAATGACAGTATGTACACGCTATGTAAATACGAAATAGCCCAACTGCTGACCAAAAACAGATCCAAAATAACAAAACTATCACCCAACAGATGACAACGGTAAGGAATTGAACAATATCTGTTAGACGACTAAACATTCCCTTCAGGATGATTCTCCCTGAAACTGTTGGAAAATGTTTTGAAGAATGACTTTGCATTGATCGAGTTAATACAAGGTTCTAAGTTGAAACAGTTCAGGGGCGGCCAGGAGGGGTAATGGTATACCAGTATACCCGAAAAAATTCGGCAAAATACCCCAAAATACCCAAAATTCATCCAAATATACCCAAAATTATACCCAGGTATACTTTATACCTGAAATTCAAAGAAAGTGATATACCCAATACCCGTATTTAAGTTGCAATATACCGTATACCCGATTTAAAAAGCCCCTGTATACCGTATACTCAAAAACCCTGGCCGACCCTGACAGTTAGCCTATTTAGCTTTTTATGATATGAAGAATTAATGCACATCTCGGAATATTTTAACCTCAATCTGCATAGTTCTTTAGATGTTCGTCATTTAAATAACTGATTGAGACAGTGAAATTAAAACTAGCTAAAAGCCTAAGCAATACGTACTACCAATAGCTTCATTGTGTCATTCAATGCTTGTTTATCGTAGTTCTCTTCAATTTAGTTCATACGAACAGCTTTTTCAAGCTTACAATTTTTACGATCCTCCATTTCATAGTTTGTCAGCCATCCCTTCAGCCAGCTGATGTTAAACTCAGAGGTCTACAGAAATGCTTCACTCCTGGAGAAAAGTGCCTGGAAACAAGCTGCGCTTATACTACTGGCGGCTCTGTCGTATCCATTGCTATTTTTGGTTTGGCTTATTTTTGACAGCTGTTTTCCAAGTCACAATCTGGCCAGAATTTTTCGCTCGCCCTGTGTTAAATTTCTCATCCATTGCGGCTCCTACCAAACGTTTCTTTTCTTGCTAGCTTTTTCTGCGTTTGTTTCGAAGAGCGAGTTTCTGGCCTACGGCATTACAGGTAAATGAACTGAGGAGGACCTTAGGATAATGACTAAAATAAATAATTAATTAAAAAATATTATTAAAACAAAAGAGAATCAGAGATGTTTTAGAGAGTCGAGTCTCTTTTGGTTAGATGAATTCATTTTTACTAACCATTTCTCCATTTCTTTCGAAGATTGGATCGTTGTCGCATACGTTATTGGACACTTGATAGACGTCATCAGAGACGCTTATCGACAACGGAAAGTTCATTTCTTCTCTTTCTACTGGAACTTCGTGGCCCTTGCTTTGGTGACGTTACTTGTTCTCCACCACGTCATTTGGTGGGTAGGTCTATCAATTCTTAAAGAACAGCCACCTCCAATGACATGGTAAAGTCATGCTGATAATCGTGGATACAAACTCATCCTTGCCTCGTACTGCATTCTCGCAGTGGCAATCCTTTTGGCTTTTGTTAAGAACCTGTCATTTTTTGAAGCGAACTCTATAACTGGTCCACTACTTCAAGCTTTCATACGGATGATTGTAGATGTAGCCAAGTTCTTCCTGTATTTTATTTTCGTCTTTCTGGCGTTTGCTATCAGCCTTACAAACCTGTACTTGCAGTATGATAAAGCCAGAGAGCATTTCCACCAGAACAATTCAGGAACAAGTCAAGGCGATGCCCTTGATCTACAAAGGTGCGTATAACTGACGGTTATCTACACTACTAGAGACATACAAGCTTAGCAGTCTACGAATAAGGACGAGGAAGGAAAACAAAAAAGGGGGAAATGAGTGGGGTGGGTTAGCAAAAACTCATCATCAAATATATTCGGTTACAGCCAATAAAGCTAGTTTTTAGTAACAACAAATGCCTCGAGAAATACACATAATTTAACAAGTAGTTCTTGCGTCAGCGTGCGTATGGGGAGATATGAAGCACGCGGGAAGTTTGGAAAGCACCAAAGAGGCGTAAGAGTTGCTCGAGTAGTAGCCAAGAACAACTCTAGCCTCTTTACATAATCTTAGACATACGTACCGCTGAAGCATAATCCAATTGTTTTATAACATAAATTATCAATGCGATCAACACAGCAGCAGTCAACTAAAAAGTTTATTTTTTATTATTTTTGATAGCGCTTTAAGCAGTACACGTTATATTTAGGTGACAATATTCTTTCACCTCAGTTATCTTTTTATGTTGACTGAGTGAAAGTTTACTCAAGTCACTTAAGATAACATTAGGTTTTAATATCCGTAATGAGGTGGAAAACAGTTAATTCACTATTTTAAAATAGACCATGATGCAATTTGTTACCCCCAAAATTTTGTGCAACCATTGTTTTGGATTTCTCTTAAAAACAAAAGTTATGTAAAATTCTAGGGGGTAAACAAGGTGCTTAGGGTCTTTGTGAAAGTAGTAAATTCACCAAAAAATTCATTTTCGGTTGAAACGCACACTCCACAGCCCGCTGAGCTCACGCAAGATTACAACACCGGCAGTAACACTCCCCTCATTTCCTTCTTTTCGGTTAACATATTCTGAAAGTTTTCTCCTACACTTGGGTTATAAACGCTTCATTATGCACTTAACGATGCATGAATTGCTAAGCTCGCACGAAGTCGAGTTTTTAGTTTATTGACGTCATCAGCATGCACGATGGGGATATGAAGCGCGCTCGCCCTGTTGAATTTGATTAGGCGACTATTCTAGATATGTTATAAAATTTTGTGGTTCACAGCAATATAGGGAAACAATGCAACTTATACTTCTTTAATAGGTTAGCACGTAGATTATAACCTTGCAAATGGCAATGGAGGGTGAATGAGACAATGTCTATGAAACAATAATGATCTCTCAATAATTTTTGTGGGTTGTTTACAGCGATTACTGTATTTCATTCGCAGATTTGGAAATAGCATGAGCACAATCTTTTGGACGATATTTGGTCTCATAGATGAGGACAGTTTTCAAATAGACGTCAGTGGTTACGGTGCTATATGGAAGACAGGCATGACGTTGTTTGCTGCGTACAATATCATCATCGTTATTGTGGCTATCAACATGCTGATTGCCATACTTAATGAGTCATACACCCGGATAACGGTAAGATGTCACTTAAAGAGTGTCGGAACTATCCTGTAAATTTTCACGCAATCACGGATCAGGCCTCAGAACTTTTTGCTCTAACCATTATATTTTTTGCTGATATTTGCAAGCATATCATTAAAACCTGACAAAGTTGCCTCAACTTTTTCAAGCTTCAATCTCTATCAATCCTTTCCATCCGTGGCACCAGAAGCCACGGGAAAGGGTTTCATTGCCTAAATATAGGTTTGATGCCATGACATGTTTTAGCTCTTTAAAAAAGATAGCACATAGCCTGACATACCGCCTTTAAAAGACAGCGTGAAACAAGAATAAGGATATTTTAGAACCCTTTCAAAAGAACAGGATGTTTTAACGATTCAATTAATCTAAGACTCTAAGAAAAAGGATGGAAAGCCGAAACCTCCTGATCTGTATACTGAGATTAGCTATAGTTCCTTGGACACGAATCGTTCACTGGGATCGCAAGATCGACAACTCGTACCAAAAAAAATTCTTCAAGCACCACAAATTGAATGAATTTTGGAGGTACCTGAGGTATAACCAGTTTGAAATTTGTTGTACAGGAAAACTTGGACACCGAGTGGAAGTTTACAAGGACAAGAATATGGTTAAGCTGGATCTACAAGGACGATGTTCTTCCACCACCATTTAATATTCTGTATGTGCTACTACCAATCCGCTGGTTAATTACACATCTCGTCGCAGTCTGTTGTCCTGAAAACCTGGCGAGTAACAATTTCATTAAAATCGAGCGTTTAAATAGGATACATATATGGGGCACTGGTCCCTCGTAGGCTTTTGTAAATGCCGGTTACATGACAATGTAGGTTTCCTGTTGATAGGATACGAAATAAATTCGGTTAATTAGAATTCGAAGGAAAACGGATGCTTGCATATTTATAAAAGGAACTTCTCGAGAAGGTGATGTGTTAGCTCTAATACAGGTGACACCGTTGTTTTGTAACCTGGTTTTTAAAATTAATTGCACACGCTTTTGTGTGAAATGAAGAAATCATTAATGCAACCTATGAGTGAATCTAGCAAGATCTATTTAAACTCCCTGATGCCGTTATAAATAGGTGAATATTGTCAGCATAGAGACTAATAAGGGCTTTTCCTCTCTTTCAGCCATGCCAACTAACCAAAGTGAGGACTAGAGGATGGAATGCAAAAGTTAAACGAATTGATGGAAAGAAGGTAAGTGCCACCCGGATTTCAAAACGAAGCATTATTGAGACAATAGTTGGTTGATAATTATGGCAAACGATGGATTCAATCTCAGTAACACGTGACCGTGTTCCGAGGCTTTTTCACTTTCTACTCAGACTTTTAAGGCGCATTTAAAAAATTCTCAATGCGTGTTTACAATGTCAAATTAATTCCTAATGAACTGTTTATTAATTATTTCTTTATTTCTAAAAAGAAAAGTTTGAGGTTTTAGGATTAGGCAAACTGTTCCAGATTTTGCATGTCACAGTATGCATTTTTTCATTTTCTATGCTTGTTTTTTTATTCTTCTTCTTCTTACTATTATTTTCGTTTTTTTGTAGAGAAGAGAGATCATACGTCAACTTGTCCTGAGGTATCTGGCAAAGAGATCACGTGATTCGGATAATGGAATCAAGCCAAGCGTCTCTGTAGAACTTGCCTGCAAGCAGGCTATTCAGATTTAGAAACTCCTTGAAGGCTGTCAGCCAAACCTTGGGCAGCTTTGGTCATAGGGAAGTACGTGAAACACGAAAAAGTACTGCTGGATCACCAATCCGCAAAAAAAGATTCACGCAAAACCTAAACTAGTGTCTTTATTGACGGCAAATGTCTTCACAATGATAGCCACTCTTAGATCAAAATTAATAGAAAAATTGCCGACTTCAAAATGATACCATTCGATAACAAACAACAACAACAAATGAATCGAATTTGTAGAAAAGTTGATACTTTCCTCCTCAAAACTCAAGGTCTCAAAAAAATGATGGTGGTGGTGGTGGTGGTAGTGGTGGTGATGATGATGATGCTGCTGCTGCTGCTGCTTCTGATAAATTAATCGTTGCTTTTGACATGATCGCAATAACACTAAGCTTGCTGCTAAGTTTAGCGATCGCAGTGAAATCGTAGCAATCGAAACCACCGTTGATATCATAGATCCAAGTTATTGAAGAGGAATAGCTGAAGGAAAGATGAATGATGCATTGCGTTTTAATATATTATCGAAAAAAAATTCGCTCAATAAATCACTTCATTCTCGATTACAAATTAATTACCAAGGAATCAAACATTAAAAAAAACTAAATCAAGCTGATCATGAGGTCAAAGAGGATCCTTTTAACTCTCGGAAACGCAAATCCGACGTTCACAGTGTGTACAAAATGGCCACGTTACGCGTGATAAAGCGCGAAAAATTGACGTGATTGTAGAGAGTGATCAGCAATAGAAAAACACAGGCTTGCATGGTACAACTTTCCTTCTATAAATATTAGCGATCATAAGCATAAAAGTAATGACTTTCTATGACCGGCCATGTCGCCCTTTGCCTGATGATATGTAAAGATTAATTTGGCTCAAGTCAACTGTGATCGAAACATGAGAACATTCAAGCCAGAAGCAATTGAACAAATACTCATTAAATGAGCCATTAAATAGATAAGGGAAGCTAGAAAACCACAGGGGCCGGCAAACTGAACGAAAATTTTAGCGCTAATAAGTATTTTCAAAAGCGTTTGTTACTATCAAAAACATATTTAATATGCGGAAGGCTTAAATCATGACCGTTAAACCAAAAATAATATTAAATTGTACATACCTCAGAACTCGTGAATTGCGCGCCCATCCGCAGGCGAGTTACCGCGAAGATCTGAAGATAGGTAAGCATGAAATAACTTAGGACATGGAAACTAGATCGTGCTACACACTTTGGGCTTTTTGTGGAGAATAACCTGTGGTGTTTTTCACTAGTCTTAGTTATTTTAGTATAAATTCCTTAGCCATAAAAACTGCATACCTAAACTGCAATCATATGATTAAACTCCTGATATTATCATTGTACGTAGTGCGGCTAAAGAAGGAAATTAATAAAATTTTTGTGTAAAGCTGTTTAGCCGGCGAAAACATCCGTTTTTCTTCGCTCTTCGCCGCTGTTTTCGCAGGCTAAGCCGTTCAGTTGTCGTCATGCTCATTTTATCAGCGTCTTCGAAATTCGAAATTCGCTCTACCCAAAATATTGCCAGTTGCTGGGGACCTAATTGCGCATTGCTGTTGGCCCGGGTACGATCCCTTCTAACTACAGTCAACTCCCTTTATAGCGGATACTGTTAGGATCTCGAGTAAGTGTCCTCATTAGCGAGACCCCGAAATAGCGGGATCAGTTTATATTGCCTAAAATTAGCTGCTGTCCATACTGGATGTCCGTCATAGCGGGGTGTCCGCAAGGCGAGAGTTGACTGTAAAGGGAAAGTTGTGCCTGTACATTCATGTCTGCAAATGCCATTTAACTTTTCTACTCATCTACGGTGGATAAGCACGAAAAACGTACGCACCGTGTAACATTACTTTCAGTCCATCGATGTGTTTCGGACGTTCGGACGTCAAGGACCTCTCTGCGGACGTAATGACCACTCTACTGCCTGTCTTATTTCACAGTCACATTCAGTGTATATGAATGTCACAGCCAGGAGCGGATTTTATAACTCAGTACCAGTTCACTGACAGTAAACAGCGGGCTTCACAAGCTCTGGCCATGGTAAAGACCGCCACACAGCAGTACATTTTGAATTTTCCTTGATTGAAAACGGCCTTCAGGGAGTGGATAACAATTCACGTCGTTAATGTGTGGTTTACCAAAACAAAACCAAAACCAAAAACAAATATATAGATTGAAACATGTTCAGTTAACTTCGTAAACAAATTAGCTCAGGTGTATTAGTTTCATTCCATTTGTTTCATTCATAGTAAATGATCTTTCAAATCAGACTTAAATGACAGTTTTTCTTGCCCTTTCACATGCTTCAACTGGTGAAATCCCTTGCCTTAATTTCATGAACCAAAATCCTGACAAAGGTTCCCCATTCGGGCAGGCAGAGCCTCCTTGTTTAGTAATTTTATAAGGAGTACCCCATCTCCCCTATCTTTTGGACTGTTTACGGTCGTTGCGCCAACGTTCTGTTCGCCATCGTATTAAGTCGTTTCGCAAACGAGCAAGGTCAGTTCCCCAACTTCTTTAACCTGTTTAACCTAATCAATGGCTTGACGAACGAGTTGTACACATATTTTTTGCCTACCATAGCTGAAAGAAAGAGGTATATACAGGTGTGGTGCTCGTTTTGTTGCGTATGCGAAACGACTTAAGACGTTCGTGAAAGGGACGTTGGCGTAACGAAGCGTTGGCGAAATGGCCTGTCACCTTTTGGACAACGTTACAGTGAAATGACGAAACACGCTCCATCTAGACGTACATGACGGGTTCCGCTGACCAACCTTCAAAAAGTCCTGGGGGCTGGGGAGAGAATACTGGCAAGATGGCGTCGAAAACAGAGAATGTTCTTGTTTCTTGAACTGCGATGGAATGGAAGAAAAAGAGTCTTTGTGTCTCGAAAAGATCGCGAAAACTTATAGAGAAGTTGAGCGGCAGCTTAATCTTTGGAAGGAAACGGATTGTCACTCAACTGAACAGATACAGTCACTGAGAAGTCCCCTAGAACAGCTTCACTCGTGCGAGAAAGCTAACTTCAACGACTCCCCACTTAGTAACCATGAACGATTGAAGCAAAAACTTCAATTCAAGCTGCTTAAACAAACAGAGTGTATCATGGCAAAATTACAGCAGGATCTGTAAGCATATTCCTCTTTTATTCTGTTCTTGTTTGGCGATCACATTAAAAGGTGCCATAAATTATATGTTGACAAGACAATAAGCTTGTTATCTTATCTCGTGCAAAATGCAGACGGTTTTAGTTCCCAGCCAGAGAGAAAAGCTTTTGTTCTTGGCAACCAAGATGGCCGCCGCTATGATGTCAGCTGAAAACCAACAATAAGCCATTTTTCAGTTGTGCGCTCAGTGCCCTGGCCTTTGAATAGGAGCAAGGCTGGTGGTGACCTTGTTTTGTTACAAACCTTCCTACTGTTCATGTGCAAATCGTGGTATTCGCATGCTAACAAGCCTGTGAACATGGTCATTTACATGTGAAAAACAAGAAGGTTTGTGACAAAACAAGGTCACTGCCATCCTTGCTTCTATTCAAAGGCCAGAGCACTGAGCACACAACTGTAAAAGGACATATTGAGGATTTTGTAGCTTAGTGTGAGCTCATTATTAGTTCGCTTAGGAAACGACCCTTTCTGGAAAACTTGTACAGTGGAACCTCTGGAGGATACTTTGGGTTTTGGTGACAACCCGAGGTACAGATGGGGTCATAATTTCAATTCAATCTCCCAAGAATTCCTCTGACTTGAAGCAAGCTCCATCCTGCCCCCGCCCACAAAAAAAAGGAAAAAAAGTAGAATGCTGAATGTCTTTTGGAGTGCTCTATAAAATCATTGGTCAAATCAAATTACCTGGAAAAAAAGAACTAGCCTAACTTTTCTTAGAAACTTAATACCAAAACTCTCAAAATGTCCTTTGAACCTATAATGCAATATTTCATCTATAGATTTTTTTTTTTAGGGAAATGTACAAGAGTATTTCAATGAAGTTATCATCACTCTGGTCCAGTACTTTGCAAGTTTACAGCCTCCATTCAAGTATGTAGTAATCACTGAAAAATTACAACACAGATGTCACTGAAGGCTGTAATCTATGAAAAATTCAAGGGAGCCCAGTGCTCTGAACCAGTGAAATCTAGGGTGCCCAGCGTATGATTCCTTTGAAAAAAGGCTAAGATTTTGTAGATGCTCAGGAGAAAAAGTTAGGCACCAAGGGCTACCGGGTGCTGCTAAAGCACAGCCTTGTCATTCCAAGAGCAATGACACCCTCATTACAACTAATATCAACTTGAATTGTTCAAGCTTTTAATACCAAAATGAAGGTGGCTAGCTAGGGAAAGGTACAAGCTCTTATGAGAAATTTCTTAAAGCAACTACCTGGCGACATGACATGCCGCCACAAATAGAATTGGTGATTTCACTCATAAGCTGAGTAAACAGCCAGAATTTTGCAATGCCACTACAGGTTCCCCATGAAATTACGTCTGTGGAACAACTGCAGAATTGGAGTGAGTAGTGCTTCTGATTGGTTGTCCTGTGAGGAAAATTTGCTTCAACCATTCAGAAGCACTAGCCAGACCTGGGGAGTGACATGTCATGAGTATGGAGTTTCTGCAGTCCTTTCTCAGATGTCATTTCTCAGGGAAAACAGTGGTGGTGTTGTGAAAAATCTTTAAAAGTACATAATTAAAAAAAATTGAGAACTGAGTGATTTTTTCATTTTTTAGGTGCTCTGCCCATGAGTGTAGTATGTGATGGAAGTCCCACTCAGCCATCAATAGCTGACCTTCTCGAGTGGCTTAGTGATCTTGAAAGAATCCACAATGAGTTGTATCCAAAAAATTAGTTGCTCCCTAAAAACTAGCTTCTAAAAGTAAAGTAGTCATAGGCAACTGGCCTCAGTTGATCAAATTCCACTGGATTCTATCCACTGGATAACATAATTGGTTTCTCTTAGTAATTATCTCCTGGTTGGTGCTTTATACAGTGGGAAGCACTATCCAGCATTTGAACAACTGGGGCCAGGTACCACTAGCCAGTTGTTGTCCAAAAGTGGATAGCACTATCCACCAAATATAAAATCATTATCCACTGAATAATGCTTTTAGTTTTCCTAATTTGTGTTTTACTTATCCACTAGACAGGGATTTATCTTGCCCAGGTGTTCAAAGGGTGGATAAGGTTATCCACTGGATAGTGATTTATCTGGTCTCAGCCAGGTTGCTCAAAGCTGGGTTAAGATAACCTTAGGTCAGTGCAAAATTTGAATTCTATAGTAGAGGTTTAAGTTCATTTTCCATAATTTGGTGATTGGACGCTCTAAAAAGAAAACCAAAAATTATCAGAGAAAATGCTTTTGAACAAAACGATAAAGAAACCCGAGTTAAAATTTATCCCTGGGTTAGTGCTAATCGGCCCTCAAACAACTCAGCCCTGGAGGGTAGTGCTATCCTGGCCTGTTCTCAAACTCATCATGAAAATGTACTGTGAAGTTTTATTTGGGTATGGATAAACCATCAAATGTTTCAAAGGCTTGTATCGAGTTTTAGAATTAGTGTTGAACATTTGAGTGTCAAAACAGCTGACATTCAGTCATTTGTAATCTTCATTTCAAAAACCTTAGCTGCTCCTTGTGCTTCGAATCCACTTCTCTGTGACTGGATATCAGATGAAAGACTCCCTCTCATGTTTGCTATATAACAATAAATTATTCATTTTAATTCAAACCTTAGGAATGCTGAAAATGCCTTCCTTTTTTTTAAGTTCCAGGCAGTTGAAGAACACCCATTGTCATTAGATGCAGGGGGTCAATATGATGTTTCCAGTTCTAAATAGCCTAAAATTAGCATTTCACCATATATATCGCTATCTAGTGGAAAAGCATTATGAAAACCAATTGCGATATCTAGTGGATAAAGATTTATCCAGTGTACAATGTATAGTGCTCTCCGTGCTCTCCACCTTTTGAACAACTGGGGCCACTAGACTATTAATTTGTTTTTGTCAATTACAAGAATTCTCCGGGCTCGAAAAAGACTTTAATTCCAGCTTGTCCTTTGGGCAAGCAGCTGTGACATTTTACTTCCCCGAGGCAACTTCTTGCTTGTCTTAGTTAATAATTTTGTCAGAGGATGACTTGCCTGAACCCTTGCTTATTGGGTAAGTAAGCTTTAAACGTTACTTGCCCAGCAAGAAAATCTACTTTCCTGGACTGCGGAGTGGGACTTATTTTGAGCCCTGCTTCTTATGGATTCTGCAATTGGATGGGATTTAAGATCAATTGTGCAAAATGGAACCAAATTCACTGTCATAAGAAGTAATGGGACTTTTTTCCAGCCCTGCTTCTTATGGATTCTGCAATTGAATGGGATTTAAGATCAAATGTGCAAAATGAAACCATCACATAAGAAGCCTGTTGAAACAACCTTTAAGCAAGGTCCTTGACGCACTTATCCAGATATGAAGAGAAGACTGACATACTGAGCAAGATAACATACACAACAACAATGGTTGATGTACACAAGGCTGTCGGAGACTGGACCTCCACACAGGGCAGGCATGCTCATAAAATAAGAGGTAAGGGAAATTCAGGATGTCTGGCTTTAACCAGATGTGGGAATTGGTCAATGTGTAACAATTTGATGTAGCAGCTTTTGCTCAGCCACTCCCACCTAACCAACTGGCAAGCTTTCCTACCCTAAGTAGTAAAAAGCAGCTGCATTACCAGTAGTCAAGGCTCCTTTCACTAGATTTTTTATAATAATTTTTTTATTGATTCACAATAACAAAGTCTTCTTAAAAATGTCACGCGACTTTCAGATGGCCCATTTGAGGTTCTTGGTTAGTCAGGACCAGCCAAATAAAAGCGAGTGCAAGAAAATTGAAGAGGCAAGGACTGGGGATTCCACCCTCTCTTCCTTCCCATCTTTTTTTTTCCATGTTCGTTTGCTTTTCTTTTTGCTTGTCCCGACTGAAAGAATGGAACAAGCAAGTTTATGTCATTCTTTTCTATTCTTAGTCAAAGAAATCTTTTAATCGCCTCAGGCAAGGGAATCTAAGACAGCCTTGAATTCTGGATTCAACACCATGGATTCCAGATTCCATGCACTGGATTCTCTGTCAGTGGAACTTGGATTGCAGATTCCTTGAGCTGTATCCTGGATTCCAACTTCCAGGATTCCAGATTTTACAAGATTCCATGAGCAAAAATTTCCCAGAATTCCCTTACATGGGGCGATTTTAAATAATTGTTAGGTCGTAGTAAATGTACTTTTGGGTATAGTTTAATTTCGACAGTGCATATTTTTCTTGTTTTGACTGCTTAGATATCATGGAACAAGTGGCGGTATTTCTGGCTAGCAGGACTTAAACAAGCTGGGTTTGGGCAGCGGCTGCTACTGCTGTACATCAGCAGACTGTCAACCCCGTCATGAGCCTTGCATGTCAGTCTTTTGTCATGAACATATACTTTTGAACCTCCATCCATATATTTTTGAGCAATCAATGGAGGATAGAGCGCACACTTGCTTTACAATCTCAGGTGTGTTCTCGGTTGTGGTTAGGCCAGTGGTGTGACAAGCTGTGGTATCAACAAATGCTACCTCAACTAACACCAGAGGATTCACTGTCGATGCCGACAAGGATCAGTACGATCTGGAGCTACCGTTGAAGCAGATTTTTGAGTCAAACGATGTCTATTCCTTGCTGTTTGTTATAAAGAAGTTTGGGTGAAACGAACTTTGAAAACAAATTCTGTTTATTTACATCTTGACAGTCGTGGTCTGGGAGACTCAAAACACGATAATAAATACCTGTACAAATACATCAGTGCCAAAAGAAAAGCGCTGGGTATAATAATTTTATACATTTTTTAGTATCCAATGTTTACTCCATTACAACAGCAAGCGTGGAGTGATCTCAAGCCAAACTGTACATAAAAGTTAGACAAACATCCAGGATTAAGGACTTGAGTTAACTTTGGATCCCAGGTGTAACACAAAGCCAAAGCATGTCTTTTCTCACTTTTTCACAATGCAGTCTCAATAAAGTTCTTTGATTTTGCTAATTGATCGCTTCCAGCTTCGTGTCCATCTTTCTTCATTCTGGATTTGTGCATTCATTGCTTCTCGAATGGCCTTCAATCTAGCCTCGAACTTCTCTTTGTAATCCTAAAAGATTTGACAGATGTTTATAGTCAATTACAAGTTAATCCTGGGAAAGTTAAAGAGAACTTTTTCTGCCCTAACAATTCGACGTTAAATTGATAGAAATGATTGTACATTTCAGGGCCCATAGAGCGGCTCTGATGACGATTAGCTGTAACTCAGGATTAGAATTTTTTAGGATGAGTAAAGAAGAAGAAGAAGAAGATTTTATAAAAGTACTACTATCCCTTACATCATAAGCCTTGTTCCGTGAATGGATCACTGCCAAATGACCTTGTGTTGTCTTGACGGTTTTGACGGTGGGGGTTCGTGCTGAAAGTTAAGGAAAATCAGTTGCTGGATCTTAAGTAACGCGTCGATAGGTAGTCGCCATTTAAACGGTATCTTTCTTTTCTTTCCTGTGTTTTTGGACAAAGATCGAGGCCATAACTGTGGAACTTTCCAACACTGATAATTTAACACCATCCCTGTTCTAGTTTTGTACAAAACAAGCAATGATTGTGGAACTTTAAAATACGTATTGGCCTAAACAATGCCATAATTCAAGTTTTTCATAAAACATTGGTCGAGAGACCCGAAAACTAGAAGAAGTGCTTCTAAATAACAACTTGTTTAGATGTTCGGTCTGTTCAGCTGGGGAGAAGCAAACTGTGAACTACACAAAAGGATATTAATCTTCTTGTCAACAGACTCCTCCAGGACAAGTTCGTTAGTTGGTAAGCCCTCCCAAACAGTACCTCCAGACGGGAATGGTGCCAGTTTATCTAAAAACGAAATAGGGATAGAAGATTACAGAAAAACAACAACGAAAACAACTTTAAAAGAATCAGGTTATAAGAATTTCAGATGGGCGAATTATTAAAACCGGACACATGCACTCCCTCGGAGGGGGCAGACGGGGTTTTAAACCCTTAGAATTCCCAGTCCAATTTTTCTTGGCTTCCTCCCTTTAGCCCCTTTTCTATTGCGAAGTAAAAAACATTGTTGTGTAATGAATGATTTTCCAGTAATCGGATACCCATGTTTTGCGCACAGGATTCTGGGATCGCCAGGGGGCAAACATTGCGAGTCGCTACAAAGAAATGTATTGCGTGGTGTTGTTTCTGCGTTAAAAGCAGTGTCTTTGGACATAGAATGCCGCATTTTGCCTTGATTTTATGAGAAACGGAGGTGACTAATGTTGGTGTGTTGAAATTTCAAGTTTCTGTGTGATTAATGCGAAAAATTCTATCGATAAACACTCCTTGAGGTTGAGTGTGAAATTTATGTTCACTGAATTTACACAGACATGAAGAATTCGAAGAAAAGGTCTCGAAATATATAGTGCAAATTTAGGTATACGTGTAGGGGGATTGGCTCATTTAAGCGTTTAAGTTATAATTACGTGTGGTGATATTTACGACGAGTGTAACTACGCTCGACCGCGATCAGCGCTGTGCGGCGCTTTGCGGGTTATGACAAGGCAACGATCATAGGTATTTACGTGGCCATAAAAATAAAAAATCCTCCTTTACTTTGGTATAAACAAAGTGACATCTACAAAATATTTCATGAAAAGTACATGGTATTTAACCATTAGTAGATGAGGCAAAAATCGTACAAACGAGTAAGATTTCCGATACAAAAGCGGTGAGTGTGAAAATAAACACCAAGTTGATGTGCGAAATTCAGAGATTCTATATCTTCCCTCCAAATGATTGCAAAAGGCATTAGAATTCATCGGTTCTCAGGATCATGACAAAACATTTCGCTTGTGTTTTTTTGGCGAGAAGAAATCAATATACTAATGTGCGGAAGGTGTTTTTGTTTTTAAATTTAATACATATCAAATTCGACAATACATAAGCTTACCTTCGAGATCGCCTCCCAGCGGAGCGTAATTACACTCGTTGTAAATATGAGCACATGTAAGTACAACTGGAAAGGCTTAAATGAGTCCGCATTGCCCACTCATTTATACCTAAGTTAGTACTATATATTTCGAGACCATTCAGTAAATTCACAGTCGACCTTTCGCAAGAATCAGTGTTTATCGATAGATTTCATCGCATTGATCCCACAAAAACTTACAATTTCTTCGCACCAACATTAGTCACCTCCGCTTCTCATAAAATCACGGCAAAATGTTGCATTCTCTGTCCAAAGACACTGCTTTTACCGGAGAAACAGCTCCACGCCATACATTTCTTTGTGGCGACTCGCAATGTTTGCCCCCTGGCGGTCCCAGAATCCTGTGCGCAAAACAAGGGTATCCGATTACTGGAAAATCATTCATTTCCCTCTTTATCTCCCTTCTCCCGCCCCTATTCCCCCGGGCACCCAACCCCTTCCCTCTCCCACTCCCTCGTGCAAATTTGAATTTAAGTGGTCTGAAATGGCTGGACAACGACGCCCCATTATCGCCGTCACTCCACCGTATATTTAGCTATGACTAGCGAAAACAATTACAAAGATAGTTAAAAACTTCAGTTAATAAGTAGACTTTCTGCCTGTCGGATTCTGTGGGAGCTCCAATTCTGTATAAATTTACGACTTGTCAGGTTTCTTCTTTCTTGGGTCAATTTCTGATTCTTACCTTTGTCGTCCTCACTACCGGTCATTTTCTCTCTCAACAGTCTCTTGGTACTCTTTGGTTTGGGTTCAACCTCTGTGAATTCAAATGGTTAAAATGTTAAGCCTACCCCAGGGGTTGAACTAGTCACTCCTATTTGAATGTTACATGAAGTGACCTACATCGCCGGACGCGCGGGAATAAGCTCCACTTGTATTCCGCTTTAATTCTAGTTGCATTTGGAACCCCATGACTACCGGATTTAATATGTAAACATTGATTTACGTCATCGGTATGGAATTTCTGTCGCTGAGTCGCAGACGTTCCTCCTCGTGAAACGTCCCTTGGCGGCGATGAGCGAGGAGAAACGTCTACCGTTCGCAGGCTAGAGGAGACTTACCCACACTCAATCAACAGCCTTTCGATGCTACACGCAAAATCATTTTCCTCCTCTATCTTCGCTAATCCCATATTATTTTCTCGAACTAAGTTAGCAACTGTAACTCTGAAAAGGCACACACTATTCTTAATTCCGTGCTGGCCGGATTTGTACTTATGACCTCCCAAAACGCCACTCAGGGGTTCCTTCTCTCGATGAACCCATTGTGAGGTTGACAATAGTCCAGTTTGGAGTTCGCTATGACCGCTGAATTAAAGAAGTGAATACGCATTATTTACAGGCTTAGCCGCCTGGCCTCCATCTGAAGTAAACTATTCACAAATTCCAGCGAGAAAAATACATGTTTATTACTGTGTATTGTGTCTGTATATTCAAATTTCAAACACTTACTTGCTAGAATTTCTGACTACGTCGAGGCTAACCCTGTATAAATGTGTCGTTAATGTTTGTATTCAGCGGTAATTTTAAATTCGGAACTGGACTATTTCCCTGCCGTTTGAGATACAACTGTCCTAAACAGATAAAAACTGAAGTGAAATCACTTACTTCCGACTTCAACATCATCCAAGGAGAGGACTGCGTCAAACTGAAGTAACATAGTCTCACATGTCTGAGCCAGCTTCTCGATAAACGAACTTGCAACCTGAGCTTCTAGTTTCTAAAAAGCAAAGTCAACAATAATAACGCGTCAAATTCGAGTTTTGTAGAACAGGCGCCTGAGAGTAAGGGTGAAAACACTTTAAAGAGAAAATTAAGCAAGCAACAGTGAGACATGTTGCTGAAAGCAGACCATTCATTTACGCGCGCATTCATATCAAAGTTAAAGTAAACAATTAAAATGCCGCCATTTTGGTGTAGCTGGCCAATCCTAGGGGAGTAAACTATTGCTCTTTTGTAAACGCGCCACAAAGCTTTCACTGGCGAGTTGTTCAAGTGGCTAACGAAACACAACAATCTCCTTAGCCCTAGCAGGTAAGTTTATAATTCATATCCGATAAGAATATAAATCTTGATGAATGGTATACTGTCTCAGACTTCATTTATTTGATCATCTAACTGTTGTCCATATGATGATAATAACGAAAAATTAATTAACAATTGTTGAATGAGGCTGAATAGGATGTGAAGAATTATGCAGATCGAGGAGGGTGTTATACACCGAGGCTGAAGGCCTCACCTCCTCGTAGACTTTCAAACTTTTAGCCTATTTATCGGCACTGTTTCAGGATATAAACAGATGTTTTATCTTGCAGATACTCCTCAAGAAGTATATAGCATCCATCGAGCAACGTGTTTTCACAATTCGTGCATTTTTCCCCTAATTTAAGTCAGAAAATGAACTGAGCTATTTCGTCTACGGATAGCCGTAAATGCAATTTTTTTTAGTTCACTATTGCCCAAGCAGACTCGTTTCCAAGAGTCAAATGTACCATCGATCAACCTCGTTTCTAATCAAAATACACCATCGAGTCGATGGTATATTGCTTGCCCAGCCTTCCAAATATGGTGAGCGCCAGTTGGTTATAAAAAATTAGCCGGGGTATTGGAGCCAATCAGAAACGGAGAAATATTTTGAATGAATGATAAGGTCTATTATTATCACTTTTTCGGGCATTTTGGGGCATCGTGCGGGTTAAAATGGAGAATTTGGCGGGTAACAATTTATTTTAGACCGCTGAGGAAGACAAGTGCATTTTTCATTGAGAGAAAATAAAAGCCATTCAACTTGTAAACGCCAGACTGTCTTGTTGTCATTTTTCCCAATGCCCTCCAAAATAATAATGGTAGTAATGGAGTTTATGCTCTTGGACACACAATGTTAAAAGCCCTTCTCAGAGCTCATTTTAACCCTCGTCTAGCGGTTCGGGCCAAAATGACTTTGAGTCGGGCCCAAAACATAGTTATGCCCGCGAGCATACACTCTACCGTTTTATTAACTTGGGCATTTAAATTCGGTTTCCTTAAAACAAGAAGTGATTAATCATCGAATATTAGAGTATTCGCGAATTTACCTCAAAGCAAACTAAGATAACATTTGCCTAAAGTGCATGTCAAACTGGTTTCAAACGAAATAGCCAAGCCTGCAAAAACAGCGACCTCTTATTGCTCCTCGTCGCTGAGGACCCCATACAAGCGACCGTATTTGCAAGGTAGAATTACCCTGATTAAGCCCAGGTTCATAAAGATTTAGTTGCTGCACAAAGCCTATTAAAACATGTTATTTTGGTAACGCACCGCTAGCGCTTCTGCATGTTGTTTAGCTCCATCCAGGGCCTCTTGTCTCCGTCTTTCTTCACTGGCGCAAAGGGTGTCCATCTCTGTTCGGTTGTGAGGATGGCCCAGAGAAGGGCGCAGCTGAGATTGATGATGATTCTAAAAAGAAATAGAAAAGAGAAAACAAAATGAGAGAAAAGAAAAGAAAATGTTACAAAGCCTTGTAACTTGATTCGCTAATTCGAAAGGCGGCATTTATCCTGAGAAATAGACAAATGGATGGCCTTTATTCATAAGCTAGGTAATCCTGATGCAGCATAGCATACTGTATGGGATGCAAACTGCATTTACTCCTTACGACATGCACATACTTGGTCTGTCACAAAACTTGGTTTTAAATAGATCGTAAATTACTTTTTAACGACTGCAATAAAATAGGGTAAGGTTTTGTTGTTGTTGTTGTTGTTGTTGTTTGGTTCCATATTCCTTGGCCAATCCCAACCCTTGGAGGTGTTGAGCCATTTAATAAACTGGCAGTTCGTTGTTATCGAGCCTAAAAACATTCGGTTTTGGCTGGTGTGTAAGTGTGTATAACAGTTATTTTAATACTTGATACTGATAGTTTTAAATACCTTTCTTTTCTCTAATTCTTGTACTCTGAGCTGATAGTCATTTTCTAATGTTTTTCTGTCTTTCTCTAATTCACCCAGTTGGTCAGTGATTATGATCTGAACAACCAGCGGTGGAAGGTGAACTAACATCACAGAAAATTTCTGTAACTGCGAGCGAAGTTCTGCAAACAAACAAGGCAATCAATGAATTAGATTAAATATAATAACGTACCTGTGATGTGCACAGACAAAGGAATTCAAAATTTGATGAGAGGAAAAAGAATACCTTTAGAGAAGAGAAAGTCCACATGCAATTTTCGACTTTTCAAAATATCTTAAAAACTCCTTAAAAGGTCATGATGATTGCGAAAACAAAAGGTGATTATCGATCCAGTGGATAGAGGTTTGAACAACAACACCTTTTGAACAACTCAGCCCTTTGTTCAAAATGTCAGCACAAAGCTGAAAAAAATATCTAGGTTAGGAGGTGAGTGGTTCAAATACAGTGAACACCTGCTTATAAGAACCTAGTTGTTTGAGAACCCGCTGGCAGAAATTTGACACTTTAATACCCAAAAATATAAGAACCTGTTTAGCCAAGTAAAATCAAGCTGTAATTCCTACAACGAAAACACGTTATAAAATTACAGATTGTAATTGTCTTCATGGACCATGAATAAAGAAAGCTTGCACTGCAATGTTTCAGGACCAAACTAAAGTTTGGTTATATTTCTGGTAGTCATCAACTAGATCTCATTCATGGAAATTAACAACCTACTTAGTCTAAATTGCCAATACCTACCCCTAAATAAAAGACCTCCAAAAATGTAGGTTCTTTTAAGCTGGTGTTAACTGTAATGCAAAGATCATGGAACCCCAAGATTAATCTAATGGCAGTATCTGAGAATCAGGCTTTGAGCTTTAGACATCGAAAAGGCTAACAAATAACCCGTTTACTCACCTTGAATGCAGGAGTTATGATACTCTTCGGACTGGGTCTTATATGACGTCAATCGCTGAACTAAGGCCTCTGCACACAGGTCAAAATTATCATGGATAGCCTGGGGGCGAGTAGGAGTCCGCTGACCTTTTTGGCGATAATACATCTGTTGAAAGAAAAACAGATAAGAAATGTGCAGCTGTAGCCTGAGAAAACAGCCGACATTTGGCCACGCCACCCACGGTTTTTCACTACCCAGACCTGGGTAGTGCTTCTCCAAATTTTCCACGCGGCACGACCAATCAGAAGCACTACCCAGATCTGGGTGGAATTTCTGCGCTCGTTTCTAATACGTCATTTCGCGGGGAAACCGTTGGTGGCGTCGCCAAATGTCGACTGTTTTCTCAGGCTACTGCAGCTGGCTAAAGCCTTAATCGCAGGTAAGTGTCTGGATGTTTGCCGACATGATTCCTCTATTTGACAGAAGAACAAATAATGCCTAGACTCAAATTCTACCACAAAGATCCTTTCTCTTGGATTTTTCTCGACGCATTCTTGTTTCTTCCAGGCTTAAAACTTACAGTCTGTAGGTACTGAGTCTTTTCAGGATCTCTTGAGTTTCGGACCGAGCTGTTTGAATAAATCTTCTTAGCATCATCATGTTAAGATGTGTAAATAAATAGAATTACCTCAGATGTGGCAAGTAATCCCTCTAAGCCTTCTCTTAATATGTTCCTGATTCGAGCCATGAAGTGCCTAGTACAAAAAATACAACACTGTTAAAACACTTCAGAAATACAACTCTGTTATAACACTTAAATATTATACACCGATTAAGTGAACGATAACAGATCCCTTGTATGCTATGAAAAATCTTATTCGTATTATTTTTTTAGTGCCCTAAGCTACTTGTGTGACAGTGTCCCAAAACATAAAAATAACATTAAGTAAATAAGAGAAGCTTTCAACAACAAGAAATAGGGAAAAGAACATATTACACACAAAAACTGCTGCAATGCTTTCAAAACTTATAACCTGATGTAAACCTTGCTGGTGTCTGTTATTACGCATCGAGTTGTCAGATCAAGAAATATCTACCATGATGAACAAACCTCATTCGAAGTAGAATCTCAAATTGATCGTTGATTCAAGGGAGAAAGAGTAACAAAAGCAACAGATAAAAAAGCCCCAATGGACCTTCAATACTTGTGGCTATTATTATAATAGCCACATTGTTTTAAGCATATGGAAGCAGAGATTTTTGGTTCTTACCTGTCTTCCTCCATCTTCTCGCCAAACACCAGGTATTTCTTGTCGTATCTGGGTCCCATCGTATCCCGTCTGGATGCACTTGACTTGCGATTTCTGAAAAAGAATTGAAGAAATACAACTAAAAAATACTTATCTCCTAAACCCTTGCAAGTTATTGACCCGCATGGTCGGCTACTGGATGAAGACAGACCCTATTATGTTAATAATGGAATATGTACCAAACTGACAGGGACCTTCCTCAGTGTCGGCCTTTGAAGCAATACAATTAATCATATCACTCATATGATATAAAAGGAAAATACAGAATGATGTTTAATAACTCAACACTTTTTATTTATAACAAACATCTCAGTCTTACCCAGCGCTTCTCTGTCTTCCTCCCTGTTTGTCCTGGTCCTTTAGCGTTCCCTGAAAGAAACAGGCAGTTTCATTGTGCAGACGTAATGTTCAAAGCAACCATTTTGCTACGAACTGCTTCAAAATCAGGACCCAGTTGTTCAAAAGGTGGATGTACCGATAACGCTATCCACCAGATAAATCACTACCCAGTGGATAAATATTAGGGAAACCTATTGGCTACCCAAGTGGTTAGAGATTTATCGGGTGAATAGCGCAATCCACCTTTTGAACAACTGGGACCAGGTCAAAAGAATACGGATCCGTATCTTTCAAACTTTCTCATACCATTCGCCACTTCAAAAAGGAAAAGGAAACTGAGCCCAGTTAACTAGCGCAAAGACTCCTGGGATAGTTACTTGGGACATCCCGGTCAGCTGCAGGCCAATTTTTTCCACTGTCCCCAGGAACAGTCCCAAAAGTCTTTGCGAAACTTAATCGATCCGGTTTCTTTCTTGTTTCTATAGTGACGAATAGTCCAGTTTCAAATTCGTCGCGGCCACTGAATAGAAGCACTGATGACTTATTTATACAGGGTTAGTCTCGACCTGAAGTAAAATATTCACAAATACAGGCGAGAAGGTGCCTGAATTTGAGTTTAAAACAATAGACACAGTTGTACACAGGTCTTCTTCTGACTGGAATTTGTGAATATATTTACCTTGTGTCGAGGCTAACCCTGTACAAATGAGCGTTTAGTGCTTCTATTCAGCGGCCGCAACGAATTCGAAACTGGACTATTGAAAAGAGGATGTCTCTTAGTGTTACGGAGCCACTGTTAACAATTGTGTTCTGGGCATTGTACAGCCCTTTTGCAATCCTTTTACGACGTCAAGTGTTTATGGAAGCATTCGCAACACTGACAGACTACTAAAGGAAAGAGATCGCTATAGTTAAATAAACAAAAGACAATTTCTTGCAACTACCTTTAATTCTGCTGGGACTGTTTTTGGTCTTCCATCGTCTTCTGCGGCCTTAGCTACTCTCGATAGAGATGCTAGGAAAGTTTGAAAAATAATAATGATATTAAACAGAGTATCTTCGTAAGCGTATCATTAATAGCCACGGTCAAAACTGAAATCGGTTACTTAATTGCATCTACGAACCAAACATCAACGTCCTTTTTAATCGCAAAATCCATGTTGTTGACGCTATTTAGATAACAAACAAACAACAACAAAACGCGAAAATGCGATTTTTTTAAGCACTATTTTTGTTCAATGAAATTTTCTTGCAATTGGTGAGGAGAATAAATGAAATCTCGATTTCCAAACAATTCAACGTCAATTCCAAATAACAAAGCAGCTTCGCTTCCTCCTTCCAGTCGAAAAAGGACGTGGGTTACCCTCTTCTACCAAGTTTAAAGTAAATATAGAGGAGAAGTCGTTCTGTCACGTTGCCATGTTAGCAAAAATTCTGGATCTGGAGGATCGAGAAATTTTGCTTCCATGGTAACATGAAATCACACTTCACTCCATTTAAGCCTCCTTTAGACTATCAACTGGCCGTCCTGTATTTTCAAGACACGTTATATCGCACAAAGAAAAAATAAATGTCTAACTTACGAGAGCTCTTGGGTTTGTCGCCTTCTTCACTTTGTGGGTCTAAAGCATCTCCTACCTCGCTGCTTTCGATTAAAACTTTCTGCGAGAGTCGCTTTTTACTTTTCTTTGATCTAAAAACAATTTAGAGAATAGCAATATATTAAGCGAAGCATATACAAAAGAAAGCGTCTTCGCACAATGCATGAAGAAAAGAGAAGGAAGAGCACAAAATAGCATGGAAAATAAAGAGAACTGAACAAGGAGACATTCGGAGGTGGAACAGCAGCAAGAGGAGCCCAATAACGAAGGAAGAAAACCATCACATACAGACTTCTCATCCAGTCATTCTAAGAAACTTTTAAGACGTTATTGTAAAGTATAAAGAAGACGAAATCGTTAAGTTTCGCAGACATACAAGATTTAACCTTGGTTTACAATAGCAGTCTTAAAACGGGTGTCTGGGGTTGAAGCCAGGGAAAGGAAAGAGCAGTTGCTAGTTGTTTCACCAGTTATTTTGAAAAGTAGAAAGGGTTTTTCCACAGCTAGCCTGAGAAAACAGCCGATATTTCACGACAACACCACTGGTTTTCTCACGAAATCACGTCTGAAAAACGACTGTACGTAGAAATTCCATACTGATGATGCGTCACTATCCAGATCTGTGTAGTGCTTCTGATTGGTTGTGCCGCGAAAGAAATTTTCTTCAACCAATCGGAAGCACTACTCAGACCTGGGTAGTGACACGTCATCAGTATGGAATTTCTGCGCTCGTTTCTCAGACGTCATTTAGCGGGGAAACTAGTGGTGGCGTCGCGAAATGCCGGCTGTTTTCTCAGGCTATTCCCCAGAGTGAACACCATGCTGCCTATGAAATTGTTAAGTTTCGCAGACATGCAAGATTTAACCTTTGGTTTAAAAAAAACAGGCGCTGGGCTTGAAGCCAGGGAAATGTAAGGGCATTTACTAGTGGTTACACAAGTTATTCTTAACCCTTCACGTCCTAAGAGTGGCCGCAACATCAATCTTCTTCTAACAATATTAATACATGAACAAGAGAAATAACATGAGAATTAATTGATTGACCATCAACGGAAAAGTGCTTTGATCTGTTAACAAATTCTCTCAGCTGATTTCTTAAGGAAAAGTATCGAAGTCAGTCTAAAGAATTTGTACGTGGATATTGGGACTTAAGGTAAAGGGTTAAAGCGAGAAAGGGATCCACCATCCAGGTAAACATCAAAGAAACAAGAAAAAAATGAATGAAGTTAGTAGTAAGAGACCTTCAAGAAGAAGAAGAATTAAATAGAAAACGTACTTTGGAGAAGATTTTCGTTCAGTCGGTGGCGTTGCAGGAGGATCTTGAAGAAACTGATGGAAGGTCTCAGGAGTAGGAAAATAACACGTCCAGAGCAGATTTGAGTCCGGGTTTTGTACCTGAGCCAGTTTTAGACTTGGGGTATGAGTCCCAGGGCTTAGCTGCCCAGAAGTATCACTGGAATAGGGATTTTCATCTTCTTCTTCCATAATTGTACTGACAGAGGATATGTCCAGTCAGGCGAGAGAGAGAGATAGAAAAACAAGAGTTGATAGTACAAGAAATGAAGCTTACAAGAAAGGAATAGGAACAGTGCAATAAAAGGGTGTCGCTATTCAGGTGACATGAAGAAGAGAATTTACTCAGAAGAGGAAATTGAAGAGTTAGCGATGAGGAAAAAAAAACGACAACAACAATGAGCGTTAACCCTTGCCTATTCCCGGTACGGCGTCTTCCCAGACCTTCTCGGTCAATGTATTTCGGTGACGTATGCGAGACGAACGTACCACGTTACTCGAAACCCATCGGCCGCCAATAATGAGGCTTAGGGACTAAGCAACGTTAACCCTAGTAAAGGGAATCAACCAGGGAGCCACACGAACCTCCGTGGAAATCTAATCCACGACCTCTAGCGACTGAACTAAGAGGCCAGACGGGGGCAGAGTCGCATAAAAGGGACTGAGGTGGCAAATCGTAGGGAAGAGAGAGTGAGGCCTAGTACATGTACATCATGATAAATGTTGTGCTGTATAGCAGTGTGATAGAGATATTGGAAAAGAAAGTTAATTCAGAGACAATATGGTTTTCTTTTCCAGCAGAGCATTTGCAGGTAAGGTGGGCTTAAAACAGGAAGAAAGACAGAGTGGAACGTCTTGTTGAGTCTTGGGAAGTGAGACGTAACAAAAGTATAGGAAGACCATAGTGACGAGAAAATGCAACAAAATAGCGTCGCTGTTTAGTAGGGAACAGAGGGATTTCAAACATAAAGAAGAGGCTGTTGCACGTTACATGTAAACTGAAGGGATTAAACTTTACTACGTTAATAGCACTTCAGAATTTGTTTTTGCCCCTTTAATAGAGCAAAAATGGGGGGATTTTCCAATGTTTAGAATCTGATCACAGGGTTGAGGTTAAAGAGAGAGATCATATCAATAACCTGTGGTTACTACAAACGTAACCTCGACGGCAATTTTGTCCGTTGGGATAAGAGCGAAGGTAAGAGCTCTTAAAGATGAATTAAGCCTCTGATCCCATTTCAAGTGCAAAGTGGCAAAACAAGGGATCGTTACGTAATAGGTCAAAGATAGGAATCTGGCTGTCATAGAAATAAAGGGGCTAACAGAGAAGAGTTTGATTGATACGACAACGGCAAATTCAACATCATTGCCTGGCTATAAAGAAGAAAAAATCATTTCAACCCCATTAATAATCTAATTCAAATGGGTTCGTGATAAATAAGCAAAGATATCGGTGCGGTATGCGACACTTGACTGAAATGAACAATTCCAAACAAGACGGCAGAAATTCTTTTCGTTACGTTAAATATATATGCTCACTTGTTTAAAAAAAAAAATGTTGATCCCTCGCCCTGGCAAAGATATATTACATTAAAAGTTTCCTAACTCAGAGCGACTGAGTTTCAATTTTCGAATATTTCATGCGAATCTCTCTGAGTGAGGAAGCTTTTAATTTAACACGAACATCGTTATTTTATCCTAAACAGGTTTTATAACTCACTTGAGAGCTCCTTTTGGTGCTTTATCCTCCTTTTTTCCCTCGTCTTTTTTCTCTTCATTTTTCTTGAGTCCAGCGTGTAGTATAGCTAAACTGGGTGTGGCCGGATTCAGAAGACAGTTCAAGTACAGGGATCGCTCATGAAATGTCTGCAGTATCGGAATTAGGCTGCTCTGAACCTGGCGGGCTGTTACTTGCTAAAGAAAAGAAGCATAACGCTAGCTAAAGGGGCTGCATGTGTATCGGCTATCTAGTTCCTTTGTTAATATCGCCAATTACAACAGCAAAAATAAACTTTGAAAAACTGCTTACGTCTAACAAGTTTTCAAAAACCCACAAATTCAATCCGTTGCAATCTTCTTCAAGTCTGTCCATACTTGGCTGTTTTTGTATTTGCTGTGTTATTAATACCTTCTTTTAATGTTTTGGCGCGATTATTTTCATGTTTCACTCAATTTAGTGGCAGTTCCTAAAGGTGATGTAACACGGACCGATTCGCAACCACGATTTGTAGCACAACACAGCGTTGCAATATTGGAACAATGTTGCAACCATTCGAAACAATGTCGCAGCAATGATGCAACGCTGTCTTGCGCTAAAATCGTCTCCTGTAACATCACCTTAAGGTCCGAATTTTGACAAATTTCGTGACACAGCTCCTTTAATTTTCCTTGGCATAATATTGATGTAGTAGATCACACAAGCTATAGCAAGATATAATGAACATTGAACGTTGCAACATGTCAGTACATGACATTGACGATATTTATTACGATGTCCCTGCTTGTTTGTACGACCTTTTCAAATAAGCTGTTACAAAATTTAGTTTTGATCCAGTTTGTAGATTCGCAACTACGTAGTTTTGTTGAAAAGATACATGTTGTAGAAAAATCACAAAGAAACTCGGCACGCATATAGAAGAACTAGTGAACAAAATATACCAGTAAAAATTCTGAAACCTAGTGTTCATAACAATTCGATCTTAATTCTCCAGTTCTGGATTGTTTAGCTGGGCGCACACAACATATACGCTTTCGCACATAACAAGGGAATATTCAACATGTTTCTCTGACCTCCTTATCTAGGTTTGGTTTTTCCACTGCATCAATGTGGCGTTCAAAGGTAGACAGGTAGAGAGCGAGCTTTTTAGCTTGAGAATTACTGAATGCGACCTAAAAAAAAAATAAAACAAAAAACAAAAAAACCTCACATTATATCCCTGCTGCAAAACTACGAAGATGAACTGGGTCAAACGACAGACAGTTAAACCTGTATTAAGCGAACCTGTAAATTAGGAAGTCACCCAAAAAACATCCTCCAACTACTGAGAAACTAACCTGTATTAATGGGTCACTTCTATGAAGTGTTCGCGGTCACCTTTTCAGAGGTTCCAACGAGTTATTTTTATTTTCTTTACCTCCATTTAACGACCACTTTGTCAAGATAGGGCGAAGGATGTACTGTACATGGTTTTAGTGATCTTTACTGTTCTTTTCTTTTGGCACAAAGAGAGGTAGTAATGTCTTGAGGTCATTCTTCTACCTGTATTAATCGCTCAGTTGGTCATTTCCTAAGAGTTGTCGTTTAACTTTATTAAATTTTCAGTTGTAAAAATACAAGGAAATAATTGTATTTCAGAAAATGGGGAAAGCCTCTTTGGCAATCCCTTACTTGGAGGTCACCACAAGTAAATAAGACTATTTTACAAATGAATAATTAATTAGCAGAAGTACTCAAAAAAATCAAATAAGTCAGTATGTCTTAAAGTGTACGGTGAGGTGCCAATATAGTACACATAATACAGGTTTAATGGAGGTTTAACACAGTATTTTACGTTTAATACAGGTTCGACTGTGTTCACTTTTTTTGTTGGTGGAGCTCACCTCGCTCTTGACTTTAACTTGCGTATTTGTCAGCCATCTCGTCACCTTTTCCATGAAAGTTAAGTCGAACAAATGGTTTTTAAATCTGAGAAACAAGAGGTTAATTGTATTTAAAAGCTACATAGGAACGCGCTAAAAAAATAACACTGCCCGAAAACCAGAAAAACAAAACACACACACAATACACCACTCTCCAGACATCATGACGGCTCCTTTTACTTGAATTTCAATCAAAAGATTTTCCACCATTTTTTTTTCTAGGTTTACAAACTTCCGGGAAATAACACGAAAACCGATTTCAGTGCAAAAGAGGATAAGAGGATAAGACGATGATAGATAAGAGGATTCCATTGTAATGCAAAGAAGTAGTGAATAATTAGTTCTACACTGTGAAGAGTATTTTACCTTTCCTACTTTCTTTAAAAACAGAGAAAATTTTCCATGCGAGACGAAACGGGCGAGTGGCGATAACTATTATCACCTCGCACGCTTTGTACTGTTCTGAGAAAAGAAAACGATTGCTTGAAGCCTATCATTCTGATAAAACTCGCTCCGGTTGTATAGGAAAAGAAAGACAGCACATGAGCAAGTTCAAGTTCTCATTGAGGGGCTAACCAATCTTGGACCCAGATCTCTTGTAGACAAAGTCGACGAGATCTGGGTTCGAGATTACTACTCGGAGTATATAAAGGCGATGTTACACGGGACAATTCCCAACGACGAATCTTAGCGCAACAGAGCGATGCAACATTGTTGCGACATTGTTTTGAATTATCACAACATTTTTCCAACATTGTTGCCCTAAAAATCGTTGTCGCAAATCTCTCTTGTAACATAAGTATGTATCTCAGAGAACCGCTTCTCCCTGCCTTCTTAAAGCTCGTTCTCCAGGATCCCTTTGGATCAAGAGAATCGAATCTCAATTATCGTATTCAAATTAACTGCACTGATGACAGCCTACCTATCTTCCAACTTTCCAGCATAATCGGTGGCTGCCTCTAATCTCCTGGTCTCCATTCCCTCCAGTTCTGCCATGAACGATCCTTCAGAGGTGTCGATCTTGTTTGCCATGCGTTCCTGTAAGAGTGTTCAAGTTCAAGTTTATTTTTTGCCACAACATATACAAAACTAGAAGAAGTTCCAAATACCGTTGTTAAAAAGCTAATAGCGAGGAAGCCCTAGGGAAACCACCAAGGTTATAACGAATAGGCTCCCTCAGTTAATTAGTATAACGAGGTATAAACAGAAGTATACGTGCAAAATCAATGGCAGAGCTACAATAAATATTATAGTATATTAGATGATTTTATTAATCATAGTTAGGCTAAAAATGGAAAGCGAAAGTGATAAAGAATGCGATTTAAATAAAAATGAAAAGCAGGGGTAAGAAAAAAAAAAAAATCAATATTTATGAAAAGAGGAATGCTTTCAGCTTATTATAGCAAAAGGAAGAGACACTTATTGCATTTTGAAATTCAAAACTAAGACCGTTAAAGAGTTTAGGACCTTGAACCTTGTAGTCAGAGTAAGCATTCTCTTACGACATCGTCACAGAACAAACAAAAGAACAAACAGAAATGAAAACGTCAAATCTTAAGAAAAGTGCACTTACTAATTTCTTTCTGTACTCATCAACTTCGTCCGTCGAAAAATTGCCTCCATCAGAAAATACTCTGAAAATAGAAAGTTATGTTGTTAACTGGAACGCGATGGCAGCCTCCCATTACACATTACAAGTCTTAAATAATCAATATGAGATGTTCAGGTCCTTAGCCTATATTTCATGAAAAGAAAAAAAAAGAAAAGAAAACAATAAAAAGGGCAGAAGGCGACGAACGGATAGCTACTAACCAGGGAGGTCAACTCAACACACAGGTGAACGCGAACATTCTTGGAGAAAATTCCGTTAAAGGAGCTATGCGACGCTATTTGCTATCTTTTGAAAAAGCTAAAACGTTGTTTTCGCATCAATTATTTGAATTCCAAAAATAATGATCCAGTTTTGTTATTTAAGACTATATTAAAGGCATTGAAACTGTCTCCTGTCGTCTGCTGCAACGAATGGCGAGAATGGACATGGATTGAAACTTGAAAAAGTCAGCAAAAATCATTAACTCAAAGGTAAGTGTTCCGTGATCAAATTTGTTCAATTTCTTCTTCATAACTACACAGGAGCATTTTGTGTATGGGTACAGGTACTAACCTTAGCATATAATTGGCTTAAGATAGCAATATTCTCGTGACAGAGCCCCTTTAATGATCAGTGTAAATTGATAAAACATAAATGAGTAATCAATGAGCAGCACTGTTGTCTTACTTGAACGTTTTTCTGAATCTTGCATTGGAGTTCCGAAGAGTGCTGAGCATATCATCCAGGTCATGTCGAAACTTTCTGAGGGAAGTTCTGATGACATCCATGTACTAGGAACAAATACAGAACAAATGACCTTTAGCCTTTTAACCTTACAGACAGTCAAATAAAAGATGTAAAGAAACGCAGGGACCAACTCTAGGTGTCCGTTTTACTGAGGTATCTGTCCTTACTCGTTTTAGTTGACTCTCTTTAAGACAGGCACCTGCTAAAACGGACACCTAGAGTTGGTCTCTGCCTTTCTATACTACTTTTTGTTAGCTCTCTATAAGAAGGACATTCTCTAAGACCATCTGGCGACACATAGCGCCGGCACTAAAAGTTTCCGTCTTAAAGAGCGTTGACTGTATGTCAATGTGTCGCATTAAACTTATCTAGTGTTCACAAAAGAAATAAATGAATGAAGAGAGAGATAAAAAGCAAAGATTACAAAATCTTAGTTCTTACTTGCTCCACACGCCCAGAAACTTGATCTTGGATGACTAAAAGCCTGGAAATAACACAAATCAGAACGTCAATTTCATAACATTCGATCAAGAACATAGTTCCATCATATTGTTCCATCATATTGACAGTTGACAAATGAAATACTCACTCGTGAGTCTTTGTTGCTGAAGTGAAGGTCGCCTCAAGCTCTTGAACCGACAGTTTAAAAATATCCGTCTGGAAAATAAAGTGGAGACGTTAACTGTTTATTTCTTGGTTAAAATATTAACAGAAATTTAAAATCTACATGGCACCTTATAAGGTAACGTATATTATGGTAATTTTATTTCATATGATCCCGGTGATCATGAATGCACGAGGTCGATAAAATATGTTGATATTTCTGCGAATATTTTCTTACCCTATCTCTGTATTGAGAAAAAATTTTTACAGCCGATCCATTGACTTCAATCATAACTTAAATAAATAAATGAAATGACTAAATAAACAAACTACGATTTACAGGTAGCACATCTTCTTCTTCGTCTACCTGATCCCTGGTCGAATTGAAATTTGGAAATGTTGGTTTTTCAGGAGAGGGGGAACCGGATTACCCGGAGAAAAAACTCTCCGAGAAAATGAGAGAACCAGAACCAAACAAGTCCCACATGCGGTGGCGACGCTGGGTTTTGAACCTGGACCACACTGATGGGAGGGAAGTGCTCTCACCCATGCGCCACCCTTGCTCCACCTATAGGACAGTACAGGACCCTATACAGGACCTTCACATAAATAGCGGTTGTGAGAGCGTTTCTTATCAGTGTTTTATAATAGATTGACTAGTTCACGGTTTGATTGTCAGCTGTCATTCTTACCTCCTTATCATGTTCTTCGACCATCTGCTGAAACCTGGCTTTGAATTCATTCAGTGACGTAGTGACGCCTTTGCAGTGGCGCTCAACTCGTTCACGGTGCATCACCAACTCCGCTACAGATTACAATCAAAATGTCCTCATTAACAAGTTTAAGCTTTGCCTGTAAACCTGCTCTCTAGCTGGAGATAAGACGAAGAGAAGCACGGTCGAAAGTCCAGCTTGGAACCATTGACTTGTACGCTTTAAATATAGTAATTTCGCTTGTTAAATGAGTAATTGGTAACGTGGTGCAGTGGACCAGGGGTTGTCCAAGTATGAAGACTCTCGGCTGAACTGTTTCCTTTCCTTTGTTTGTTATTTTTTCCTCTTGTTTGACGGCAACTTGGTTTCAAAATTGATACTTCAAACTCAAATTTACTATTTTTTTTTTCAAACATCACCGCACAAGAATTTAATCACAGTTTGGCATGAAAAAAGAAAAATTAACAAGCCTCTAAGGCCCAGTTCAAACGTCAACTTTTCATGTACCGAACCTAATTCCTTCAATTAAGTACATGAAACGTTCGACTTTGATTTGGGCCTAACTCAATGCAATATAAACACGCACAAATCCTTGAATTTCTATCGACGTATATTGTCCTAAACTACCCATCTCGAACCTAGAGCAAGAGTAAGTGAAGCTCACTGTCTGTCTCTTTACCTGCTCTCACGTTATGTACATCTTGTTCTGCTCTGGCGGCTCTTGGTTCATGCAAATGGAGACGCAAATCTAATTCACTGTTTAACTCCTCGACCTATGGTGGAAAATGCAGCAACATTAAACTCCCTCTCTTTATCTGGGTCATGTTGTTCAAAGGCGGATTGCCAGTGAAAATCCGGGGTTAGTTAGTACGACAGGTCATAATTATGCTCTGTTTAGAGTTCACGGGTTTTGAACGATTCAGCCCCAGTGGATAACCGTTTTGGGTGTGTCCGTTAGGGAAATAAGCAATAAGCTGCTCACAAAACAACAGAAGAAGGAAATGCATTAAACACCCGCGTATAAGAACAAGGGGATTTAGGACATCAGTTGGCCGTTAAAGTTCCATATATACTAATTCAGTCTGATAAATAAAACATTTTCTTATATAAAAAGCAAGAGGATGCCAGAATAAGAAACCAATACAGTTACTTGTATTGAAGTACTATAGAGTGCTAGACCAAACAAAGTTTAAGAGCCATAAATGTTATGTAATGTTACAACTACTTAAAAACTTGATGTTGAGCTGTATTGCTTGATCTCTTTTATGAAAATGGTGACAATTTTTTATCCACTGTCCTAAACTTTGGACAGTAATGGAAAACTAAAAAGAAAATGTCGTCATGTGGTCGATATTGATTGAAACGAAGCCACTGCAAAAAGATTGAAAAACAGAAGCTATGAGCCCTAGCCGCCCGTCAGGTCGGCTAAGGCTGGCGAACTGATACTTAATTACACTTTGAACTTTATTAAGAAATACATTCTTTACACAAACTTTATTTCCATCCATAACCGCACACAAAAACAATGGGAAAAAAAATTTCAACTAAGGATAATATTCAACCACTACCAATACGATACCTTGGCTGACACCACACTGTTGGCTCTGTCCAAGGCCTGGATTTTCCATTCTTCAAGGTGTTCCAAAAACTGCATTCGAAGGCTGAAATATTAACACAAAAAATTACTCAGTGCTTACCCATACATATGCATACATGTTGTCATAGGTGACAAAGGCAATGTTGACCAGTTAATGCAAAAGCCCTATTATAACAGTTAGATGTCGTGTCCCCAGGCATCAACATAGTAAGGAAAAACAAAGAGCATAGGGTGTGTTGGGACGGACGGAAAAAGACACTACGTACACCGCGTCAGAGAGTACCTGGTATGCCACGTTAAGAACACAGACGCAAGCGCAAGTACATAAAAATGAAAATTTTTAATCCCTGCTGCAACTTAAGTTTGTGTTTGGGTTACGGTGAAACGAGGACATCTGTGACATTAATGTTTGCGAACTCTAATCTACTGATAACAATTCACTTGTTCAAGTTTCAGTTACATGCTGTGTTAGTTCTCAATTGCATAACGATTTTTTTCGGTAAACACTACGGTAAACTACTATACTTTATACAAGACGATTTTTTCACTCAACACTACCGTAACCTTCCTTTAGTGAGCTTAATCTCTATCTACTTTTGAATGCACTACCCACATTAAATAGATTTGCACTTGTGGGCAGTGCTTTGTTGAATGACATGTAATTACTAATGAAGTGTTGTTCTTGTCGCTGCGCCTAACTGACTTCTCAGGGAAATCGCATCAACTGAACTGTCTAAATGGTACAAGTCAAACGTCGCACTCAATTTAAGACAACTTACTGTCGTCTAAGTTCTAAGAAAAGGTCTTCTCTGAGAATAATGGATTCGATATAGCATGGCAGAACACCCTCATCATCTTCCTCCTCTGAAACACACAAGAGACACGCTTGTTCAGACATGATCAGTTCTCATATGGGTCTTGTGAAAACAAAGTCACAGTACACACTGTGCTATTGACTGGTGCTGCACGAGTTGTTCAAGTGGTACTTAATTTGTTAGATGGCAATCAGTTTTGAGTGAATATCCCAGAGGATTATCCGTGTAGATTCAGGGCATAAGCTGGAAAGACGAGCTACCAACGAACCAACGAAAGGTTAAAAGATAGGTGGGGCATTACATAGGCCAAATGGAATGTCACATTGGCAGCAACCTCTCCCAGAGACAAGTGATATGGCGTGATTCGGTGGGTGTTGGGGTTCATTTTTATGGCTTACAACAGAGTGAGCGGGTATTTTCTTAGCAGAGCGTCTTTGTTCTGTTTGTTATTGAAGCGTCCTGACGAGCCACAAAAATGGAAAAACAGCTGTTGAAGGTTACACCCCGCTCTGTTTTAGGTTCTATCGAGGTCGTGTAATGTCTTGCAAAGCCCGGTAGTATGATGAGTTTTGCAGATTTCAATGTGTCTACTTGGTATATTTTTGCTGATCAGGTCTCCTTCGTCCCTTTCAGTTAGTGTTCATAGGGCTATTAGGCCTGGGTTTGAAACAGTATCCTAGCGCATGCTTAACAATGATCTGACTCGACTCATACAGAGTCTTACTCAAATACGCTAAAATTAAGCAAGCGATAAAAGGCTCAGCTAGCAGGGTGTAGTAATGCCAAGGGCGTGAATTTGTCGACAGTCAAGATTGTCGCACTGTACCTTGTGTATCCGTAAGAAAGGTCATGCAAGTTTTCATGCTTTTAATACCGTCTGGAGTCTCAGGAAGCAGACCGTGTTCCCCTGGTTCAACCAGAATGTAAAATGTGGTACCATTTGATGTCGTCAGCACATCATCAATGGACGGAGGAGTTTTCTAACCAAAAAAAAAACATCAAAGGCAACCGATAAATCTTCTCCAACTGAAGTAAACAACTGGCTATTTAGGAAAAATAAGGGCAGCAATCTCACGAGATGTGGTGGTTGAGCGGTTAACATCTCGATCTTTGCCAGATCTGTAAGTCCGGGTTCCAGCCTGGCGTCGCATTGTTTTCTTAAACAAGAAAATACAATCCACATTTTCTCACTTCACCCAGGTCACTATATAAATGGGACAGGGCACCATACTGCTGGGGCGAACCTGTGATGGACCAGCATCTATCGCCTGCATAGCAACTGTTTGCACTGTTCCAACTTTCGCAAACAACTTGTGCGGGAACATTTGCTATGCAGGCTACACCCGTGCGGGCCTCGGGGTAACTGAGCGGTTATAACCTTTTTCACACTCACCACAGCCGTGCTCGCTTTTTTCTTGGACTTATCATGGTCACGTTTTTCCTTCTTGTCCTTTTTCTTTGGTTTTGGATCTAGTGTCGACTACAAAGAAACACAAAGAATAAGGTGATGTTCTACTACAAGCCACGCATAAAACCATTCTTAATCAACGGTCCCATATTTGCCAATGCAGATTGTCCAGAGGAAAAAGAAAACGTATTATCAACGGACTCACTCTGAGCAGGGAGGAGCAATCAAAGTACAGGTTGGCGTCGACAGTCATGACTTGACAAGAATATTACACCAGTCAGGAAGAGAAATAAAAAAAATTGCAACTCTCTAACCAACAACTCCGTCTTATGCGCCCAGTTGTGTGAATTTGTGAATTTCTTTGTCCGTTTGTTTTTCTCTTTGCCCGCTCTATAAGATGCAGTTCACAGTCCCTTTGTGCATCTAAATTTAAAAATCTAAATACGCAAATTTGTTAACTCACTAATGATCGTCGTCGATCCACTTGAAAATACTTGCACACTTCGCCATCATACTTTGTCAGTTCCTCTTGCACTAACTCAGGATAAGAGCACGACGTCTGTATTTGTTGGCCGTGGAAATCACTGTATCTGTAGACATAAAAGCGCGATAAATGTATACGTACTTATTATCGTCGGTACAAATAATGACATTCCAACCATACGAGCTTCCTTTGCACGGGCTGACTCAAAGTCCTAGACTTCGCTTCACCTCCATTCATAAGCGTTAAGAAATTGACGAAAGCAATTTAAGTGAATTAGCCTCCATACAAAAAACGGCCTCTTTTTAGCAATTTTCAAGTGCAGAGGGATAGTCCTTCTGCTACGAAAAATGCTTTTCTTTTATGCTTAAATCGTAGATATATCATTCATTTTCAATATTCTGTCAATGAATTTGTCATTTTCGAGCTAAAGAAGTCGCGCCAATGAGTTTTATCAACGCTGGTGGGCCAAAAGAGGCTCTATCTTCTCTTATTCAAATCTTCTCTTATTGAAAGAGCGCTCGTGCGTTCGAATTTGCCGCTTCGGCGGTCAAGAATAGCTAATGATGTCCACTCATTCTGCGCGATGTGTTAAACTGAAGAGGTGGGAACCCTATGCAAAAACGCCAAGAGGCACGTAGCTTGTGCGAGGCTCTGATACGTAGGGAAGTCGCGAAAACAAGGACAAGGGGAAATGAGATGCTCGTGACCACCTCCTCTCTCCCCAGCTTCCGCGCGTCTTTTGCATCAGTTTTTCTGAAAGTGCAGTAGCGAAGCTTTGTTTGTCATATATATTTGTTTTCATGAGTTATCGCCACACTTACAGTTGCTTGATCTCCCCAAGGGCTGCTAACGCGTTTTGAAGGCTGTCTGCTAAAGCCTACGAGTGATAAAAAGAAAAAGTAAATTTAGAAATTAAAATTAACAAATTCAGTGGTCGATCAACTGTCAAAATGTCCCATTTTCTTAACAGCAAACAGATACTATACCTGCTCAGATGAGTCCTGTCTCATCTTGTCCATGATAATGTCCAAGTTTGCTTCTCTCACCTGCAAAATTAACGCAAAAATAATAGATGTCGAGTTTTTCATCAATCAGAAAAAGCTGACACGATTCCTTTATAAGTTTCCAAACATAGTTTTTGACTTCTCAGTTTTTAGGACCTGACAATGAGCAGATACAGAATGAAGTCACTAGGAATTACCTACTACAACAAATCAAAACCTAACCAAAGTTTCAGCGGTCTGTTCGATTGAATATCAAGCGTGCTTTTGATATGAAATTAAGCCGCAATCAGTGTGCAAAGAAAATCATTTTTACAGCTTGCCATTTGGGCAAGCTGAAGCTAGCATTTACTAGCCCAGACGTCATTTCAACTAGCCCCAAAAGCTTTTTGACGAGCAGAATTGATTTCACAGTTCTTCCTTAATTCAAATTGCTCAAAAAACATCATTTGCCCGTCGGGCAAGTTAAAAACAGATTCACTGGCCCGATAGCAAAATCCACAAGCCCAGGGCTATCGGACACTACTTTCTTTACACGCTCCGCATTATGCAGCATTTTGTTCCTTCAAAACCTGATGTATACCACACAAACACTACCAGAAAAAAAAAAAAGTCGTTTGTTCAAGTACATTGTACATTTAGTCGGTTTGATGAACATTTCTTGTCATGACGAATATAAATATGTTTTCTTTGCCGCAAACTAAACGTACATGTGCATTTCGTTCGTTATCTGCGCTCACCTGGTTGAGACCATCATGGTCGCGCCGATTCTTCTCAAGCTCCTCCTGAAAGCAAAATATTAGAAGTACACCTAAGTACATTTGGACGCAAAGGGAATGCTGCTTTTACCAAACTAAGTTAATTGGCTCAAATGAAATTTTATCGAAGTTCTCGAAGGTGAGTAGCTGAAATATTTTTCCAAACTTGAAGATTACAAAGGTTGCCTCAAGATTTTTCAAACCACGAGTTATGTCGCTAATGTTTTATATCAAAGTCGACGCAACAACCAGAAAACGCCAAAAACAGAAAAAGAAAAGAAAAGGCAAGATACAGAACATACAGCCAACACACATGCTTCTACTCTTTGCGGTAGAACTTAGGGTCGTTAGATTTAAAAATAAACAAAATACAAAGCGATGGAAGTAATACCTTAATTTTTTAATTCATGTAATGTCATCAATGAAGACTCATGTAAAAAGGAAGCCGTTTAAGGTTGGGAACTTTCTGCTAAGAATTAAACGTCAGCTTGACTTTTTGATTGGTTTTAGATTTCTGCCCTTGCTTTTTGGATAGTCTTACTAAACTCTTCACCCAGGGTGCGCTCAAAATACCGGGCATTTAGCACACATTCTGTTCTGCTCCAAATGCTACAGGAATCCAAGGACCACTACGAGAGTGAGATTTTCTCGATACTTAGTAGTGCGCACTCGTGAACCAGCGTCATTTTCTCGGGAAAACGCGATAACCGTCATCGTTCTGCTAAGGGTTTTAGCGGCATAGTAACACAAACAGGTTATCGAATGTCAGTTGCCATTTTGCGATCGGGAGAGGGCTCAATCTTCTTCAATATAAATAACCATGCTAACTTTTCTGGTGAAAAAAAAAAGAGTAGAATGAAGCTTAATGAAGTTTAATCTCGTTCTCGAATCTAATATAATCATTATTGCACCTGTAGTTTTCTTTCCTGTCGAGCCAAGCCGATCTCGTGTAAATCCCACATATGAGCAGCTCCTTGCACGAATTTGAATAACGACTTGATAAGCATCTCGTGAAAACTGGTCAAGTTCTCCAAAGCACGCTGAAATGAGTAACAACCAATCATCCGGTCATTAACAGAACAAGTATAAAAATACCAATTGGAACTGTTAACAATTTCACAACATTTACCTCCATTTTGTCAACTTCGTGTTCGAATTTCGTCTGCTTTTCACCAACGAGAGGCAAAAATGATTCGTTCATCACCTAAAAAAGAAGAGTATGAGATGCAGCCTTCAATAAAGAACCTAAGAAGTCGAAAATTCAAAAGGCTGGTATATCCTAGTATTTTTTTAATTACAAAATCCAAAGGAGTTAAGATCGTCGTGTGAAAAATAAATTAACTTGATCACAATATCTTCGTGTTACAGGACTAAGGACTAAGGATTCGAAAGGATAATTGTTTCTTGTTAAGTTAAAAGCCTTTATTAATTTTTTTCATACTTAAATAATAAATACACAAACTGTCATTAAACATTACTTAAAACCACTACAAAACTACAAAACACAAAACATCTAAACAAATTTCATTACACACATTCGTTTATTAAGAACACACACGCCGCAGGCCTAAGGACTAAGAGTTCAAGAGATTCCACAATCGGTTTTCAGTAAATAATTCTTTACCTCGTACTTCTTGCTTTATTCGGATAATTATAATAAACCACCGCAAATTCATTTTTCAAAATAAATAGCAAGAACTTTTTTATGTAGGAATTTACAACTGACAATTACGTATACCTCTTCAGTCCTAACTGCGTCAAGAATACCCCCCGTTCGAAACTCTTCCTAAAAAAAGGGGGAAAAAAAAGGAAAAAAGGAGGTTCGTATTGATTTCTTCTCACGGAATAGAAAGACAAAAAAAGGTTTTAACTGATACTATTTCTTAATAAAGACTGTAAATTTTTTTTCTTAGTTATTGTAACTGCGGTGCTTTTTTCAGAACATCCAGGACGTTTGCAAAACAAGACTATCAAAAGGTCTGGAATGAGGCTACTGATTTTGAGAAAAAAACCGACTGTTTTGCAGTCTATGTACGGAGTGCGTTTCCTTTCACGCGGCCTGAAGCTAAGCAGATTTACTCTGACATGTGCACCCATGCAAAATACGTTTACGTTTGCATGGATGCTTACTAACCCACTAACCAGTACGCTTGACGATAATATCGAAGTAAACTGATATCTACCAACTGTTTATCGTTTAAAAACTACTGGAAAAAGAAAGTGTTTACATAGATAAGAAATCAGTAGACCTCTCACAGGATTGATCTGGTACGGCAAAATGAACGCTGTTTTATTACTTTTGGTATACCAACACGACCGCCGCAGCGTTATGTGTAAAAGGTCTATTATCATACATTTAAAATTCACAACGCCATATAATACAGGGAGGATGGGTACAAGCCTGTGACGGAAAAGTTTCGCGTGGGTGAACAGTACAAGCAATGATGGGCTAATTAAGGGTTGTCCTCGGATACAACTGACCAATCATAACTAACGCTTGTTCTCCCGAACGATTCCAGAAGTTGTTGCGCCCAAAGCTGTGTTAAGTTTAAGTTTGTATGGTTTCCTCATGCCCCAATTATAATAAGTCTCCGTCACCACGGTCTAAGCAATTTAAATTTTTAAAAAGTAAGCCTCTCTCCGCATACTGAAGGTGAAAAAAACAAAATACAAGAGAGATGACGCTATATACAATGGTAATGGTAATGATATTATACAACCTTGACATTGTTGATTTCGTCCATGCACTGCTCAATAACACGGTCGTACTCTGCCTGGATGATGTCTTTGTATCGTGCATGAACTCCCTCTGAAAAATAAGAAAAGGTCAACAAATGTGGAAGCATACATCATTTAAATCTGAAAATGATGTATTGCTTCTTCACGCTCCTCACACTTAACATAGGCCATATCAGACTCAAACTACTATTACGACTAAGATTCATACTCAGTTTTGTTTTAGTTTTGTCATAACTTTACTTGCCTTTTTCCATTAAAAAAAATGTAAAGCCACAATCATGCAAGCAAGCTTTCATTGGCTAGGAAAAATCGTTCGTCTGAATGGGAAAATTTGCCGATTTTTTCCACTCTCACAAGTATTAAGGAACAATCACCAGATGAAGGCCAGCAGTATGCGGTTGAGACGCCGTGATCAATAACAAAACGACTTTCTTGAGACAAACGATAAACAAGCCTCATCGAAACAGCTATCATTGTTATGAAATCCGAAAACGTGTCTGTTAACATGCCTTAACCATGGAGTTTAGAGCAAAATGGTTACGAATAATCGACGGTTCTTACCAAGTTGACGGTTTAGGTCAATGAGAGCAGAGTTCCATTGGTACACAGCAGATTTAGTGGAATTGGGAGGCCTCATGTTCCTGTTTATTGACAAGATCATAAAACACCTGTTAAGTCAAGAACTGGACAAAAATTGTGTAAATCCTTGCACATGTACAATGCATTTTTAGCAGCAGTTAGTTACTTACTGGCTTGCTCGAGCTTCTAAATCTCCCTACCCAGTTGCTACTGACTCTATCTCAAATAAGGTTTCTGCCTTCTAAAACCGTACCCACATCTCAGTGGTAAAATAAGGGGGATCATTTCTTTAAACGATAGGTTCATTGTTTTGTGTGCGAAAGGATAATGTAAATACAGTCCCTCCAGGATAGCATTTCAGCCCATTAACTCTTGTTTCTCGGGGTATTAACGCTTCCTTAGAACTGCTACAAGACAGGACGCAAATAAAAGGGTTATCCGATAGCCAGGAGCTAATAGAGGCCTGTTTCAAATAACGATTTGTCCGACGTGCAAGCAACAATTGCAGTGATAAGGTAACTGTTAGTGAAATGGGAGGGCGGGGGAGCGCTTAGCTTGCCCAAAGTCACCCTGAGTAGTGCAGTACACAGGCAGAAAACAATTATAAGTCATGAAACGTCAGTTTGATTATGTAGCAGTCTAAGTGAAACAAACAGAAATGTTTGGTGGCGTAAATCATCTTAACATAGCCTCCATTGGCCATAATTGCATTAAGGAACTGTCTTTGGTACGTTGTTATTGGCCGTTACGAAGTTACACAGGAAACTGGCGTAAAATTGGTCCCTAAGTACCTTCCCATTGTTCGACACAACACCGACCCAGTCCCAGGCCCAGTCCCAGTTCCCAGTCCCAGTCTCCCCGACCAAAAATGGCGAATACAGCGTTTTCACATGACGTCACGTGTGCCATATTTGTTTCCCAAAACAATGAAAAGGCCGTCGTGTTAGCATTCCAAACAAGTCCTGTGGGATTTGAACCTTCTTCTTGTGTTAAACATTCTTTTGTTCCAATAAATTTGCATAGCTGCCACCACGCTAGTGAAAAGGCTCTTTATGATCCCTACGAATAAAAGATCTCTTCGACAATCGGCCATTGTTACGAGCGCAGCGATTGTTGACACAACCATTTCAGAGATAGACTTAAGTTCCAATTTAAGACTGGTTTTCATAAAATCGCTGCAATCACTACGATCCATCAGATCGCTGGACTTTTCAGGGCAATTATATGAAAATCAGGCTTTAATTAACACTTCAATAAACAAACCTCAGTGATTCAAGGAGCTCCATCCTTTTTTTGTTCACAGCACTTTGTTCGGCAGTGAACAACTCCATCTTCCTTTTTAATTCCGGTGGATCTTTAACGGAAGAGCTGTTCATGAACTCGCTAAATACATACACAAAATATAATAAATTCTTTGCCTGTTCCCACCTAGCCTGTTCTAGGCTCCAAGATAGTCGGGTCCTCGAAATTGATAAAGCGCGAGGCTGATAATTATTTTCGAGCGCCTTTCACTGACCTTCACTCACACGCCATCGCTACAGCCTGGAACAGTTTAGTTGTCGCCAAGTATTTCCATGTAGATAGTGGAGAAGACGCGAAGAGAACGGAGCAAAAATTGGGGAAGGAGCTAATTTCATTGTTTGTTTGTTTGTTTGTTTGTTTATGTGTCTTTGCATGCTTGATTATTTGTTCGTTCGTTTTTTTGTTGTTTTCTTTCCACTCCTCCCTCCCTTTTGCGCAAATCCCCGCTACCTGAACGCCGTGGGCAGTCTGATGCTGAAATTCCCTTCAAATTCAGAGGAAAACAAAGGCGTTCTTTTCACAAAGGGGAACACGAGTGTGGAAATACAGAGATAATCAGGCCGACACAACAAAATGAGCCTTGCAAGCGAAGCTCAATAGCACTCGCACGAACTCTGTGAACTAGATACCGTATATAAGTTGGTGGGCAACTTTAAACATTCAAAGCACCGAAAAAACGAGTTTTTAAGAAGGTGTTTTGTCGTGCTCCTCGAGTGTATGTAACACCAATGCCCTGTCAACACTGCTTAGTTTTCGGCATCTACATCTACATCTGCAGTTTTAATTCACAAAGGTTGCCCAAACACGGGCGGTTGAGTTGCAAGAGTTGAGTTCTTCGGTGATTGGCGCCCTTACTACAAGAAATGTACAATTCCAGCACGTTTTCCCTTGTTTCCTTCTTCGCAGTTATTTTGATCTGAGCACAGCACTGAGGCCGAACATACAGTGTGCGCGAACAGTAGCTGCAGTTTTAAGCAATATGTGGCGTGTTTCCGTGACGGGTGCTACCGTTTAAAATATTACTTACGTAGAATTTTCAATGTAACATCGTAGGACGTAAATGGCTGTGGGCTGAAGGGCGGGTGTTTGAAAGGACAGGAAAAGGGGAAATTTAGATGATCAGATGATCTTACTTGAATTTCTCTATTGCCTCTCGGCACTTCAGTTGTCTCCAGTCCTCTACTCGAACTTGCCAAGCGATGTAAGATTGCCTCTCACGCTCCACGTCAGCTTCAAAATCAAAATCATTTCAGAAAATATTAGATACGTGAAGGGGAATACTCAACATGGCGTGGTTTCTCTCCCAATTCTCTTATATCCTCTCTCCCCTCCAGCGACAGTGGAACATCACACGTTGAACAAACATCATATGTTCCTCAATTATTTTTTTGGAAGGCAGTTAAGTATTGCTCTCTCTAATACCCGTTTCAAACGTTGAATTAGTCTGCGTGCAAGCTCTCTAATGGCGAGCGAAGCGAACCATCAATCTATACGTACATATACTCCGTAAATTATAAATCGTCAATGGCAACGAATGAATGTCCATAGCAGACATGTGTAGGAAGGGTACAAGAAATTATTGCTCATCAGTACAAGTAATTGCTCATTTAAGCCAGGTGAGAACGTGTGCAAACAAAATTCGATATTAACGCCTTAGTTTGACCAGATATAAATTCATACAACCTCCGCTCATTTCAATCTGTCTTTACGAGCAGAGGTACTTTAAGAAGACAAAAGAGACACTTCATTGCGGGCGAGAGGAGCCCGCATCCTAATCTCTAGGTTGTTATTACGCAAGCGTCGCATGTATGTAGCCAGCATTCGTTTGGACTTCCACTAAGAATGAATGGAATGCATAGAACGCAATTTGATCACCCACGTTTGGACCTTCTATCCCTCGTAATTTGATCACGCGTGTTTTGACCATCTGTAACGTGAAACTTACGCAAAGCACATCAAACGTTAGAGCAAAAGCGTTTTGAACTTCGATCGTCGTCGCCCGCACTCCGTAACGTTTGGTTATTACTAGTACAGCTATTATCAAAGGGGCAATGTGAGATAACTGCACCACGAGCCCATTTCCCCTGACTTACCACTGAGTAAGTTAGAGATGAGGTCAGCATACGCCCTTCTGTTCATCAGAATAGTAGAGTTTACACGCTGAGCCTCTCTTTCCAGTAGTCTGTGTACATCAGGTGGCATCAGATGTGCGACTCTTTCTAGAATTTTGTTAAACCCTTTCAGAGTCTCACAAATCTATCATTGTAAAATGAGAGAAACTAATAAGCACAGTTTAATGACACACCCCAAGGGAAACAGTGCATTTTGTTGGCCCTTGACACTCAGTGTTCCCCAAGGCAAAGCAAAGGTTACATACCAGTCATGGAAATCAATTTAAGCAAGACTCTCCTCGCCCCATTAAGGGAATCCAGATTCCGGAATCTGCAAAAATTTTGCTTGTGGAATCCCCAGAATCCTGGGCTTTGGAATCTGCAATCTCACTAAGGATTGGAATCCAAAATCCAAGACCCAGTGACAAAGACAGGGATCCTTTGCCTGGAATCTGGAATTCAGGACCCTTACACGGGGCATTGTTGCCATGAACCGGTCATTTGTACTAGGGTTGGCAGTTACCTTTTCTTACTTCTGATAGAGCTATCCTGTTGCCTTTACCTAGACGTAATGTTGTACAACTGGTGGAATTTGCTGGAAGCAATGTATGTCCCAGGCCCGAGTTGTTACGATATTGGACATAGCACTATCCACTGGATAAATTAGCATCCAGCAGATGCAACTGTATTAGGGAAACCAATAGCCTTATCCACTGGACAGAGACTTAAATCCTGTGAAAAATTATAGTTTTATTTTGAACAACAGTTGTTCAAAATAACACTATAATTCACTGTAATTCACTAAGACCAGAAGTAGATTTAGAGATTAATTTCTGTGAACAACAATCTCGGGGATGAGAGGACAGTTTGCAGCAAGCATTCATGGCTTGAAATTTGTGAGCTATTTTATGCCAATGTCTCTGTCAGTATAAGTAAATTATATAATTTTAGGTCACACACCATCTAGACTGTTAACAGTCACATCTTGGAGCAAAGCCTTGGGAAGGATCAGGGATGTCACTAAGATTTCAAGTTCCTGGGTAAATACAAAAAGGAGGCAGGGAATAAAACAGCTAGGAATATTTTTTTGGTTCTATTTTTCTTCTATTTTCCTATGAGAGTAGCCAGGGGCCATGTTCAATGTTATATCACCCGGCGGAAATCCTCTGCCCCCGCCTCTTAATGACAGCCCTGAAAGGATGTAAGAACTATTTTTCACACAACCTTATTCACTCCCTCTCTCAACCCTGAGTAGATTTGATACCCTTTTACAGCAGGTTACACTTGTCTTGGTACAAATAAAAATAAGAGACTGTAATTAGTCTACTCACTAAGTCTCCTCTGTCAATTTCAACTTGATCCAAAGTGACATCCAACTCATTAATCCATGATTGTCGATGGACAGAATGTTCTGCAACACTCTCCCACAGCGCTTCCAAGTCAGATAAGTTATGAAGAAGAAGGTCCTAAAAAAACACTTGTCTACTATAAAATCTGCTGGGGCCTATACCATTAGCACAGACCTATCAAAATAGTGTTAGTCCACCATAACTGAGTGATTTCTGGCATGCTCATTGGTCTAAACTACGGCCTACAGGAGCACACGCACATTATTTGGTATAGACCATGAATATAATGTTCAATAAATAATATTGAGTACACAGTTTGTTTTTCTTTACATCTCTCCTTGCTGATTTTCCAAGAAACTTCATTGGAAAGCTAGCACTGAAACAAGGAACATTTTGGTAGATAAGGGGATAAATTTTTGATCACAAATACACATGTACCTTTCCTTCAGATAGAATTTGTTCTCAAAATTTGCCAAAGTTTACAAAAGCTCCCGATAAGAACCATAATGTGCATTTTTTTCTTCAATTTTTTTTAAAGGAACCTTGTTGTTGCCGATTAAATGCTCATGCATGAATCATACCAAGAAAAAGATTAGAACGTTCAAGTAACTTGCATATTCTGTGACAAAATTTTTAAATACTTACATCATCACATTCTATTGTTTGAAGTAGTTGCTCAATTTCTGAGAAACAATAAATAAAGAAAAATAAGTTCATAGTAATTACCGGTATCAAATGCCATAAGTACAAATTTCTTTCATTTGAATTCTTTTATAATGATGTTTCTGAGACTCAAAAAATTACCAGAATGTAAAGGGATGTAAGTGCTACAGCTAGTGTACTGATTACTGCTAATGAAGTTTCAGCTGGAACTATTACTAGAAAGAGTTTACTAAACGAAGAAGGTTATACATGTTTGCTTTAACAAAATATCATTATTCACAGAAGTTCTCTCTAGAAGATATTTAATAGAAACTTTATAATCATTCATAAATACCTGCCAATTCCCGGAGTACAAAAATCTGGAGACATCTAGCTAAAAATCTTTGCATTTGTAAGAATGTCATTTCCGACAATGTCTGAATACTCTCCGAAAATCACCCAAAGGCCTTCTAAATGTTCCCGACATTAATAACAGCGTTAAAAAACCAGGCCTACTTTCTACCAGGTATTGTGCAATTTGATTGGTCGATTTCTGACCAATTACAATACTCGTTAAAGATATATCAATTTGGTTGCATTGCTCTGTTTTACGTTTTCCGATCTTGAACAGCTCAAATAAGAGCACTAAATCCACTTCTTGTTTATTTTCCTTTTTGACATCTTGAAAATAACAAAATTACTGAAAGAATTTGACAAAGGCCACAGTGGCTATTTCCTGGGAGATTTGGTGCTCTAACCGGGAGACCGGGAGATTTGATGAAAACTTGGAGATTCCCAGGAAAACTCGGAGAGTTGGCAGGTATGATCCATATGACCAAGCATTAAATTCACTATACTTTCCCTAAGATTAATTTTTACTAAAAAAATTGAAGTGCATTAAAAAAATAACAATTTAATGATTAACTTAGACGTGTCATGAACAAACTCTCACCTTTATCATTTTCAAGTAGAAGCTCTTTTAAATTTTCACATGATTCAAGAATGCGGGGCTCCAGTTCCTGGCAAGATTGTGAAATAAGCTATGTTAAAAAAGGAAATCAAAAGACTTGCAGGGTCCTTATTCCTCGTCTCTCGCCAGGTGTTCGAAAGTATCTGCTTGCTTAAGAAACCTCACATTATAACGAAGTAACTTACAGCATTGATGACTCCAAATTCCTGATACATATCCTCCAAATAAGACTCATGCCTTCAAGAAAAAAAGGTCATTAGTATATAAACAGTCCCACATAAGTACCTGTATTCCTAAAATATAAAAAAAAAAACACACACACACACACAAAAGAAACTAAGAAAAATAGTAAGCTGGAAAGTACCAGTAGACTAACAAACTCACTACACAATGTATTTGGCATAGTATATACACAAACAGTTAAAGTCAATGTGAATTTTCAAGTAGCTGTAGCATACCTTTCTTTTCTGCTAGACTGTAGTCTTTCTATGATGTTTGTCCTCTTTTGAGTTGATTCTTTGAAACACAATGATTTTTTTGGTTACAAGGAGAGATTATTAACGTTCATTGCCACTATAATGTAATTTCAGAGTTCTACCACTTCACGACACATGACATAACAATTACAAATATTACAACAGTATAATGTTGCACATGTATTGTACCGGTTGTTGTATTCTTATGTTACAAAGAAACTCAACTGATAAAACAAAAATGACTTTGAATACATGACAAGGAAAATAGTTCATTCTTACTTGGTGTATCTGGAAGTCCTCTGACTTCTAAGGCTTCAAAATAGCTTTCTGGTGTAGAATTTTTCTCTATAGAATCAAGAGCTGCATATCTGAAAAGGTGAAATTAAAAAATGATAAGGCAGTTTAAGTTTACAATCACATACTATCACTATCATACATACACTGTAAGGACTTTTTACATGTTTTAAAATGTAGGTCTAAGGAATATTTTATTTTGTTAAACCCTTCAAATGTTTCTCTTTTTCTGATTTGCTAAACCTCCAGCTTATTGCTCATATTACTAGCTAGCATTGACCAAATTTAGAAGATGTTTGCTGATATCAATACAACTGCCACATCTGAAAAATCAACATAAAGAAGGTCCACATCGGCCTTTCGCTGCCTACTATTGACCTTTCAATAAAGTATGTATTTATGTATGTATACATGAGGCTCTGTAAATGTACTTCAGGTCCCAGTTGTTCAAAAGGTGGATAGCACTATCCACTGGAAAGTGCAATTGGTTTCCCTAATACTTATCCACTGGATAGTGATTTATCCGGTGGATAGTGCTATCCAGTTTTTGAACAACTGGGGCCAGCTGTTTTGGTGGGGCTAATAATTGTTAAATATTAGCCCGCGAGCAGAAGTTTCTTTCTTGTATGGCTTTTAGCATTTACAAAGTAGTTTGCGTGGCAACTATGTGACAGACAAGCCACGCAAATGGTTTCGTAAATGCTAAAAGCCATGCAAAAGAGAAGACCTCTGCTCGCAGGTTAGCTAAATATCTGTCAGCTTACATATTCTCTTTCCACACCATTTTACATACATGGAATGGTTTTCATACATTGGACTTACTTTAGATGTACAGGATTCTCAATGCTGCTCTCATTTGGTCGACCATGCATCCACCGCTTCTGCCGTTTTGTCAGAATACCATGGCCTGTTGTAGCCCTGGCTTCTCTCACCAGTGGAAGAAATGGCTCCTTAGGTTTTGGTGGGAGCTTCTCTTTTTCAAGTGCTTCTACTAGACTAACCTGAAGGTGAGTTAATGTCATAAATTTAATAAAATTTAAATTATAATAATAAATAATAAATTTAAATTCATTTAATTTTAATTCCATTCAATTTACAGTCTGAAATTCGCAGTCTATCATAACTCGCGCCAGAGGTGTCTTACCATGTAATTGTAAGAAAATGTTGAAATTTGGATATTCCACAAGGTGAATACACAAGCAGCGCGCTATTAAGTTAAGTATGAGCTAACGGCTACCCTGCAGTTGGTAAAAATATGTTGAATATTGATCAACGATTTGGCTTCGTAAATAGGTCGTATATAGCGACGAAAGAAATAACAAATTTCACCGTTACCTAAATGCCGATCGACTGCAGTGAAGAAGAACGAAATAAGCTTCATTCACTTAAAACAACAACGGACTACTGACCTCTGCATCAAAGACTTGCCGATAAACCTCATCATCGGGTAGCAATCGACGCGGAGTTACTTCAGTCTGGGCCATAACAAAGTCTCCTCCTTCTTCTATAAGGCAGAATTAAAGCTAATTTCAATCGTTCACAAAATCCGCCATTTTGATGAAGAGTTTGTTTGTTAGCAACACAGTCTACCCAGTCTACCAACGGCCAATGACATAGCTTAGTAGCTCATGTACAGCAACACGAATTGTACACTGTGTTGCTGGGATTGGCAAAGGGATCATGCTGGATTGAGAATCGTAGGTTTATAACTTTATTGCCCAAATCCGTTGGTCACAGAGTGGTATTTTCTTTCTCATAAGCAATTTTGAATATCCTCGATTATTCCTTGCTCATCCACGCGAGGACAAACTGGCACTGCGTCACATGTCTGGGACGACAGAGGTTGATATCAAGTCAGGTGGGTAGTGTCTACGCCTGAGAGGTTCCGATATTTTAGACAAAAAAAGCTCTTCCTTTTTTAAAACTGATGCCAATCCTTAGTATCACATAATGTACCAAAATTGTCTTGTGAGCTATTGATGCAAACGAAAACTACGTTTCCAATCAAAACAGTGCGCCAACGACAAATCATGAATACACAGATGACCACTTCCGGCCTTCCTTCCAAGAACTCCAGGCAGAACTTCTTCACTAGTGTTCGCCTCGATAACAAAAGCAAAACAAAAAAGGAAGCCTGTGAGTTAGCAAATGAGAAATGTCTGCAACAAGGCAACAAAAAGATCCAAAAATAATGCAATTGAATTAAAATGAGAACAAGTCAAGTCATAACGTGATGAAGGCGTGCCAATTCTCACCCGCAGGGGTATTTTGAAGAACGCTGAATGTCGAACGCCGAATGGCTTTGAAGTTTGGTCATTTACATTAGGGTTAGGAAACTGAGTGAGTCAAGTTTCAGGTTAGTTTTCCCAGTACAATGACCCTAAATAAAAGCTGATTCACTCAGTTTCCTGAGTACGCTGTGGCTATATATCCGGTAACCGGTCAGTGAGGTTTTCAAAACACTCAGAATGACCGGCAGTCCTATATTCTCAGTAAATTTCACAAATCGAAAAAATCCAGCTAAACCAAACTATCAAATGTCTATTAAGAAAAGTCAAGCGATCCTGAAATGCTTTATAGATCTCAAGTCTAGCGCTTGGTTTACGTGGGCTCAGAAAACGAAACCATGTTCTGTGACTCTTCAGAGAGAACTTTTTTAAGCTCGACTGCCGCTCAAGGTGTTGAAAACACTAAATGACCAGCAGTCCCTATTTAGGTAGACTGCAAAACAGTTCGTATTTTTGCGTATTCAATCAAGTACGCCCGAGCAGTCAAACAAAAGGTCTGGAACGAGGCTGAATAAAATGCTGTGTAGAATCGCTCGCTCACACTTTGGAATCTCATTAAGATATCAAGTTTGAGGTCTTTTAGAAAATGCCAAATGTCAAGACCTATTTTTATTTTGAGGCTGGTCATGGTTGGTATAACGGGTTTGACTAGGTAAACGTTTATTTTCGGAAGATGATGTTGTTAATGTGTTCGGGGTACTATGATGTCATAGTTATTTTGCAGAATACCAGATTAGAAAGACGAATTATGGTGTCTCGTTTAAAAATGCAAGTATTTTTTAGTTGATTTATTTTTTTTGTTTTAACTTCTATTTCTTATTTTTATTTATCACTTGTACATTTAGATTCCCTAAATTATAATTAAGTTTCTTCCTGCATACTAATTCCGTATAGGTTTACTAATAAGCGTCACTCTACTACAATAGGAACAATAGGCTTGCCTAGACTTGCCCGGTAAGTAACTTGAGCCCGGTTTTCGGACCGTCTATTAAAAAAAAAATAGGAATAAGAGAAGCGATCACCTAGCAACGCGAGAAACGGCTTCCTATATCTTATTTAGCGCTAAAACTCGGATATATATAAACAAAACATACACAAATTGGAGCTGTAAACTCTGTATTTCAAGTTTGTCTGACTATTACAGAACGACGACTTTAACTTTAGGTTGCAGTTTCGCCTCTTGTAAATACTGTCTTCGCTGTATGTGGTCTAACTGATGAACATCCGCGAGATGGTTAGCTAATCTGACAAGGTACTTCGCCCCACACGATGAAAAAAAAAAATTTACAAGAGGCGAAACTGCAACCTAAAGTTAAAGTCGTCGTTTGCGAAAGTGAAGCGGATAATCCCGGAAAAAATCACTATCACAATCCAGTACAGACACAAGAAACGGTGTACTGCGAACTGTCAAGATCACAGAGAAATGAAGCCTCTAAGACGAACTACAAAGAACAAGACAAAGTGCAAGAAACAAAGAAAGTCGAACTCTTGTCTTAGAGGCCATAGGAAAATTGTGTAGACACGGAAGGATTATTTTGGAACGGAAAAAAAAATTGTAATAGTCAGTCAATGGATTAATTTTTATCCCTTTTCCTTTCAATTCGCTGTGTATTTGACTCTTTTTGTCATTGTTTTTTAATAAAGTTTTTTAAAACGGTATCTCTCTTGTGGTTTTATTCCTAGCAATTATTAGTCGCGTGTTCCAATTGATCCTTGTTAACTTATTTGTTTTATAATAATACGTCAAGGTGCTCCCTTGGGTCTAGCTGTACAGATGAACTAATTTGTATTCAACTTTGGGCTTGTGAACTCGCATAATTAAATGATTAACCGTGCGTGAAAATGACAAGATTTCAATAGTTTTTCTTTTCCTCGAGATAGAAAGGAGAAAACAGTTCTGTAATAGTCAGACAAACTTGAAATACAGAGTTTACAGCTCCAATTTGTGTATGTTTTGTTTATATATATCCGAGTTTTAGCGCTAAATAAGATATAGGAAGCCGTTTCTCGCGTTGCTAGGTGATCGCTTCTCTTATTCCTATTTTTTTTTTAATAGACGGTCCGAAAACCGGGCTCAAGTTACTTACCGGGCAAGTCTAGGCAAGCCTATTGTTCCTATTGTAGTAGAGTGACGCTTATTAGTAAACCTATACGGAATTAGTATGCAGGAAGAAACTTAATTAGTATGCAGGGAATCCAAATTAGTAAGCGGGAAGGCAGCGAGCAGGCTTTTATACCGTTCAAACAATAAAAATACGGCAACCAACCAGAATGCTTCGTCAGACGAGACAGCCAATGAGCGTCTTTCTAATTCCGGTCAACCAATCAAAACAACTATGACATCATAGTACCCCGGAATACATATGACATCATCTTCCGAAAATAACTAAAACCTGTCAAACCCGTTATACCAACCATGACCGCCACAAGATAAAAATAGAACATGACATCATTGATAAACCCGTCAAACTGGATATACTTAATGAGATTCCACCGCAAGTAGATTCTACCACAGCATTTTATTCATGAGATCAAGACAATAGCCTATGACGTCACCTAGTTAATGTCTTCCTGCGCACGCTTATGAGATTCCTGCGCAAAAAAAGGGGCCTAACCGGTCCCTCCTATACTACTAGTCACTGATTGCAAAGGTTGTCATTAACTTTTTTTGTAACAAGTTGAACACGTAGCGTCTTTGTACAGGTAAACAAGAGTCGAAAAAAAAAACGAGACTCTGATTCAAGATGGCGGTTTAACAAGTCAAAGCTTCCGTACTGAATTTAAGGCGGTCACGCAGAGTCACGCAGTACTACGATTATTGTAACATCTTCTTTTTTCTCTATTCTTGGGAGAAGATATTCCTAAAACACTAGAAATGAGTTGAAATAGAGGACAGGATAATAACAGGAATAACTGTATAATATGTCCAAAACCAAACGGCAAACAGTTCCTGATGATAAAAAGCAATCTAAAAATGGTGACACAGTTTCAAGGTCGTATCATATAAGACAGCTTCGCTGCGCTTGTTCTCGAATGGTGTGGTTCGCTTAGCTGAGGGCATATTACAGCTTTCTTCTGAATGGTGTTGAACGTGACTCTACAGAACAGAGTTTCCTTGGACTGGGCTGCAATTGGTTCTCCTCTGACCTGGTTTTTGAAGTTGGGGCTTGAGATGATAGGTGGATTGGGAGTTCCTTCCTAATGTTTGTCTCAGGCAACTCGGCGGTCTTATCGAGGTCAGAAGCCGTGTCGAGGTGCTGTCTGTTGCACCTGTAGGTGGATCCGCTTGACTGCACTTTGTCGAGTCACCTCAGGTTTATTCCATGAGTGAATGGTTTCATTCCAACGGTGTCACCTGGTTTCAAGGCGGGCAAATTATGAGCTGATCGAATGTGATACTTGTCGCAGCTGTCTCCGGGCAAAGTTGCTCGGACTCATGAGCATTGATTTTCTGCTGGGCGCAAGCAAAAATTTTGGGGTTGGTAGCTAAGTTCTGGTCCTTTTTCCCATGGGCCTTTGAGCTGGACTGCTGTCTACATCTTGTGTAGGTAGGTCCCTAATGTTAAGTAGTGCCATTTACTGATCCTCGCCAGATTTGATGGTCTTGCGAAGCATTCGCTTTGGCAACTTTTATTGGCGACTGAGCTTTACCATCGGTGTTTTTACCGTGATGGGGAGAGGTTGTGCGGTGTTTGAATTAGAATTTAGCGGAGACGAATTGTAAGCCATTGCCTGTAACCAGCTTCTTATTAACTCCATTCCTTGCGAGGTGAACCTTCAGCTTCTTAATGACTGTGCGGACGACTTGGTGTAGTTCCTTCAAGTACAGTTTGTAGGTGGGTACAGGTGTAGCTGAAAATATCAGCCCCGATCTTCAGCTAGGGTCTTTCGGGAATAATCATGGCTTATGAGTGACTCCTTACATTGGGTTTGCTCAAATTCCATGCATGTTTCACAGGTTTGGATCTACTCCTTAAGTTCTTTGTTCTTCCCAGGCATGATGCAACTCCTTGATGGCCACAGTGGACGTCTATCTCTATTTCAGATCTCAGGCTCCCAGGATCTCTCCACTACGAAAAAAAATGAAATGGCCATCAGTGACTGAAAATTCATCACGACAGTCGAGGTGTGACAAGAAGTGAGAGAAGTGGTTTTTCCTTTAGCTAGCCGTCTTGGATGTTTTTCTTCAACTGAACCGGGTCAGCATTGGATTGCTCGTGCATCTTGCTCATTTTTTCATCAGACGTGACGAAATGGGTGAAAGAGGTGACAGTTTCAAATTCACCTTCGCCATAACTGGTGCCTTTCGAAAGGATTACACTGCTAATTAAGCCCGTTATCTGGGCTAAGCATTACTTTGCCTTCCGGGTACTGCGCTTTGATGTTGCAGGCCAGGACGCGTAGTAACGTATACCTTGAAGACGTTTGGGAGTCCAGTCAATCGGCTTCTTAATAATGGGCTTCAAGGACTTGTGATCTAAACATATCATGACAGGTCAGCCAAACGTGTACTGATGGCATTTTTCGAGAGCAAATGCAATGTCAAGCATCTCCTTTACGATGGTAAGGTAGTTATTCTCGGCATTTCTGAGGGTTCTGCTCCCGCAGGTTTGTGGTTACCTCTTACAGGAGATCGGCTCCCAGACTTTTCCCACTGTTTTCACAATGAATATACAGTTCCTTCGTAGGGTCAATTTAAAGTAAGCGAGCACAGGAGCTTGTTTTAGCCGACGTTTGACTTCCTCAAAGACTTTGTCCTGAGCAGCGTCCCAGTTCCTTGCAGTATTGGCATGGGCGAGAGCGTTTACGGGTTGTATTATTTCTGAGAGTCTGAATACGATCTTTGACAGATAGTTAATATTTCCCTTCAGTCTTTCCACGCCTGCCTTGTCAGTTGAGGGCTCGATCCTTACGACAGCTGCTATCTTTGAAAGGTCAGGCTTAAGGGCTAGGCTATTGAGGGTGTGGCGGCCCCATGATTTCCTCGCCCTTTAAGGCGTGCATGTGAAAGGTTGCTGCCTCACGGGCGCGGCATATAAAATCGTGCGTGGACAAGAGCTCTTCCTGCTCCAAAAATAAAAAATTACAAAGGTACTTAATCAAACCCAATTAACAGGAAAATATTTCTCTAGTGTTGCTTATCTTATTTTAAGCCATTTCCATGCTCAATGGACGAAAACCGGCCCCACAAGGAAGATTTTGTCAAAATTGTATTTTTTTTTTCGCTACTCGCTGGCGGTCGCCAAGGGGTTAAATACTACTTTAAGCTGAAAGCGGCTTTTGTCTACAACAAATTCACTAGGTATCACACAAGTAGATTCGCTGGGAGAAGAAATGTTTTCTCACGTTATCTCCGCGTACTCTAGTTCCAAAGAAAGGTTTTCCACACAGCTATGTCCTTCCTTTCGGAACTGCATCGTTACGTTGCATTTTGCACTTCATTATGCTGCAGAACGTTGACGTGTAAACAAAGATGTTCGTGTCGTGACCTGGCAAAAAGTTAACAATTCACGTGAAATCTTTTTTATGACTGTTTCCGATAATTTGTCTCAGTTTGAAGTCGGGATAAGAAAGAAACTGCGCTGGATGAGCTATTCCGGGACGTCGCTCAGTCAGTTGGTTAGGCAAAATTGAAAACTATTCATGGCGTTAGTAAATGTTTATTGATTAATTGTTAACTTAGTCGTTTATTTATTTGTTTTTACAGGTGGCAGTCCCTCCTCTCAGTGGTTTAAAGTTGTTTTTGTTGGCGATGTAAGAGTTGGCAAGACCTCACTTATAAAGGCAGTCAAATGTGAGGAGCAATCTAAAGAGTACAGGCCAACAAGAGGAGCCTGGATAACACACTATGACTTAACAGAGAGATGTCGGCTTCACATAACGGACACCTCGGGAAAACAAGAATTCAAAGAACTTATTGACCTATATTTGAGGAATCTACACTGCGTTGTCTTCGTGTTTGCTCTTGATGACCCCTCAAGCTTCAAGCGGCTTAATCACTGGCATCAAGTCTTCACTCAAGCGTGTACAGGCGATCCCTCTAACGTTGTAAAGTTTGTCGTAGGTACCAAGACAGATGCACCTCGGGAGAGCTTAACGTTACAAAGAGAGGCGATGCTGTTCGCCGAGAAGATTGGTGCGGAAATGTGGATCACATCAGCCGCTAAGTCGTTTAATGTATTTGAGCTATTCGCTAGAATTGCTGAGAACGGCAGTCGGCAAATGTCCAATTCATCTTACGTTGAGTTGCTACCGAGAGAAAGCGACTTTCCAGATGGAGAAGCTGGTGACTTGTACGCTAATATGTTGGATGATGTAATTATTGGCCGCGGTGCCCTTGTAAGTTACCCTGATCCAGTTCTTTTGGACACCAATGGAGAAGAGATCTCCGATCTTATCTTATCACATCACTGTGTTACTATGATAGGACAGAGCAGGACGTTCAAGTGGGGAACATGGTCCAATCAACGGTGAGAATATTAAGCCTGTGATTGTAGCAATCTCCCATACCAGTTTTCCACATTAAGTTCTATGAAATGTGACTGCCAAAGTCCTTGGATGTGAGTATATATGTCTACGCAATTGATGTGTATAGCTGGTCTTCTAATGGGAGAATTAAATAATTGAGAAGCCAGTCCATGTTATACCATTTCATACCTTTTCACGTATAATTAGGAACTTATGCAAATGTTTTGGCCAAAATCTCCACCTGTTATCAGGATGGGTTGAGTAGACGATAGTCTCTCAATTGGGGCGGCTGGGTCGACCAATTAAAAACTTGGGTAGAGGTGAACCGCTGAGAGAATGGCTTTCATAAAGCAAATAATTTTATTTGCTTCCAGCCATTCTCCCACCTGGCACGTGCTCCAGTGAGTGTATCAGCGCCGGCAGCACGCCTGAAAAAAATTATCGTTTAAAGTACTTAAACTCAATATATATATATATATATTACTCAATTATTTTAGATCGAAAGAAGCAGTGATGAAGGAGAGCCCAGGAACGTTAAGAAAACCAGCAAACAAACTTTGGTCTTGCGCCATGGCGAATGCACCACCAAGCACCTGGCAGCACGAGAGCCTGGAGGGTGTTATCAAGTTTGGTACTACAATCAGGCGACAGCCCACTAAAACAGAATTCAAGAACATCAAAAAACTTCTTTTCACTTCACGTAAGTGGTCACTTTCATTCAGTAGACGCTTGTTGAGGTAACGTGATCTTCCTGGCTAAAAACCAAGGGAAAAATATTTATACTTGAAATGGCGTCTTGCAAAACCGCGAAAGAGAAGATAGACAAAAGCGAAAACAAATCATATCTCTTAGCCAGGAATCAAAACGCGTCGTCAATCTCATGATAGTAGGGAGTTTAAGCAAGGACGTTGTTGAGCGACGAATGTCAACCAGAAGTGGACTTTTTGCGCTTCTTGGCCGTGATTTTGAACAACTTCTTAGGCAAATCATCTCTATAAGTGTAAAGACACTTAGAAATACAAATTTGGTTTCGTCAAGGCATATTAAAAGAGAAAAAGGCTCACTTCCGGTTGACTTTCCACCCTCAAAAACGTCGCTACTTAAACTCCCCAGACTACTCTGCCCCTATAAACATCGCGAAATGCTAAACCCTCCATTTTATGTGTAGCCAATTTTTTTAAACCTACCAAACAAAATTTGCCGTCATTTGAATGGAAAGGCCTCAAGCGGCAGGTTTCTTGAGCCCGATTTGCTCCAAAATCACACGAACGAAGGAAAAGGAAAGGAGTAAAAGAAAGAGCGAGGAGGAAGAAACTAGTAGAAGAGAAAAATCAATGGTTGCACTCGTGGTGTTTACAATGGCTACTTTGGCCGAAAAAAAAACTGTTGGACACAAAAAGTCCAATTGGCGGTAACGTTTTCAAAATTTCGGCTAGATGTATAACCTTGAAAATTTTTCTGAAAAACGCCGTTTGAAGCTGCTCGTACCACGTTTTGGTCATAGTCTGCCTAAAATGGCAGAAAACATTGTTTACAAGTCGAGCATTAGGCTAAATTTTGTTGCTGATGGAAAATTACAGCTTCCGAAGTTGGGACATGCAGTTTTGTTGCTAGGCGACTGCGGACACCATTCCATATATGTAAAGGCACCGGTTATCGCTTCCCGGAAATAACCGATTTTTTAACGACGTACTTGTTGTTCTTGACTTTACCTTAAACTGTTCGGTTACTTCCAGCTCTAGTAGCTGGTGAACGTGCTTTTTTTAGGGGAAAAAACGAAGAAAAAGTGAGAAATTGAGAAACGAGAGAGGAAGAGGTTCACGCGTCAAAGCAACTCACCATCTGCTCACACTTCGCTATAGCTCCGCTCCAGGGAATACGTACGAGATGACTGTGGTGACTTTTTGTGGTTCGATTCCATTTAGGTGACCATTTAGGTTGGGAAAGAAACCGTGGACTATTCTACATGATGCTCCACACGGAAGAGGACAGTGTTTTGGAGGTCGGCCTGCACTCGGTGTTTGACCAGCAGAGTAGGACATCATCTGCGGAAAGTGTCGTTGTTGAAAACAATTTCCATTTCAAGCCTACACGAATTTGCGGACAGGCTGCCTCTGTTAGCTTGTCTTGCACTCACTCGGCCGTTGTTGCGGGCGACGCCAACGCTGTTTCAACTTGGGGACACGGAGATTGTGGAGCACTTGGCCTCGATGAGTACCTGATTGCGAATTTCAGTCCTCCTTCTCCAATCGCTGTAACGTCAATCAGCTGCCAAGTCAAACAGGTCGCCTGTGGTGGAGACTTTACATTGATTTTGACCACCGAAGGGCTGGTGTATTCTTGCGGCGCGGGTGCATTTGGAAAGTTAGGTCATGGAGACGAACAAGACAAGCGGTTGCCTTGTTTGGTACGTATCCCTTTAGAGTTCCAAACTGCATTTTTCGGAAGAATGAACGTGATAAATATTCTCACTCAAGTCTCTTTGTAGCGCTGCCGCCTGATGTCGGAGAATCATTTTTTTTCTTTGCTGCTTGCTCGTGACATGACCATTTTGACATTTTTCTTGTTTAACGCTGTTTTTATTCACGATTTTTGTAGTGTCTGTTTTCTCTTAAACTCTACTCTGCTCAAGTAATATCTAACACTGCTGATCATGTACGCTGTTATATTTGTCTGGACCCTCAGCTAATCAACAGAAAATTGAGAACAGTTGTCTCTCCGGCTGTTTTAGGAAATCTATCTTGTTTCATCCTCGAAGACTCGATCATCGTTACATATATTTGTGTTTTAGCCTGTGTCCAATTTTCCGCAGGCTGAGCTCTGTGGAGTGGAAAAAAGACTGAAAAAACCGATAAAATCTGGTCCCTAAAACTGGTCAGAAAAAAGCGATTTTTTTTGTTGAAAAATCTTTGTTTTTGATCTAACATATATGTTTTTATCAAGGTGTTGTTTCAAGGCTCCTCGGACCCTCATAAAGGGCCAAATAGCTCTCTTCTGTTACGTTATCCTTTGATTACAACAAATACACTATTCATATTCTCCACACTAAAACTCCTTTGGAACCAGGAAGTATCTGTTTAGGAGACAATCAAGCTAATTTGTCTATTTTATGGATGTCATTTTCTCTCAATATTACCTTGATCTTTCTGCTTGTGTTAATACGCAGAGGCGTTAAAAGGAGAAAACATATAGAGGATATTACATGGCCGCGCGGACATACGAAATTTCTCTTCGAGTGTTGAAAAATATTTCACGAGTGAGCGCAGCGAACGAGTGAAATATCTTTTCAACACGAGAAGAGAAATTTCGTATCTCCAAGCGGCCATGTAATGTTCTATCTATTATATAAACACCAATGAAATACCAAACCATTTCACTTTAATTTTTTTTTTTGGTGTGAAAGGCACGATTAATTATGTAGCCATAGTAACGGTGATCTTTTCACAAGTGAAGATAACATGTTATTTTCACGTATGAAGATATCTTGTTTTCGCGCGAAAGCTCACCTGGTATTTCATTGGTGTTTATATAATAAAAGTAAATACTGGTTTCTGTTGTGGTCAACGCATTTCTTTTATACTTGTAGATTGAAGCCCTGTGGAACATGAAAGCCATTGCAGCAGCGGGTGACCATGCCGCGGCAATAACCAACAGAGGATTTTTGTACCAGTGGGGAATGGAATGTGCCGATGAACAGCTAACACAGTTTGTATCAACACCCACTAGGGTGGGGCAAATCGACAACATCACTGTGACGTCACTCTCGTGCGGCACGCACCACACTGTCCTCGTAGGAAACGGGCGGTGGTACACTGGAATCCCGTATTCGTGGGGACGGGGGTCGTATGGTCGTCTTGGCGTGGGTCATTCCAGAAGTCTCTTTTCTCCAGGATGTGTCAACGAACTTTACTATAACTCAGGCAAGGTTATCACACAAGTTTCGGCTGGAGACAAGCACACCGCATTTTTAACAAAGGATGGAGAAGTTTATACGTGCGGTAACAATGCTTTTGGACAGCTCGGTTATCTCACCGCTTCCGGCTACAGCGATGTGCCACGTATAGTTTGCCTCGGGAAGAACGCCACAGGAGATGAAATCAGGTTTGTTGTTTACATTGTGTTTTGGTTTAGGATAAACTGGATTCCTGTAGTAATGAATAAGGTGAAAAATCGCCTCTTTTAAAAATGGCAAACGACTTCCACGAAATATTGCCCTTCACTCGAAAATTAAACTCAGTGACAGCATCATCGTCATTATGATCTGGTGACTGTTACGCCACATTCTACTGTTCTGCAAACAAAATTCGAAAACTTCAAGCATTACCAACAGTCGTTTGTTGCTGTTGATAGTAATCCGGTTGACCTTCAAAAGACAAGAAAATAAATACCCGGTGTAAAAAAATTTTTAAAAGGTGCTCTTGCCTCAGTATCCTGGATAGATGAATTTAATATCCTTTTATCTTCTTTTGACAACGTTTTGTTCTTTGAACTTAGGGCTAAGGAGCTTTTTTGCAACGACAACTACACAATGGTCTTAACTAAAGATGATGATGTGCTAGTGTGGGGAGCCTGTTACTATGGGTCAAAATTGGAGGATCCAATTCCTTTCGACGTCAACGACAAAACTAGCTTGAGAATTACTGATATCACCACATGCCGTGTCTTGACAGGAGAGACATTTTTTGAGCTCGTAGTTGCCTTGACAGATGACAGCAATCTGTTATTTTGCGCTGGATTGAAATCTGATAGTTATTGCCAAGCTGCCGACGATTCAACGCCTCCAATCCCATGTAACAAAACAAATCTGAAGACCCTTTGCTCCGTGGAGTCTGTTCTCGTCAGCGTGGATCAAGAAGGCAATGTCTATTACACTGACATCGGTTCATGGATTTCGAGGTTTTTGCCTTCTTTCCCTACAGGTCATAACAGCCCGGAAGACTTTATACAGGGTTTGTTCTGCCAGATGAGAGAATATTCAGACTCGTCGAGTCCACAACCCGTAGAGTTCACGGCCATTACATCATTTAATGAAAGTACTGTTGCAGTTGTTGAGGCAAGTCTCAGTACCTTCCTCTTCTGTTCAGACATCGGTGATGTGTTCAGTTGGTCTCCGTTAGTAGGCGGGCATCTTGTTCACCACAAGGAACTGAACAGTGAAATAATCGTACAAATCGCCTGTGGAGCAAGCCATTTGGCCGCTTTGTCAGACAAAGGCATTCTGTTCACATGTGGCGAGGGTCGTTCTGGCCAGTTAGGTAATGGCAGTTTTCGCAGTATCGAGGCATTCCAGCCCGTTCCGGTAACAGAATTTGACAGGGTGCAGACTGTATTCTGTGGCTGGGCAAGCACGTCTGCTATCACAGAAACCGGAAAGGTATGTGCAGTTTCTGATCAGAAACATATTATTTGCTTTTCTTGCTTATTGTGCGATTGACTCTACCATAATAAGGGGTGTGGATGATCGCCTCATTAGGTGGGACGTTAAGCCGTTGGCCTTGCTTCCTTCGTCGATGAACTCGAACTTCAGTTATCAGGCATATCAAACATTAAGCTTATAAATGGACTGATAGTGAAATCTAGTGGTGCCTTTGTATGCTGGCATCCGAGTTCACTGTCCATAAAGAAGACGCGGCGTACTGTCGTCCTATCATCCGCGAAATGACAAATAAACGTACCCTATGTTTAAGAAACTTGATTCTTTCCATTTTATCGTCCTTTAGGTATATTTTTGGGGACAGCTCGATCTGCGCCGAGGAGAGAAGATAAGGAGAAAAGAAACGAATCTACGTTCACCGATGACCCGCTTTGACCTTGTACAACCCCAGCTGAATCAAGACAACACTTATTCTTTAGGTCCAGTAGAGTACCAAGTGGAAGAAAGTGGTGATACTTGGAGCGCAGAACATCAAGTTGCTGTTGTTGGCAAGCCGTTTTTCGTCAACATTTTGCCAAGGGATCCGGACAAAACTGAATCTGGTTCGCGTATGGTAAGACCACATCCCTGAACTCACAAATTTACGTTGATCATATTAAACTCTGGTAATTGACGTAACTGGTCAGAGTCTTCACACCCAAAAACATAACGGTTTAACTGACGGGTGACCAATAACATCGCGATCTAATTGACCAATCAGGTCAATAACCAGAGCTACCTTGACTTTTAAGATGCATGACTTCTGCACAGATTGTCGAAAGGTCCGTCTTTGTTACCAACATTCCTATTCAGATTCAAGACACTCAACCGGACGATCATATTCCAGGTATATTCCACATATCAATTAGACTGTCAGATCTGGCATTCCACTCAAAACTGTTTCTCTATCGTATAACACAAAACCCCTGACGATTGGTCTCCATAGAAACAATTTATTTTTTGGCTTTAAGAAACATTGAGAAACTCAATTACATCTAGAGCAACCATTCAGTAACTAACACTTATCTGGCCCAAGAAGAAAAACATCTACGTTTTGAAATGAATGAAAGTAAGTCTTGGTAAGTGGTTAACATTGGACTAACAGTGCATTGTTAGTTTCTTTATGTTGCCTGCTCAAAGCTTTTTGGCGGGAAATAGTTTCAATTTCTTGCATATCAGGTGACCTTGAAGTAACGAATAATATGCGCGCTCTTAGGTTGAAACTCCAGAACTATTCCCACTTTTATGCGAAATTTATAATAGTCACTTTAGTGTATTCTTTTGACAGGAGTTTCGTGTGGTTGCAAGCAGCTTCCAAGACCCAAGTCAGCTGCACACTAAAGGTCGCATAACCGAGTCTCAGACTATTGAACGGACTTTCGTTGCTTCAATATATTTCCATTCAGAAGGACCTTTTAACGTCCATATAACTAGAAATGGCCGAGATGTACTCGGAAGCCCATTTAAGGTGACTCTGGAGAAAGGTGTCATGGTGAAAAGGAGTAAGCTGTCTTTGATTGGTTGTGACATTGACTGCATGAGAGTAGTTGGAGGCGTTCTCCAGAAAGCCATCGAGATCAAAAAATCGGAAACTGAGTTATGGGGAATACCCAGTATAACCGCCGACTTGTTGACACAAGAGGCACTGATGCTGGCGTCGATGACCGACAGTGGAACGTACATCTACGTCTGGGATGCCAGCTGTGGCAGCCTTGCAGAAGAGAACCTTAACTTTTGGTTGCACCAGCTTGCCGTCTACGCTCCCTCAGCCAGTGTGATTCTACTGGGTGTGAATCTCAGTTCCACGCGCGCCAATGAAATGGACTTGAAGCCTTTCCAGACGGTAAATCCACAGTTAGGTCAATCCATCTTCGCCGGCACCACTTTCACATCGGAACCAGTTAAACTCTTGGAGGAATTGTTACTGGTGGCTGGAGGAACGAACACCTGCCTAAATCCTGTGTGGCACCGGTTCGAGTCTCTGGCAGCTAAAGTTATCAAGAAGAGAGAGAGTGGCGTTGAAATTCTTGACGAGACAACCTTTAAAGACCTTGCTGGCGAATGCGGCATCCACGGCGATTTTCTCTGCAAGGAAGCTGTTGAGCATCTTGAGATGTCAGGCATCGGTCTTGCTGTAAGAGAAAGACCTTTCTTCACAGTACTGCAGCCTCTTTGGTTGGCGAGACATCTTACTGAGATTGCCAAGACAAGTCAGAGTGGATCATTAGACAGGAACCTCATAGGTATGCAAATGTGTGTGTGATGAACGTTGGTGGTGTGTTATTTTCAAAACCTCTAACCTTAACAATAGCTCTGATTTAGACTTCATTCTTATGTTTACAAAAGTTTATTTTAAAATAGGTCAACGGCTTAGCGTGTACTATTGAGTCGTGGTCGAACGTAGCAGGTTGCTAAGCACGACAATCGTGTAACGACGAGTGCAACTCAAGCTTCTTGAGTGCTTAGCAAACCTCCCAAGTGTGCCCATAACTCAAAAGTACACGTTAAGGCGTCTTCCATTTGTCTTTGTCTAATCAAAGGAGAAAAACATATTTGCTAACAGATAATAAGGTCGGGAATGACGTGAGTGCTGCCATCCGCGCGTATTATGACGTGTGCAGCTCGTTGTTTTCAAACTCTTTTCGGTCGAAAATGTTTTTGCTGAGTATAAGTTATTTCCGCCTTAATGTGGATTGTAAGACCCTTTTTACGTTATCTTCAACGACTTTTGACACTTTCTCTATGCAAACAAAGTATAATCATGCAGAAATTGGTGAGCATTCACTCATGGGAAAACAGTTTGAGTCGTCAGAGGGCTCTTTACTTTTGTTATGTTATAAAATGATATCGTAGCATGCGCGCTAACTCTTGGGGGAAGGGGCTCTTGGGGGGTAAGGGGCTTTCGCCCATTTTCCCTCCTCCACCTCCGACGACTTTCCCGCAGGTTACCGTAAAGCTCATCTGATTTTGGCCCGTCTCTGATTGATCGTGCACTTTCGTTTCCTCAGACATGCCAAAGCAGCATGTTGTTAACTTCCTTATCAGAAGACGCCTAGCTTTGGAACAGCTCGACAAGAAAACGGTTGATATCATTCCTTACCTGTCGTCCGTTCCCGAAGAGAGCTGGCTATTGGTGGATAAGTCAAAATACACGACTTTTAGACATCTGGTGTTGTCCGTTCCACCATATCACCTCCATTCAATGTTTCAAAATCTCGCCGCTTGTATCCTGCAAAAATTCGCCTCTGTATCACTTGGGAAATACACGTTAGTATCCTACGCCGGTCAGTTTCACTTCCGTCTTGACTGTGGTCCTTGTATCGTCAATAGGAGTGTTGCAGAGGTGCGCGTAACAGTAAGAGCGCCTGGTCAGACCATTTGTACAAAAGCCACGGAAGAAGTTTTGAGTTTTCTCCAAAATTGTATCAAGGAATTAGATCATTCATACCAATTCACCGTAAAGGTATCGTGCAGCGTATGTAGGCAGTACTATGTTGATTTGATCGAAGTTCAAGAGGCGGCAGGACAAGGCGAGACTGAACGTGCGTGCGGGCGATGTCATGGCAACCAAATGTCGTTTTCAAACTTACTGAATGGTTTCACTGAGAGTCGACCAGCACCAGAATTTGATTGGCGTCCTTTTTATAGAGCTCGAGATCCAGGTTTGTATGTACACCAGACTCAATTTACCTTTTTCTTTCTAATCAAAGATCAAACGCAACTTTTATAGGCGATGAAGATTGTTAAAACTGGAGGTGCAATCGAGTTTGACATTTAAAGAAAAAAACACGTTAGTTTTCCACTATCATGACCGAAGTTGTTTGACACAGTTGTTGTCACGATTATTATTTTTTTGTTTTCCGGTTTTCAAATAAGCTTTGTTCTCTCTAGGATTAATGAAAAAGATAGCGTATGTTGCGAAAAATTTTGGAAGGCATGTCAACCTTGTGTTTCCTGAGATCCACTCTTGACTCATACCAATTTGAAAGTAGAGAAGCGACAAAACCTCCGCCCAATATTTCGCATTTTATTTACTTGACAATCGATTTATTTACTAACTTAAATCAATTTTTATTCAACGTTTTGTTCCTACAGGAAGTCCCTACTCCAAGAACGATATTCTCTCCGCAGACACTCTGTTACGTCCCTTGATTCGCTACATTGGAGATAGGGAGGACAGACAAGAGGCAAAATTGTTACGGGAAATAAAAGGGATGTTCGAAAACATGACCAAAGCGTTCGTGGACATGAAAAACGTAGGTTTGTTGTTTATAAACTCTACGTACATAATGGTCAAGATTACACATGATATTTTGGTTAGTACAATGTATTTGAAGCCGAAAAGTTTCCAGGATATGTTCACTTAACAAATTAAACAAATTTTGTACCAATGGCTGTTTTGCTTTTTGCATGTTTGTTTGTTTGTTTGTTTTCCCCCACGTTGTGCGCAGAAGATGAACCTCTACGGCGAATTGAAAGGTTTCATGTGTTTATTAGTATGCATCAGTATCATTACCTCAATTTGGACTGGCTACCAGCCAGTGTTTGATCGGCTGTGAGCACGTTTTCTCTCCCTCGTACCTACGGACAATAAACAATTATTGCATGAGGGTTTTGTGATATCCAGAATATTTTAGGTCGAGATAGGTAGTGTACGAACGCGCTTCCATGTGGAGCTGGCGGGGGGGTGGGGTTGGGGGGAGAGAGATAAAAAATCGGCAAGCGTGAGCGTGAGCACGGGAAGCTTGTAGACTTTGTTTTGTTGCCGCCCATCCGCCCATTTGCAATTAGCCTGTAACTCATATTTCAATAACATGTCAAAAAGGTAATTAGACCTGTCAAATTATCATGTTTTTGTTTTTTACGCTAGGATGCATCGGCTCCATTCGCAGGCTACGATATATGCCAAGGTTGATAACACTTACGGATACCTTGATTATTCTGGATATCCTTCACAATCTAATAACTGCTTTACCATACATTGTTTCGAAGAAAATAACGATAAACATACCATTGCACAAAACACAGTTTGACATTGCTCCTGAAAATCATACATTCCGTGCGCAAACAAATTCCACAGGGGGCCCTCACAAATTGTGGGAAGATATTATGCGATGAATTCTTTTATAGAAGGTCGGAACAGACATCTTTTTACCTGAAATGTTGTGTATTGTTGTTCTTCCGCTGAAAACGGCGAATTTTAGCGATTTGAAGGGTTTCACCTTCGACGTTTACCTGACCGTATAGTAGAGAGACAGGTAAAGGTCGAATGTAAAACCCTTCAAATCGCTGTAATTCGCCCTTTTTAGCTGCAAGAATGACCTCATAGAAAAGAATTCATCGCATTGTATTCAATTCCTCTAAACTGAAAACAGTACAACGCTCAAAGAAATTGTGTGGGCCCCGTTTGGATTATTCAATTATCTGCTAGCAGATAACTTATCTTTAGGTTGCGCTGTCTTTCTAAAAAACTTTAGCTAAGCCCTTAGCCAATGGGTCGACAGATATTGCAATGAATCATGACAGAGAAGTGAAACTTTTCACTGCGCAGTAACTTTTAGGTTGCTGGCTTGCTATCATTGTTTATTACCATTAACTTTTTTTTTTTAGTACGACACTCCGAGGACTGTCTGCATTCTTCCCGAATTCCAAAGAGCATCTGTTACTAAACGCGGTGCGCTTAAAATGTTATTGACGTATGGCAAGCCAAAGTACCGGCTCTTCCTTCTTTGTGAGGGGAACGGGGATGGAACGGGTGTGCACTTTCTAGACTACAGCAGACACAAAGGTTACAGACTAGAAACTCCTTTAGCTGCTGCCTTTATCAAGGATTGTGCGGAATTGCTGAGGTTTACTTTCCAGGTGCTTGCTGTCGCTTATTTTCGAATCCCTCATAATACACTCTGTTTGGTCCCCCCTCTCCCATATATTCGATATATTGTTCTCCGTTTGCAAGGTCCATTAGAAAACAAAATTGATCCAAAATGAATCGCGCATTATTTCGCCTTTGAACATGCGTTCTGTTGCACACTGCGTTACATCATTATTGACCAAGCGTGTGGTGAAGATGGCTAAATGTTGGCCACATTCGTTTTGCGTTTCAGTTTTTATGGATCGAGAAAAAGTCCAAAGTCAATAACAAAGCATAAAAGAATTAGGCCAGCATTAGTAGTATGGTAAGGGAAGATATGTACCTTTCTTTGCAAGGGAATCTAAAACCGATGACGTCATGGCCTCTTAATAAAATGTGAAGAAATCTCATTATAAGGATAATATAAGGTCATGTGCCTTTTGAAGTGGTTCAACCGGTTCGATAGGTTTGTGCCATTTTCAAGTGGTTCAACCGGTTCGATAGAAGATTGATGAATGTCCCGCTAGATATTGAGATTCCCCGGCATAAAAGGTTAATTTCAGCCTACCATACTACTAACTTCAAGCCATCTTGACCGAACCGAGAAGTTTGATCAAAAAGGGATTTATTGTTATATGGCCAAAACAAAAAACCCGGCGTTTTACCTGCTTTACCGTTGGTGTTCAAGCACTGGGTCCGGTTCCTCGAAAGATGGTTAAGTTTAACCCAGGATTAAGCCAAATTTTTGCAAGGTTTTCTTGTCTAAGAACATGCAACTAGACCTTAAAAAACGCTATTGAGCTTTTACCCCTGGTTACGGTAATAACAACACAAAACGTTACTCTAGGCAATATATAAGAAAGTGAATACATAAAGTGGAACAAAATTATATTCAAATTTTAATCCTGGGTTAGCACTAATCGACCTTTCAGGAACTTGGCCCTGGTATCTATATTTTATTCATCTGATGTTCTTTCTGATGAGCTATCGTTGCTTGAAAAGTCGCTATTCACTGCCATGACGTTGAATCCACTGCAGACTCTTCTGGGCCTTTCCAGACAGCCTTTAGAAGATGTCCATTATCCCGTGTTGAAGGTGTTTATAAGCCTTGCTAAGTACAAATGGGCTCAGGAACACAAGACAACCTGTCTAGCCGTGCTAGAATGAGATCATAATGACCGTAGTACAAAGCATTATTAATTTGCAGTGTTTTAAACTAATTCTAATAACTATTCTAATCATATTCACTAATAGTGACTGAATAAATTAATGCCATGTTTCTATTGCTCAGTAAGTTTAAACTGATAGAAACCAAAAAAGCTAACAAAAACATAAAACAAAGGAGTCTAACGGGTTTCATTTGACCATTCCACTTTAATTACTATGATCTCTTCAAGTTCTGTCCATCCGTGCCTCCTTTTATATTTCCTGTGTTATTTATACCTTTTTTTATAAAGTTCAAAGTAGTTATGCTTATGTTTCACTCAGTTTGGTGGCAGTTCTCATTGTTTATTTATTTATTTATTTATTTTGATAAATAATTTCGTGACACAGTTCCTTTAAATTATTTTCAGATTCTTCTTTCTATTGGCGCTGTCTATGCATTTGGAGTTGGCGTGGGTCTCTTTGCGTTGAAAGATGTTCAAGAAACCTTAGCCAACCTGCTCGGTATTACTGAGAAAAGTAGTGCTGTGCTATGCGCTGTTCAGTGGAAAAATATCTTCAAAGAGGTTTGTTCGTATGAATTTAATTTTTCTTTCCAGGTTCTCATTTATTATGAACCAAAAGAGCTTAAAGGAGAATTGAAGAAAAAAATGTATCCCTTAGTTAAGCATTCCTTAGACAGCTCTATGTAATTGAAGATTTACAAAATATGTAGAGATATATAACCTTCGTTGACATCTCAATTTCTTCGTTGACACAGATGGAAGGGTTTCTAAAGGAAGTCCAGGAAAGTTCAAGCTCAATTTCTCAACCCCAGGGCCTCGAGACGCTGTCTGGAGCAGGGCGTGGCTGTCAATTGGGTGGTAAAAACTACGAGCGTCTCCGAAAACTTTTGTCCGAGTGGGGACCTAAAGATGACTTCGGTGGATTGCGACAGGAACCTCGCGATGGATTAGGAGCAATCTGGGTGTGTGAGGAACACAGAAAATACAGCAAAGAAACTAGAAACATCATGGTCATGCCATGAGCTGAGGCGAAACTAATGGCGCTTTCCAAACGTCAGAACTGGCCGTCCGGACCATGGCCGCACCAGTCATTTTGACACAGCAATAAGCTTTTTCAAATAGTTTTTGCTAAAAGTATACCTAAAGGCTAGAAATGCTGCCGTAGGCAAGGAATAGTGAAGAAATGGAAAATTAAGTGTAAAGTTTTTAGTAGAAGGTGATGTGAGGCTAAGAGGGCTTAATCCAAAATCTTTGTCAGTGATGAGCTAAATTTAGAAATTATCTTCCTTTTGAGTATCGCGTTAAAGGTGACTAACTTAATCATGAGCCAGTTTTAGTATTTTTCTAACGTGCTCGCGTCGCGTCAGAAGTGGCCAGATAATTCTCCATTTTTAATATGTATATAAATCATTCTCGCTTTCAACCGTGACTGAATGACTGAAACTTATTTTGAAGCTTTGATTTGGCGATACGAGGAAATTTTCTAACTATGGTGTTCAGTCTTTCTGTTCGCACAAAAATCGAGCGATTTCCACGAAACTTAAAATTCTTGAGTTTAAGACTGTTTATTTCATCTGCCAAGTTTAAGGAAATTTGTTCGACTGTGAACTGCGCTACAAGATAGGTCTGAGAAACGACCATGAAAACACACCATTAACTTGGTCACCCATGTCACGAATCAAACACCAATTTAAACAATTTTGGAGGGCGGTTATGTTCAATTTTTGATAAATACATGACACATAAATTTTGGGCGCGTAGCTCTAATGCTGCTTGTGTGATTCCCTCTTAGAACGGAAGGAAATTTGCTTGGAAAATAGTAAAGGGTGCGGCTATATGACCGGTAACCGGTCAAGATTTTCAAAACACTAAGTGACCGGCAGTCCGATATTTTTTTCAATAATTTTTTTTCAAATCGAAGATTCCCAGCCAGACCAAACTATCATACGTCGAGTAAGAATAGACTGTGAGAGACTTATGTCGTGTTTACATTTGTGCATTTACCAAGGTAAAAATTTACTAAGGTCAAGTTACTTAACCTTGGTACATTCGTCCAGTGTTTACACTAGCTCAAATAACTCAAGTTGATCTGTCAACACTCCTGCTATCTGCATTATCTACGTCATGAAATCGAACTGGCGGGAAATTCTAAAACCATGCTGGCTTCAAGAAGTAAAGTGGTGGCTTTCGTGGCCATTGCTTTTAATTCTTAATTCAAGAGCCGCAAACAGAAACGTCAAGATTTCGTAAGATGTTGATGTTACAACACCTCAAGAGGTCGAGACGAAAACGGATGGTTTTACTTCAAATTGCTTTAAAAAATACCAGACGAGCTAGACGTGTGTGGGCATGGCCGTAAATAATACTGAAAATGAAAAATACAATGCCTTCTTTTACCTGACGGATTGTTCGCCGTACGAAGATCGATCCAATCGTTCCCTGACTTCTCTGTTATCTGCCATGATAGAAACGTGACAATCGCCGATCTGCTCACCGCGGGATGTGACATATTACACCGCTACAAGCGGATATATCTGTCATCTTTACCTTGGTTACCAACTGTAACCATGCCTGATCACAGGGTAATTGCAACTTTTACCTTGGTCAAATTTCTTTTGTCTCTTGAGGCATTTACCGAAGTATTAGTTAGCGTTTACACACGGAAAATGTTTACCTGGGTAAGTAAACTCTCGTACCTCAGTAAACCGTTCAAGTCTAAACACGGCATAAGTTTATGATCAACAAATGTTGTCAAAGTGTAAGTCTCTTCAATTTTGAAGGAAAAAAATTCACTCCAGTATGAGCGGATTCGATCCCGGAGCATAGGGTCTGCATACCACTATTCTAACCACTAGACCACCGTTGTTTCTCTGCAATATGACGATTTTATTCAAACATTATAGCGTAAACCCCAACCCAAAATTCTCAGGGCTTAACCCTGATCAGTTTGGTTAGTGCTTCAGTTAGTATTTTCAGGGCTTAACCCTAATCACTATAGTCAAAATATCGGGCTTATAAAATATTGCATTTTGTGAAAATATCCTTCATTAAACGGCTGCTTGCTCCATGCAGTGATGCTATTTCTTTGTCTATATGCTACGCTATTTTGCTGGTCTTAGCGTGTTCTGTTTTCCGAAAACCAACCCAAACATATATTAGAGGTTTCGAACTTTTCTTTCATTCTGCCTTGGCATCGACTATGATAAATTTATCATGAATGCTTTTGATTCTCGGTCGACAAGTGTCGGCCAACTGCAAAAGTATGCAGCACGTGCAAAGATTTTTTGTTTTCTAATTAGACCTGTTGTTTCTTAGGTTTAACGAGATTGCAAATTATTCAAATTGCAGTTGAAAATCAGTGTGAGAAGAAAGCACGTGGTAATCCACTGCGCATACTAAATCTCCCATTCGAGCATAGCCACAATTCCTTGCGAGTCTACTGCGCATCCCAAATCTTCCATTTGCACTTAACCACAATTCCTTGCGAGTCCATTGCGCATCCCAAATCTTTGAGTCGCGCATAACCACAATTCCTTGCGTTTGGTAAGAAAAAATGATTGAATGCCCCTATAATGTAATTTTTTGCCGATTAGAGAGCTGCCTCGTTCGCTCGCTTCAGGCTCGCTCACTGCGGCAGCAATAATCTAAACGAACAATAAATCAATTAATAGATTCAGCTTTCATATAATGGGAATTATACAGATCGAGGAGGTTCTTCATATCATAAGAAACCCAAATAGAATACCTGCTAACAATCAACTTGCCTTTGCTACTCGCGTTTTCAGCAAATATTGGAGAGGTCAAGCATCAGGTTTACGTCAAAGGGCGAACGCGAATTTGTACCACGTTACCAAGTTTCCTCTTTACTTGTAGTTTACGGTTCATTATTTCTACACAAGTCATAATTTAGTAGTTTTACGCAATTTTTTATCCATTAGAATTGTTTTGAGCCGTTTCATCTGCTTATTTTCTATTTTGAAAAATTCTTAACTTGAATCTGACGTTTACCGTTTGAAATGAAGCTTAAACTCTCTCTTGATATTACCTTGCAATATGTAATATATATCTTTGGCGTCATCCACGCTAGTTCCAAAATTGACGAGATTCGCACTCTGCGATATTTGTGATAGTGATATTAGTGATATTTGGCGTTAATACCACGAGCGATATTTCGAAATTGTTATACGTAATTTCACGAGCTGTTAGGCGAGTGAAATTTGAGACAATTTTGAAATATCACGAGTGGTATTTATGCCAAATATCACTACAAATCATGTTATTATTTGTTTACAAAGTTACTACCCACAAAGGTTTTGTAATTTTCACATGTGGGTATTTCAAATTAAGGTGAAATACCACTGCTCTAATTAAGCCAGGCAAATTGCAGAAATTACTCATGTAGTAGGATACAAGTATAAACACCTTTTTGAAAAAAAATATAGATTTAGTGTTTATTAAGTCAGATTGTTAAGTCGGGTTAGATTGTGTTCTTTCTGAGAAACTCATTTTCGTATTTTGTGAATAATCAAAAAGGGCAACCTTACATACTTTCAACAACTCTTTAATTTGCTTAAGAAACAGTCTGTCGTCTTCTTTAAAGGATTAAAACTAAGATGAAATCATTGAAGGCGTTCGTGAGCCTTGTCCTTTTGTCCTCTCTATGGATTTCAAGCATTAATGTGAAATCCCACCCTTAATCATGGTGACAAAGCAATGAGAGTGACTTTTTGGATTAGTTTAAAAAGCAGTAGCTAAATGCTAATGTCGTCAGCAGGATTTTTTAACCAAATATCACGTTTGGTCTGGAGAGCATGCTTGATGCGAATAGTTATTAGACTTAGTTTAAAACACTGCTAACAATGCCTTGTATTACAGTCATTATATGATCTCATTCTAGCAGCTAGTACCTTATTTTTCAAAATTGTTCGTGATTTTTGCTTAAAGTTCTTTCAGTGTTTTTGTCTTGTAAATTAAGTACTTTTTTAAAATAAATTTGTATAAACATCACAGTCAAGCTATCGAAGTCAAGAATGTCTACAAGCTGCGTTCGATGCACAGTTGTTCTAGTCTGCTCCTTCGAAGGCTACAGCGGCCTGTACTCGGACGTAGAATGGACCTTCGCGTTCATATTCACGCAGTCGCAAATGAAACGGCTTCTCAAACGTTTCCTTGGAGAATGGAGACCGCAAAAGTGCTACGATAAGTTCATACTTCTGCTCTTTGCCAGCTTTGTCAGTTTCTGTACTCCTGTCCATAAGGTATTCCAGGAAACCTGCGAAAAAGAAATTTCCTCAGAAGTTCGTTTTAAAGTAGCACCACTCAAACTTACTTTGATAGACCCAAACTCAGACAAACAAAATTGAAATTAAAATAGCGAATTCCTCACTAATGAAGAAAAAAAAACCACACGAACAAACAAATAACAAAACTCACTCTGACATCATTCCTGTGCTGTGCTATTACGCCCTTTAGGGTTGGGAAGGTGCTAACACAAGCTCGATGCTACCCAAAGGTGACCGGTCGTTTCGCCAACGTCACGTTCGCTAACGTCAAGTCGTTTCGCCCACGAAACAATTTAATAAGAAGAAGAATAATAACTTTTTTTGGTGTCGATGTATTTAGCTTAACAGTTTTAATAAGCTAATTGGGGACACTCTTCTAAGTGCTAGCACTAATCTATTAAATGATTTTTGAATTAACGATCTTACTTAAAACCTGAAAACTATATACAAATGCACGTGACTCAGGATTTACACAGGTCACAGCAGTTACTATTATTATCTATATGGCTCGAAAGGTCCACAACGCGTATATCTGTCTTGAATGCTTTGAGACTTGTTAAGTTTCTTAGCTCACCACTTACCTTCGACCAAATAAAAGGTCCCTGGTAGCGCAGCGAATGCTTCCCATAGGCCACTGTATCAAAGTGGGGTAGTTCAAAAGCAGAGTTTTTTAGGCGTTGTTGTGTACTATTGATCCTGCATGAGCAACTCAGAATCACACCCTGGTGACAACCAGTATTTTACTTTATACATTAGTACTGCGATTGAAAAACGAGTGCTGTACATATAACTCGTTATTTAAGCTATTAGTTTTTTGGGGGGAACTGACCCAGCACGTTGGCGAACCGACTTAATGCGTTGGCGAACAGGACGTTTGCGAAACGACTCGTAGGCGAAAGGACCGTTAATCTAACCAAAACTCACTCACAAGGTACTTAACGGCCATACTGGAAGAGATATAGAGATGCACTGGGATAAGACAAACGAAAGAAATAACCATTTTTGCCAATGCCTCTCTGCTCTCCAGCATGACTGTTTTATACCACCCACTCATATGGCAATTCCTTACGATATGGAGAGATGAAGAGAAGTATTGGCCGGTTTGCACCAGCCTGTAAATATACAAAAGGTTCACTCTGTTGCTTTTGTTTCCATTAGAAAAGCATTTTGTTGCTCTCGCTACATTTCAAGCACCTCCATAAAGTAATAAATAGAGAATATTACACGGTGGCGAGAAGATACCGTATTTATTCGATTAACCGCCCTGGGCGCTTATTAAATTTTTGGACCTTGCGAGTGGGCGCTTATTCGAGGTGGGCGCTTATTCGAGGCTGGGCGCTTATTAAATTTTCACCATTTTCAGCAAGTGAAGTATGTTTATTTTGCAACAAAACAATAAATGCTAATAACAAAACGCGAAGAAGTAACAAAGCAAGGTTTCTGTAAAATACTCTGAAGAAAACTCCGTTCTCGGAAAGTCTCTTATTAAAATTTATTCACTCAAGTGGGTGGGGTGGGGTGAGCTCTTATTTGAGTTTGATTGGGAGGAGGAGGGGTGGGCGCTAATTCGAGGTTGGGCGCTTATTCGAATAAATACGGTATGAATTTCATGTTCGAGTGGCAAGAACAATATTGCTCTTGCCACGAGAACATAAAATTCATATCTTCGAGCTAACGTGTTATATTCTTTTTATTATATAAAACATACCGATGACGGCGTTTTTGATGATTTTCCGAAGATTTCCGACCACCTTCCGAAGATTTCCGAAGATTTTTCAAATTGTCCCGAAGACCAGACGAACGTTCCCGAACATTTTCCGAGAATTTCCGAAGATGTCCGAAGATTTCCGAAGATTGCCGAGCACTTTCGAGGAAGACCCGAAGATGTTTTGATGATACACCCACGAATTTAATTACAATTTAAGAGACAAACCTGATGTCAGTGAAATTATCGATATCTACACATGTAAAAATATCGTATTTTTACGTGTGTTCAGATACCACATTTCTCGGTGGTAGAAATCCTTGTAAAACACTGCAGTTTATATGATAAAAATAAATATAACATGATAAAAAAAACCACAGAGCAGGCTATTTACAAGCAAGGCCAAGAAGTTACTTTCGGGACTACCGAGAAACAATTACAAATCTATCTAGTGGATAGAGTAAGACATAAATCTGCCTTGTGAGTTCCTCAGCCTAAGTCACTCTGCCTTCCTGAAAACTTGTCTTGGGCCCGTTTCTCGAAATTCCCGTTAACTTTTCGGGCCCGAAAAACTGTTTTATGTTTGCCGTGTTTGCATTCAAGATCAAAGTTTCAATATTAAATTTTGAAGAAGATTAGATACAATGAAAATATCAGTTAAGAAGCAAAATTGGCCGTTTGTGAGAAAGGAACTGTGCCACTGTTCAACAGTTGATTTTAAAATTTGCCTTCGGATACGAGAAGTTACCGGGCCTTTCGAGAAGCAGGTCTCTGGTTGGTAAAAGATGCTATTTTACCTGGACACGTTGTCATGTGTTCTTGAGCCCATTTGTACTTAGCAAGGCTTGTAAACACCTTCAACACGGCACAATGGACATCTTCAAAAGGTTGTCTGGAAAGGTCCAAAAGGGTCTGCAATGGATTCAACGTCATGGCAGTGAACAGCGACTTTGCAAGCAACGATAGCTCATCAGAAGGAACATTGGGTGAATAAAATATAGATACCAGTGCTTCTAATGATCTACTTCTTATGTCAGCATCAGAAGATTTGATGTTCGAACACAAAATTTTCATCACCTCGTCATTACGGATTGTGTTGTCAAAGACAGCCCTCAAGCCTGCCTCTGACAGTGAAACCGCACCGACTGTTTCTATTGCAATAAGCTTAAGTGCTGGATCACAAGCTGTCAGGAAAGAGAAAACATTCTGTAGGAAAGCAGGGTACTGCTCTGTCACCTCCACTGGTCTGGATTGAGCTAGAAAGCCAAAGAACCTGATGATGCCTAAAGGTTAAAAAAATAAGATACTTTAAGTGTGTAAACAATATAAAAAATTCATCACTTAATGAGGTTTAGAACTGGAATCTTTCTTTCATGACAGACAAAAGGCACCCCAAACAGCTTTTTAAAGAAGCTGTACCAGTTTTAACACTTTCAAAACTGTTAACTAAATCCTTCCATAGCCTAAAGACTAAAATTAAGGCTGCTTTCAACAGGCTGTACAGTTGCCATGGAAACTAATTTGTTGTTAGCCTGCCAGGTATGGACCAAGATGATTATGTCCTCTTTGGTTAAATAGGAAATGTCATCAGAAAACAAACACGTGTTGCAGTTTTTGCCTTTCAGTCACTTTGGTCAATAAACTTCACAGCAGTGCCTACTGATTTAGGGTACAGTGGTGTACTTCCATTGACTTTGCATGAGTGAAGTTAGGTGTAAAATTACAACAAATGGCCTTCAAAATCATCTCTTTTATGCTGAATGTCAACAACTCTAAGTACTGACTGGAAAGTATTTACAATCCAATTCCACTTGGTTGAACTCACCATTTAAACCAGCTTCCTTAATATAACTATTTTTGTTGTACAGTACTTTCAGGTTTTAAGCTTAAAAAGCTGTCAAACACAATAGCATGCTACAATAAATAATGTCAATGATCACATGTCCTGCTACTTTCCAGAGGTGGGGGAGGGAAACATTATTTCTTGAACAGAGGCTAATAATCAAGCTCACTCATGAGATTACCTGTTATGAGAACATTAATGGCTGCCGCAAAAAATACCATAATAATATTCTGAATTCACTGTTGGGGCACTGCTTCATGTAAACCCTACTTTTGCATTATCTTTTCTGCATGATTTTGAATATACACTGTACAATGCATCAGTTTGTTGAAAAATTCCATATTCAGCCTACTGGTATTTGCCCACAAACACAACTGTGCTAACATTCAGCACTGGTTTAAGTACAGTCTAGTACCTTTGTGTTTTTAATACATTGAGGAGACTGGCAATGAGCACAGGAAAAAATAACGGATTCCCATTTTTGGATATTTTAGGGTATTTAAAGAATACCCACAAAAATCCCAAATTTGGAAGAGTGAGACAAGTCCCAATCTGGGAACTTGGTTGGGAATTCCCTGGTTGGGACTTGTCTCACTTTGCCAAATTTGGGATTTTTATGGGTATTCTTTAAATACCCTAAAATATCCAAAAATGGGAATCCGTTATTTTTTCCTGTGGAGGACTAAAGGACTCTTAAATAATTAGAGACAGAGCAACAGGTTCTAGTGCAAGTCTCCAAAATGTACCCTTAATTGTGCTATTGTAACAAAAAAGGCCAGAATTATTATGCATTATAGATTACTATGGTATTTTTGGAAATCAGCCATAACTACACATGCACAAACGATAATGTGAATGTGAGGTTTACATGAAGCTTTACCCAAACGGCAATTTCATTTACAAAAATATTATGGTACTTTTCAAAGTGGCATATTTGGAGAGAATTCTCAATTCTAGACACTTACTTGGTAACATAAGAGACATCAGAGGGTCGGCATCACCACTTAGTAAAAGGTTATACAGCCTTTTGACTACACCAATCTCTTTAGCAAACATCAGACCATTTTCTCCTGAATCAGCCATCTGGGTCAGTAGTTCAATGCAGTTTAAACGCAGCAACATATCATCACCATCTAGCTCTTTTCCAAGCTTCTCCAGAATTCCACACCTTTTGCAGTTTTCAAAGGCTCTGTCAGACAAAGCCTGGATAGTGACTATCAACTCATATACTCTGAAGCGAATGACATCTTTTTTCAACAGAAGGGCCTCGAATTCACTTTTAATCTGGTGTTGAAATAAAAGTTCGATTCCTGAATCATGTTTAGCGGTGTTGACCAGAGTTTTTGTGGCTAACTTTGCACAGGAAAGGTTCTCATCGCTCAGAGCACGAACAGTGTAAACCAGCACATCAACGTTGTCTAGAAGAGCTTCCAGCCCATTTATTGTAGCAGAACATCTTTCCAGCTCACTCAAACAAAGCTCACGGACTTCAAATACTGGATGATTCATTCCTTCGATGACAAAGTCGTGGTAATGCATTATGACTGCGTCTGCCTTTTCCAAAGACAGCAGTTTCTTTAGGATTCCTTTGCACACATCAATTTGTTCGTCGTTTTTAGTGCTTAAACACCCGAAAAGCAAATGTACCGGGATGTGCGGCACCAACTCCCTAAGACTGAAGGAAGGGCTGTTAAGAAGCGCACTGAGGTCCTGTAAGGCTGCCATCAGTTCTTGGCCAGATGAAATTGAAATTCTTTGAACAATTTCCGCACACTTTTCGGCAGCCATCTTTGTCAAAGATGAGCCCACGATTATTTTTCCCCAGCGGTGTGCGCCAAATAAGAAGGTAAGTAAGCCATGTAGTGGGAATAACTTTTACTGCGGTACAAAAACCCTTCCGGAAAAAACTTTCATTACAGGTGGCTGATCACAGTTCCTCTAGCCTGTGTATAGCCGCCCCCTCCGCTCATTTCTTGTATCCTGTATAAAAGGATTTCTAATCTTAAACCAATAGCTAAAAGGCAAGGCTATGTGAAATATATCAGCAGAGGCAGTACAACAGCAAATTTTAAAGAGGGGCTTTAGAGCTATTATAATGGACCACCTATAGTCATGGAACGATTGGGTCTTTACTAAGTTACGCCTACTGAGAAATTACCACAAAGCTACATCAGCTGGGTGATAAAACTGTACGAGCAGGCCCTCAAGATTGTTGGAACTGGACAGTGTCACTTGATGTAACTGACAATAGCATGGAGTCCAAGTAAGTTAAAAGCATCAATAATTGAAAATTAAACTGATGCCCCTGCACTCCCACTCCCAGTAGATCCCCTGCCTTGACATTACCTAATAAACATACATTGATACTCATGTCATTTTCTGAACTCGTGTAGTTATTGAACTATATGGTCGAGGGACTCTGTAAAGCGATTAAGGCAAAGCTACATACCCATCCTTTCTGCGGATTCTCCTCCTGGACTCTCTGCATAAAGCCCTAAAAATGTTGATGTTGATCAAAAAGTTTAGCTCACGGCACTTTACCCCAGTGACAGATTCTGTTTGACTATTTACAGGATGAAAACCATGTTTTATTTTGTTTGTGGGGCGAAGAAGCAAAGAGAAAGGCAATGTGAACTTATCTCCATCATGAGCAATGAATGTTTCGACAAAATGGCTGTACACTGAGGGGCTAAGTTTTATTTATCATGTTCCTCTAGCCTGTGTATAGCCGCCCCCTCCGCTCATAAAAAGGGAGGGGACGGCTGTACACGGGCTAAGTTTTATTTATCATGAGGACATATGCAGCCGAGCTCTTGGCCGAGGAGAAGCTGAGAAAAATGCGCAGATTCTCAGAAGTTAGAAGTTGTCAGTAGAAATAGTACGGTCGAACCTCTATGTAAGGAAGTCCTCGGTACAATGAACGATACTCTTTGCCCCAGTAATTGTGAAATATATGAAAAAGAACCTCGATAAAACGAAACCTTGGTATAGCGAACAAATTTTTCCAGTCTCTTGGCCCTTCGTTCGACTTTTGACGACGCTACCACCGGGGGGGGTACTCCCATACATTACCTATACGGGTACGTGCCGCCCAACGGGGTCGTGACTTTGAAGCTCCTGATTTAGAACGGGGTATCCATTTCAGAGGCGTTTTCTAGAGCGGGGTATAAAAAATTGTGCATCACGGCTTTATCTTCTGCTTTAATTGTTGCTGATTATGAAGAAGCATTTATTTGATGTATAAGTCGAACAAATAAAGAAATATCTTTTAAAAAAAAAACAGGGCTATTTCAATTTACAAACTTTCTAGAACGGAGTTGAAAAAATGGGCCTATTTTTAGAAAGGGGTATCAGTTTTAGGGCGAATTCTAGAACGGGATATAAAAAATTGGCCCATTTCTAGAACGGGGTATCAATTTAAGGGGAAATTTTTATTAGAACGGGGTGCCAATTTGGAGTCCCGGGCGGCACATACCCACCCAAAAAATACCCAAGTGCCCACCCCCGCCCCCCTTCCAAGGCGCTTCCACTGGTTTCCCCGCTAAAGGACGTCTGAGAAACGAGCGCAGAAATTCGCGTCACTACCCAGATCAGGGTAGTGCTTCTGATTGGTCGTGCCGCATGGGAAATTTGATTTAACCAATCAGAAGCACTACCCAGATCTTGGTAGTGACGCATCAGTACGGAATTTCTGCGCTCGTTTCTGAGACGTCATTTAGCGGGGAAACGAGTAGTCGGCTGTTTTCTCAGGCTACGAGGAGTCAAGCTTTTAAGAATTCAAGGGCACAAGTTATCGTACCGGCTTAACGAGAATATTAAGACAGTATCGCTTAACTCGTATTTTAGATTATCTTTACAAGGCCTTTTTACGCAGGCGCGAACCAGGCCTTGATTCTGCTACTGCAGCGCATACTCATCTGCTCAGGTTTTTTCGATTCAGCTGTCGATTGTCGCCTCTTTTACTCGGTTTTGGCTCGGATTTTGAAAAATCGTTCAAGTCTCTGTCTCGGATTTTCAAACAAGCGTCTTGGCGAGTCTCAGATTTTACCATTCATCACCCCTCAATGACGGCACATGATAGACCATGACAGCGGGGGCGACCGGAGCCTACGTCCCCAACTCTTTTCGAACAATTTCACGGATTTTTTACGTCCCCTTCCAATTGATGACTATTGTGTAAGGATAAAGGAGACAAGGCTTAACGTCACCGCTCAATGACGCGATCATCTGAACCGAGAAAGGGGATCTAGTCAGAGCCAACATGATCTCACCAGATTTTTAAATGAGACTTTGTTGGTTGTTTACCATTTACATGGGAAAACCAGTCGGTTCAAGGTTTGGCTAAATGGTAAGCAATTTCGTCCAGAAATCGCGTTTACGATTTCAACAAATCAGTTCCATTTACCAAAAAAACGGCCGCGAAAGCCTGAAACTGGTATCAAAGATGGCTTTGAAGAAATGGAAAATGAGTATTCCGTCCGGAAAAACTGGACTACCTTTTCAAATGTTCCGTTGCTTTAGAAACATTTTCGCTGGAACGAACCAAAAAGTCGTGGACTTTCCAACCGGATTTTCCGAAAGCGTGTTGTAAATGGTAAACAACCCTTGGTTGATGGTCCGGCCGGAGTTTGAACTCACGGCCTCCCACTCACCAGAGATGAACTCTTCCAACTTAGCTAACCGGGCGTAGTACTTGTGGGGAAATGAAAGACCGCTTGCTTTGCAGTCTCCTTAGGGCAATAGGGAGCTTAAGCAACAAAGACGGCGATGGCTATGAAAACGTCACTTTAAAGCGAAGTCGCGCTGCCTCAAACTTTTCTTTATCGCGGTTATTACATATCGTTCGATTCGTCAAATGTTTACATTTTTTCTGGAGGTTGCCAGTTTGATCGGCTAGGCGTCTAAATTTTCGCACGGTGAAGGTGTTTCCGTTTAAATGCATGAATTTTCGACCGGTGTCGTGTCATAGTAGCCTTAAACTCCCTACTTGATGATTTGACGCTGGCGGGGAAATAAATTGCTTTTGGTCACTGTACTCCTTACTCTACAGAACAGCTTCTGTTTTGTGTATTGTTAGGTAGTTACGTGACAGACGTTCGAAAGCGAAAGGGAAGGGAGTTTGGGCGCGAGACCGCCGGCGAGGGAGAAGAGAGGAGGGGAACGCCTGCAAGGACGCTATTTTTCAGTTCGGTTGTCTCAGTTTTCACGTGGGATTTCAGGAGGCAAGCAAATGATAAAATTTGCCAATAGATGGTTTTCATTGTGACGTCATCAAATTGTAAAGTCCAAATAGCGAGGTTTTACGAATTCTTATTTACACTAGGTTGAAGATAAACAAAAAGTAAATCTTTGTACAGGTTTCCGTTTCCTTAGCATGTTTCGTTTCGCAAATACAGCAATTTGAACTTCCTAGTTTTCACAGTGCGTGACACCAGAATAGGAATGCTGTCTCGTTGAAAAAAAGTCTCTCCTCTTGATTTTCAACAGTATAATCACTTCAAGTGTTAGAAGATATGTTTATGTGTACGTATGCTAGTTCTCGAGTGAAAAGAAATAGCTTTTATAGGAAAAGTGAACTCCAGATGTTTTTGTTGATTTCCGGCGGCCATATTGGTGCACCATAACGGTGCACCAATATGGCGTCTCCATACAAAGCTCTACAAAGGTGCGTGAAACGTTTCGGCAAATAACTCAGAAACTATGGGCCACAAAGACCTGAGACTTGGACAAATTGTTTATATATTAGTGTTTTACAACATTTCATTTTCTTGGCTTCTTCCACCGAACGGTTTCCAATTTAATTTTTTGTTGCGTGACAGTGAAAACGATCTATACTAGTGATCGCGATCGAATTTGATCATTCTATGAAGACAAGATGATGGCGGGTATCGTGAATAAGGGTCTATTTGTTGGGTATTTGTATTGCAACTTGTGAATAAAGTTTTTGTTATAGTTTGTTTGCTTGTAAAGGGAGATTTAAATACGTCTTAACGAAAAATAAAAGAGCCAAATTAAATCCGTTTTGCATTGAATGCCATACGACGACGAAAACCAAAATACAAATCCGTTTTTCAGTATGTGTTATAGGAAAACAAAATATAAGAATCCCACTACCAGTGCCATATGAAAACAAAACTCGAAAGGGAAAATTCAAATACGTATTGCAAAAACATAACAATACAAGATGCCCCGGAAGACATGGAATTTCGTTTTCCAGTGCCATACAAAAACGAAAATTAAATTTTAATTCCATTTTCCTATGCCTTTGAAAATCGGTTGGCACAACTGTGTTTGATGTCGTCACCCATTGCTCATCCCCATCTCTTCCCTTCCTTGTTCGTGGGTAGGAGCTTTGAGTGACGACCCTCCAAAAACACCTCGTTTTGTCACATTACGGACTCAATCCAAGGTGTTTTCTGACGGTGCTAACAACGTCGGAGACATGCATAAATTCCTGCAGAGTAGTGTTCCTGCTTCTAAACATGACTATTCCATTGCTCAGTGTTGAATCAATGATTGTAACACAGTATGGGGTCCCAATTTCGTCATGGTAAGCGTAGCACTCATTTGTACTGCCTTGCAATAGGCAATGAGTGGTGATACCTAAAAATATCAATTGAAAGCAGAACAGTCATTCAACAGGATGAATAACATCCTTCATTATGTCACCCTATTATTTATAAGGCTGGTTTCGAGGGCGAACGAAGGAAAGCGCAAAGCGAGCGAGGAACGCGAGACACGCGCGATGGCGAAAGGCGCAGAAAAGGTAAAATGGAATGGAACAAACAGTGGCGTGTGGACAGGCGTCATTTTTTCCGCGCCTTCCCCCACCGCGCGTGTCTCGCGCTCTACGCCAGTTTCGTGCTTCGCTCGCCCGAAAAACGCCAACAAATAGCGCCTGCTCTGAAGGCTAAGCGTGCCAAATGAACCAATCTTGTTTTTTGATTGGTTACTCGAGCGGGCAAGGTGGACCGGTGGCCGATCAAGGGGAGGGGCCCGGAGGTTCCGCCCCCCTTATTTTAGACCAAACTGAGGCTCAAAAGGCCGTAAAAAATTTTGTTCGCGACCGCCTCTCCCCCCTCCCCGCCCCACCCATCTGAAGGCCTGGATCCTCCACTGTGGACCTGTATTTCTCTGTATTTCTTGCCATGATCCCGTAAGGAAGAAGTCCTATTGGCCATGTAGTGGCGCGCATATCTCGCAATAGCAAATAAAAGAAGCAGGAGCATCCACAAAATTATTATACACATACATGTGTACTGAGAACTGAGATATACTCAGTGAAAACCTACGTCGTAGATTTTCGTAGGCCAATAAATTCTAGGTAGTCAGAGGAGCGAACGGTGTTTTTCGTAAGTGAGAAAAACGAACAGTCCTATCTGAATCGCGAACGATGTTTTTTACATGTGAAAAAAATTATACGTCCAATCAAAAGCCACAGAGGTGTAGGAGTTTCGCGGCAAAATTCCCGACTTTTATCGGCGCTTGTATCTTGCATCGCCCTCACTATGTAAGTTGCTTCACATACATTCAACGAGAAAATCTGTATGTTGAGACTATAAAGTAGAATTCTGTCTCGTAGAAAAGAAAAACAAGTTGAAGTGGAATAGTTTCATATATTGAAGAGAGCCGGCAAAAACAGGGGCGGGGGAACAGAACAAGGCGTAAGCTTAAGTTGCACTTTTAATCGGTACTTTTAATTTCGCGATGTGTGGTGACAAATTTTATCACTTCAACATTAATTATTTTTGAAAAGTTCTGAAATTATGTATATAATAAAAATAAAAACAATACCACTTGGAAAGTGCTTCGTGCGATATTTACGCACTCATCAGAAATACGAAAAAGAAAAAGGAAGACGACGGCCTGTATGATAACGTCACTTAAAAAGCAAATTCGCGCTATTTCAAACTTTATCGCGCTTATTCCTTCTCGTTCAATTCGTCAACCGATGGCAAGTTTTTCTGAAGATGAATTCTAAAGGAATGTGTCGAAGTGAAGAAAAAGCAAAAGAAAGTCGTTGTCTTGTGTTCACGGTCTCCACAAAACGCAAAATTAGGCTTTTTCACGCCGTAATCGTGCAGTAACGGCAAAGAAATGTACAAAAAAACGCGCAGAGTTGTTGTTTTGCTTATCTTAACCTATTGATTTTTTGCCGTTCTCACTGCCGTCGCCGTCGTACGCGCGCACTTTCCCCTTATAAGCCCTGGTTTTCTAAAACTTTGTGAAGGGTTTTAGGAGGGCTTATCTCCGGGGGAGGGGGGTTTGGCTTGTAAACGGACTGCCTTTCAAAACATGCTACATAGCAGTGCTGATCACCACTTTCTGAATTTACTGGCTTTTTAAGCTTCGAACCGTCGTAGGAAAGCAAATTCATTTTAATAGAAGCTTGAGGGGGAACTTATATCCGAGTGGGGCCTATAAACGGATGTATTTTTTTTTTGTTTACAGGTAGTTAGGCCTCTTACTGGGGGGGGGGGACTTGTAAGTGGGGGGGTTAACAGCTGAAGTTTACGATATTCTATATCAGTCGACCATAGCAGAGGCGGATCCAGGGGAGGGGTCGCCCCCCCCAATTATTTGTAGACCAAACTGAGGCCCGGGGGGGCGAAATAACAATTTTGTAGACCAGGCTCCCCGCTTATCTCAGGGTCTGGATGACCGGGTGTCCTCAAGGTCTCGATCTAGAACTGCATAGTGCTATGCTACATAACACAAATCTCGCGCTAATGGTCAAAATCGCCAATCTCTCTTTCACTTACCTGCTTCTCTAAGTTCTGATGACAGCTGTAGTGCCACATCACAATGCTCCTTTTGTTGCGGTGTTTGACAAACAACAGCCACCTTAATAGGAGCCAGACGTGGGTGCAGATGAAGCACTGTGTACACGTCCACATTGCCACTCTCGTTTGAACGCTCCTTTTCCAGGTATGCATCCATCAAAAACGAAAGAAATCCTTTAATAAGAGCAGAGGGTGCATGTTAAAAACGCTCGAACACATACATACTGCAAAACAGCCGTACTTTTAGGCTATGTTCAGAGCGAACCGGATAGCTCTTTCGCCGGCACGAACGTCATGCCGGATTATCCTCCTCCGCAGGTTTCACCGTAGACTGCAAAACAGTCGGGTGTTTTCTCAAAATCAGTAAAGAAATCGGTAAAGCGTGGCGTAGGAGTCTTCCGCGCGAAGCGCACGAGTCCAGACCTTTTGTTTGACTGCTCGCGCGAACTTGAATACAGAAAAATACGGGCTGTTTTGCAGTCTAACTTCACTGTGCTCTTTTTTGGAGAGAAAAACAAGTTTGGAGAATGCTGTTCATACTATATACGATAGCTTTTCGTGTCTGCACGAAAACCATCCAGTGTAGTGTGAAGATAACCTTTAAGCAGCTGCAAAATTCATCAAAATTAAGTTTACCGTTAAAAGACCTTAAAATGATGAAAACTATTAAAGCTCAAAACATTAAAAGGGTGGGTATATATAACACATCAAATAGAAAAGAAGGCAAGGATTAGCAAACCTAAAAAAGATAAAAGATGAATTAGGAGCCCATGGGCACTTTTGGTTTTTTGTAAACTTGACTTGTTAGCCTAACATTGACAAACTGTCTGACCTACGTAAAATTCCCTGGACAAAAATTCAATATAGATATTGTAGAAAAATAATTTTAATCATAAATTGCATTGGACTTTGAACGAGAATAATTTTAATCATATTGCATTCTTTATCACATTTTTCAAGGGCTATAGGCATATTAAATTAGTTATCTGTAATAACACCAAAGAAAATTTCTTATGGGCGCCCATGAAAACAAATTTCAAATTTCACAAAATGACATCTTACACATGAAATTTTCACAATTTATCTGTGTTTTCACATTTTGTGTGAAATATGACATATATTTTCTCAAGCTCTCATGAGAAATTGTCTTTGGTGTTATTACAGATAACTAGTTATACCTATAGCCCTTGAAAAGTGTAAAAAAAAGAGTGAGATATTGTTTAAATTTATTCTGACACAACGTTTTTGTCCACTGAAAATTAAAATTACTCAATTTCCTAATGGATTCTGTCTTAAACTTTCACTTATAAGCCCCCCTCCTCCCACTTATAAGGTCATCAACCTGTCAACAAAAGAATACATCAAGCAATTTATTATAACCCCCCAGCCCTGATATAAGTCCCCCCCCACCATCTAGCTTGCATTGAAATAAAATCGATTTATTATGGAGTTTTGAAGTTCAAATAACCAGTAACTGCAAAACGTCTTTTGATCAGCACTGCTATAGCTTGTTTTGAAGCGCTCTTTTTCTAATATAGACCCCCTGAGATATAAGCCCCTCTGTTTGCAAGCCCTCCTAAAACACCTTAGAGAGCTCAGGGCTTACAAGTGTCAGTTTACGCTATCCAATTTTACACTTGAGGCCTGGCCCCAGTTGTTCAAAAGTTGGATAGCGCTATTGACGGGATAAATCACTATCCAGCAGTTAAGTCGCACGAGAACCAAATGCATTATTGACTGGATAGTTATTCATTCACTGGATAGCGCTATCCACCTTTTGAACTGGCACCTGGTGAGTTGGCCAGGACATTTTCTTATACCTCTATTAAGGTCGGTTTTGATCTGGATGGCATGCAACTTTGATTCTTCACTAAAGGGAAGTTCACTACATTGCTTGGTGTCCATGTGTTGATGAAGGTCAGATATAACAATCATGGAATCAACTGTTTCCTGTCCCCATGGAAATGCATACTGGAAAGAAATGAAAGCATTGTTAACATGATGATGATGATGATGATGATGATGATAAATAATGATGATGTTGAGTTATGAATATAACAAAATCATAAATGAGAACTGCGGGGTGAAGAATAAAATTGTAATTATTATAGAAAAGAAGATCACCGCAGTTTAATATAGACGCAACTTTTGTAGTTGCCAAAAGAAACCCTGAGAAAAAAAACTTAGGCCTGTACGGGATTTGAACCCTTGACCTCTGTGATACTGGTGCAGCACTCTACCAACTGAGCTAACAAGCCGCCTGGGAGCAAGTCATGGAATTGCTTCATTATAAACCTGTGAAAGGAAGATGATGAGTCATGAATATATGAACCAATATTCATAACTCATCATCCATCCTTTCACTTCACAGGTCTATAACAAACCAATAATTGGTTTGTTATAGACCTGTGAACTGGGAGCAGGTTGTTGAACTATTCAACAACCTGCTGCCAGTTCACTTGTTAGGTCAATTGGTGGAGCGCTGCACCGGTATCACAGAGGTCAAGGGTTTGAATCCCATACAACCATGATTTTTTTTTGTAAGTGCTTTAGAGCTAAGTGTAATGCAATATATAATGAATTAGTATTAGATGTATTGTAAAGACCTGCCAAAACTTTGTCAGACAACAGAACTCCTATACAACAAACACTGGAAAATGATGAGGAATCATTGGATTCAGCTTTGATATGATACAAGAATTATGGATGGAGGAGGGTGTTATTTGCCAAGACTGAAGGCAGAAGGCAGAAGGCAGAAGGCATGGGTACTGTTCATGCAAGTGTCCCTCCCTAGTTTGTACTTGGTAACCTCACCTGTACAGAAGTTTGACTGGTCAAACCAGCTTCAAGATCTACCTGTTCTTCATACAAACTGTAATTTGAGCGAGTGTTGGCAAATCTTCTCCACCAAACAAGCCTCTGCCTTTTCCAATGATTTATCCAATCATTTACTCTGTTTTCAGCACAAATGAACTGAAGAAACATTTCCTCCATTACACAAGATCTACATTGAGAAAGATATCAATGTGAGGGGACAAACTTTAAATTTGAAGCCTTTATAAGGATGACCTATGCGATGACCGGACACAACATAACTCACAATGGCCTGCTCTCCAGTTAGCTTGATTAGCTCAATGGATAGAGCGTTCCATCTGGTCATCACAAACATCAGGATTAAATCCCAAGTCGAGCCTGAAATTTTTCTAGCTTCTTTTTCAGCCAGGAAAGTTGTTCAATCTACTGTGAAGATCATGTACACTTTCATCTTTTTATTCACAGTTCAAAATATGATTCATTTCATTTATTTCAATTCATGTCCACCTCATTTACAGAAAGAAAGATTTCAAGACAAACTGATTGGTTTAAAACAGTTTTCCTTGCTCAACTGTCTCCCAATTTCATTAGCACCAATAAAAATAGCATAATAAAAGTCAAAGACTCTCAACGACACTTATCAAGACCATGCAATCAGTTAGTATATAAATGGTGAAACAAATTTTGCAAGTGCTGTAGCCAGATGCAAATTCTCACTGAGATAGTAATGATCGGTTCTTTGTTGCCTAGTCCCTATACGGCATCTTTACAAGCCCTCTCAGTCAATGCGTTTCGGTGACGTATCCGAGACGAATGGCCGGGAGACGCCTAGACAATCTCGGGGTGCGCAAACGTGAGCATTTTTGCATTTTTGAAAAGTTCCCACGTTCAACTAAAATAATCTATAAATAACTTTGCGCGTGAATATCCTTCGCTTAAAGATCGGCACTAACCTGGTTTCTGTTATTAAAGAACAAAAATATTACTTTGAATCGGAAAGAATACTCACTACTGTATAACGTGCTTGAGTACTTTCTCTTTTAGTTCATTTCCAAATGAACCATTAAAATGATATTTCTTTATTGATAAAAAGATTTTAAACAGTAGTTTGTTGACATTCTACTAAATTTAGAGACCAAATTCAACAGCCTGTCAGATTAGTTTCGTAAGCTTCCAAATCCAAAAATTAAATTACATAAAATATTTTGAAGTGAAATGATAACGAGAAATTTATAGGAACAAGCGAAAATAGAAAAACAAAAGATAGCTTTTTATATCCAAGAATAAATATAAACTAATTTCTTTAGCTTACATTCCGATTCTTGATCAAACATATTTTTTGCGACACTGTTTTGCTTAGCCTACAAAAAGTTTTTGAGACGAAATAAAGTTCAAATTAGTTTAATGAGATAAATGAAAAAGAAAGGTCAAAGGACTTTCAACGATGAAAACGTGCATAGAATAAAAATGCTAGGTTTAACTCTTTATCCTCTGTACTCTCTATGGCTGCTGGACATCTTTCATCAACGTGGAAAAGTTATTGACAGCTCGCCCACTTCCAAAAGCTCCACCCCAAGTGAGACAAAATGTCTCACTTCTACGAGTTTGCCTTGGCCTCAAAAACTTTCTCGGACCACGTGACCCGAAACGCATCGGCTGCGCATAATAATGAGGCCTAGGGACTAGGCAAGGTTCTTTTCAGCTACTCATTCATGTCGTGGCAAAAAACTGCCATACTGGAGAGCACGGGACGCACTTGGACGAGACAAACAAAAGGCTTAGATCATTTAAAATTTTCCTTTATTTGTCTTGTTCCATCCAGTACATCTCTTGCTCTCTAGTATCGCAGTTATATACCACACGAATAACTAGATTCAAAGGGCCTATTATTTGTTAACAAGGTACAGTATGCACAAAGAAACCGAGAAAAAAAAGAAGACTGCCTTGATTGCCTCCGCACTGGTCACAGCACGAAGCATTGTGCTATAATTATCATTCATCCACCTACAGTCTTAGCTTCACTTGTCTAGTAGATGGCATACCTAAAAATATATTTATCGCTTTCTGGCTTTCCAAAGTATTTTCTGTTTCTTGCAATCCCAAAAGGTTTTTGGATCCCAGGGATGAACCTTACCAATGAGGTAAGAAAGTTGGCATTCTCTGAAGTCCACTTGATTGGATTTGTCGGCTTCTCACTTTTCCCAAGATCACTGATCACGTTCCCTTTATCGTGTTCATTTCCCACATAACTACGGGCAGACGATCCATTTTGACCATTGAGTGTATGGATAATTTCTCCAGTCGTTTCAAAGCCATAAATGTTTGCTTTTGATTGCACCACATCACACCACCAAGAATTTCTCAAGTTACGCCTCAGCTCTGTGCCGAGAGGTCCAAATTGGTAAGTGTACGTTGTTCCAACTGATCCTTCAACGCAGGATTCCATTGAAAATCCACGGGTTTCGCAGAGTCTTATAACCTTCTCAAGCAAACTACGAGACATGAAGAAGAGTTAGATGGTCAAGATACTCACATCTTGTAGAGAATTATAAGGAAAGTCTCCAAGAGATTTTACGAAATCCGCAAAGTTTTGTCGCCGACTTTGCCGCCATCTTTGATCCTCGTTGTTGATACCGCTGACAGAGAAGATCGTGTTGATATCGCGCCTCTGCGTTTAAATTCTCGTCAGCCAATCACTATTGGGTTAGAAGCTGAAACAGCCAATCATAGAAGCGCTGTATTCGAACACGACTTCACGTGAATCGCTTGCAGACAGCATCAAAGAAAGATGTCGCGAAGTTGCTTGTTTTGTCAATGAGGTAAGAATCATTTTTCTCCATTTTATACTGTGGATTCCTCTTTTTTCAGTGATTTTTGTCTTTTATCCTTTTGGACGAGCAATTTGCGGGAGTCGCGTCAACCAAACCGTGAAATGCCCACAAACAAGTTGAATTGAACCTTACAGTTGACCCTTGGCAGTTGATTTTAATTGTCGGTCGCAGAAACATTTCCTTGAAGTTTTTGAAAGCGTTACGAATAAATGATGCAAGTATTTAATGTCTAGAGTTAAAACTGATTTCACCTAGCTTAAGCTTATATGTATTCACTAAGCTTATAAAGTTTAAGACATTTCTGAACATGCCACACTAGGTTTCTATAAGATTTACACCTTCTTTTCGCTTGCACGTCAGTGTATGTACACTGTAGGAGACGATCCTGACTTCGATACTGGGCTTCGGTATGCATCTCCATGCAGCTGGCATGACAGAACGGCGTGCATGACATGTACGGATCACTTATCTTAAAGTGATCTGTTGTAGCCATTTTCATGCAAATTACTGTAAACTGAAGTCAGGGAACTTCTGACATCTGTTTGTATATGATTATACCCGTAAGGAGATATACAGTCTTTGTGCAATTCAGCTTAAACCTCTATCCTGATAGCCCTTCTGACAACATGTATTTCATTGTAATTATATTTAACACTTTTGAGACAGGAAGAGTTAATTTACTGGTAACCCTTTCAGTCCCAATGACCAAAGTCAAAATTTAGCAAAAAAAATATTAATAATAATAATAATTCAAATGCTCCAAATTTAAGAGAAACAAAAAGCACCAAGACGTATGAATCTGGTTAGTAGATTTCATTTGAAAGGTTACCTACAAGATATCACCGTGACTGCATGAATCCTGTCTCCTATACTACCAGAAGGAATATATAACATATTATCACATACATACAGTAAAACCTGTACAGGACTGTACATGGAAAGAAAAGCATGAGATTTGCTATCTCCTTTGCTGCTTATTATGGGTAACTTAATTCATTATTAAGTGGGGCTGCTTGTGGGCAAAACGAATGAAGTCTTGCAGTGTGATTTATAGCTATCCAAGCCAGCAAGGTGGAGCTGCACGTCTTTTTGTAACATGTACCAAGCAGTCCATTATGAATTTAAATTCTCATGCCTTCAAACAAAGTGGTGTCTCTTTCAAGCGGACTTGGTCACTCTGAAGACTTTGTAATATAATGGGCCATTTCACTTCTACCAAACAAACACCTTGGCTTAGAAAAATAATGGTAAACTTTTGGCAATGCCACCTGGTTTTCCTGCAAAATAAAATCTGAGGAGAGAGTGAAAAAATTCCATACTTCATCTGATGACAAGTGTTACTACCCAGATACAGGTAGTGGTTGATTGATTGCTTGAAGCAATTTCCCTTGTAGCATAACAAATCGGAGAGTCACAATCCCAGATGTAGGTAGTGACACACGTCATCAGTATATATAAGGAATTCTGCACATGCTCATTCCACACATGTTATTTCGTGGGGAAAGCAGTAGTGGTGTTGTCTATTGTCAGCTGTTTTCGTAAGCCAGCAATTACCTATAGTTACTCATGTTGTACATTAATGTATTATTGATTTCAATTGATTGTCAGCCTACAATAAGTTATAATAACTGGTGTAACTCATCTTTAAAAGCCTGTTATATGACTTTCCAGGTTTCTTATGAGGACATACAAGCTCACTGGTTCTTTAAATTGGCCATGTAGGTTAAATTCAGTCTGCAATTTCCATTGTTTGCTCCAGACCTTTTGCATTAATTATGGAACCTGAGGCAACAGCAATTCAGAAAATCCAAGATAACGGTAATCGCCCCGAGGATTGGCTGGAGTTCCTGTCCAAACAAAGAACAAAGTCTGGCCCAGATCTTTCCACTGAAACCTGTCAACACTTAATCTTCCTTTATGAGAGAGCTGTCACTCAAATATCAGCTGAAGACAACAAAAAGAATTTCTGTTATGCTCGTCTTCTTGTGGAATGTGCAAAACTTCAAATGTAAGGTTCTAATAACTTTACTTGTTAGTACTATACTTGCTGCCTGTAATTATGATCAGTTTATGAAATTTTACTGTCAAACCTGTTTTAAGCAAAGCCATATTAATTGTCACCCTCCATTATGTCACTTATTACTTAAGTCCCCAAGGGTAACTTTTTTCTGTTCATTGCTTTCACCTATTTTAAACAACAATTAACCTGAATTATAAAGCATTCAGTTGGCCATTTCCCAAACGTCACACCAGTTTACACAAGTTTAATTTCACTGCACAGTTTATTAAAAATTAATAAACTTATGAAGATACATGTATGAAACACATTTGGCCATTGTCCCAGTTTTTCAAAAGGTGGATAACACTATCTATCCACTGGATAAATCACTATCCACTGTTTATTATTATTTTATTTTTTGCACAGTAATTATATTAAAGAAATTAAAGTCAAAATATATTGTACTAGTCATGGCAACCTCACGACAGGTGACATTGCTTACAGGATTGTACAATCATGTTGTATTATAGGAGAATCTCAGAAGATGATGCCAGAAGAACATTCCAGTTGGCAAGAAGCAATGCCAAGCACTTTGCTATTGTGTTTGTTGCGTGGGCTCAATTTGAGCTGTTATTAGGTTTGTTATTAATACAGTACAATGACAATGATATTTGGAATTATATTATATACCAAGTAGACTAGTATACAGTCAGGTAGTACTGATATAATCTTTAATACTTCTTTTAACTTGTTTTAGTTAGCAAAGGTGTCTCTCTTCATATAATGTAAACATGTGTTCAGTATTAAATAAAAATTATAGTAATTACCATAGCAATTTTTATTATTGGATGCAGCCGAGTTATGGTATGAAAAATTATGCACTGATCAGGGAGGGTATTTGACCAAGGCGGATATTAAAAACACCCTGCAAGATCTGCATAATCAATTCTTCATATCGTGTCTCAAAGCCAGATATCAAAATTGTTTTATCATAATTCATTCAAACCATTTCCCAATCAGTCAATAAAACATGCATACTGCAATCATGCTTACATGAATAGCCCGTGTTCGATATATTAAGATTCTAACTGACTCCAAGGCTTTCTCATTTTCTGGTCATTTTTCTATAATTTTTTTTTATTTGATTTGGTTTTGTTTGTGCTCAAGTCTCTTCTGGGAATTGCAAGACAATGGATCATGAAAAATTTGCAACTTTGACCCTTAAGCCTCGAAGTCGTGTTAGAATTTTAATATATTGAACATGGGCTATTACAACAGGCTACAGCCACCAAAAATTAGAAGGATTTTCTTGTCTTTATAGCAGACAAGTTGAGCTTTTTTATGCTTAAGGGAAAGATTTTACAAGGATTTGTATGGAAAACCACTCAACCATGACTGAGTGTCATGAGTTATTTTTCTTGATGTGTACGAATCCTTCAAATTTTTGATGGCTGTTGCAATTGCTACTTTTTGAGATATACTGCTGAAAATTTACAGGTTACCTGATTTTAATTATGCTCTTTCAGTTCCTGCTAACAAAATTTTCCAAAGGTGAACTGTTTTTGCGTTAGCAGAAAGCTGATAAAGTGTCTGATCAACTATAATAATTGCAAAAGGACAATTCATACTGGTTTGCATTCAGAAAAAGAAGACTAAAATTACTGTATCCATCTTCCATTACAGGGAACAAAAGCAAATGTAGAGGCTTGCTGCGTAAAGGAAAAGATTTTGAGGCAGAGCCCAAAGAGTTGCTGTTAAAAGCATACGATAACTTTGTTGAAGGAAAAAAGATTTTGATAGATGACAGAGAGGAGTTGACAGGTTTCACTTACTTTAGAGGCAAACAGAAGAGTAGTGACTCTTCAGTTGATTCTTCTCCTTTAAGCACAGGTACACCAATCTAGAGTTATAACTCTTTTTTCCTATTCACATGAAGATAAACAGGTTGAAGAAAATGAGATTTAGCATTAGAAAGCTGAATGATTGGCTTTAACAAGTGATTTAATAGTGACCTTATGATACATCATTTCTGCCTATGGGTAGACTGGTATCTACCACAGGCTAGTGAGCATGTTTGCCATTTCAATAGCTATACAAAAGGAGACCATGACTCCCTAGATGTGTAATGGCATCACTTTTCTACCTGGTAGCAGAGCCATTTCTCTGGGGTAAGAGGCAATCTACCTGACTGTGCAGTGTATTTACTGCTATGCATATACGGGTAATTTACCTGTACACGGAAACTGTGTAATTTAAAGTGTATGTTAAATTTTATTTGCACTGAATTTGTAAATTGCCAAAAATCAGTAAGCAACTTATTAATAAGTCTTTTATAACACATTCAACTAAACACCTTCAACATGTTCAAGATTTGGTAGAGTGGAGCACACACACGGCTTAGTCTTTAATAACTACCGGTACTCCACTGTTGTAATTTTGCAACTAAAATTTGAATTTTTAAGTGAATTCCCCTTCTGAATTTCTACAGGTGAGGACACATCAACAAGCTCTCGATTCACTGATAGTGGCAGTGTAAGAGTCACGGACAACACCAGTGCTGTCATTTCATTCAAGCTCCCCAGCATTCTAGAAAGCTGTGGTAGGCAACCACTGAGCAGTAGAAGAAGTATTAGCAGCAGCAGTGATGAAGCAGACACCATTCCATTCCAGAAAGGTCATTTTAGCCACCTTCAGAGGGGCTGTCAATCTACTCAAAAAGCATCTGTCAAGTCTACACCAGACGTTAAATCAGGTGAGTTGGGACACCCTCGGGATGTGACAAATTTGTCCGGTCCACAATTCTAGAGCTGGCCGCTTACGGGAATTAAAAAATACAGAGTTTTTATGGGAGTAAAAAAAAATGGAGTTTTGTGAAGGTGGCCGTAAGTAGAACTGTCCGCTTACGAGAGTGTCCATTAGGAGAGCTTCCACTGTATTTTGTTAAGCAAAACTCCCCTTTTTCATCTGACTTCTGACATGTTAGCCTGACAGTGTAGCAGGTGTGTCAGTTCTTTGTATTTTTTGTTTGTGGTGGTCTTAAGAGATGCAGCCGCGCAGAAGCTGAGCCGAGGTCAATCAAGAAAACAAGGAGGGACTGGGAAAGGGGAGAGGAAGAATATAGAGAGAAAGAGCTAGGCTTGGAGCTAGGCCTTCTTCCCCTCGCCCCCTCCCCCTTCGTTTTCGTCTTTGACCACAGTTCACAAAGGTTACTGATGTGTTTATTTATGAAATCTATTCAAAACTGTATCAGTCGCTGAGGTTTTTGTTAGGGCGCCACAGATGTGCCAGGAATAAAAAATAAATAAACATGGCAACTTCAATGTAAAAATGCTGGGACGCGAGGTGTCTGGTCCAGCGGCTATTTCCATATACTGGTACTATTTTACCCTTTGCTCAAACCACCATTTTTTAAACTTGAAACCGCAATGTTAAGAGTTAAAAACTTACAGGTTCACTTCTTGTTTCAACGCCTTTCAATCTGGTATTTTTAGGGTTGCGTCCTATAATTTTGGCATGAAATGGATCACGTGACGCTGAGCTGCAACCGGCTTATTTAATTACCGTAAATCAAAACTGATTGAACTTGTCTACTCCGCCTTCCTCCGTAGGTAGCAACAGCCTCGCTGCAAGCATGAATTTGTCAGTCCGGCGTAACAAGACGAGACGTGACTTTGGTCTGCCAGTGAGGGTGAAGATGACGCTTCCATCTGTCAAGGAGCCTGGTGACGATCTTGACGGTATCAGTGCGCTGGAGTTAACAGTGGATGAGTCTCAGCAAAACAGTCATCCTGAGATGATTTCAGCCGGTCAAGAAACAGCACCAACCAACGGTATTACATGTGTTGCTTCTACGGATCATACTGCAGATAGAAAAGTCGATGAAACGCCTCCTACTGGGAAGTCCCTCCACCCAACAAAGACTCAGAATCAGTTTAAAGGCAAACAGGACGAGTTTGAGGAGAGTGTATTCACATCACAAGCACAGGGTAACCAACTTCCTAGTCAGCAGCCAAATAACACCTTGCAAGAAGGTTCACAGACAATTCCAGCAAACCCTCTGTCAGCAACCTTAAATAATGGCATCAGAACACAGAATGATCATTCAAGTCATCGACAAACATTTCCACTTGAGCAAATTCCCACCCCTCAAGGATCAACTGCACTCGTCTCCAGCAGCTCCATTGGATCAAGCATGCTTCAGAGACCGAACTCAGGTTCAATGCCACCCAGTTTGGGGGACAGTGGTTCCTTCATTCAGCATCCTATCCCACAGGTCAACCACAGTGAACAGTTGCAAGCGATCCCAGGCCAGCTTCGTGGCAATAGTTTTGCCTCTGCATTCACGCCCGATATGCATTTTGTCAACCCAATGATGCCTATTGCACCAAAGGCTCCTCAGGGTATTATTGTCGTAAACGGTAAAAGTTACCAAAAGTTGGGAACTATCGGCAAAGGAGGCTCCAGCAAGGTGAGTACTTTGGGATCTACTTTACCCCAGAAATTGTCGAAATTCAACAAGATTCTTACCTTCAATGTCGCCAAAAAAATGGAAAAACCAACGGAAGCAAGGACTGCCGAAGAGGTATCATTTTAATTGACAAAATGGGGTGCTACTGAAAGTTTTAATACTACATGACCCCATATTTAGGATAGAGAGGGAAAAACCCTACCTCGTCTAGCGGCGCGACCCCTTGATCCCATATAGGGGACATCACCAAACCGTAGCCTCCCACACAGACGTTTTTTTTCCTTTTTTTTTTTTTTGCTCGTCACGCAATCCTCATCTGCGAGGGAGGCTAACCCAACCCTGAATAGCGCCTTTTTCTTTCCTTAAGGCTACTGTTGATTTAGCGCGGATTTAGGGGACTGGGCATTATTTGAGAGTCTTAAGTTTCCAATTTTTGCTTAGACTTTGCTGACTAATACAGTAGCCTTCCAGCTGTTTTGTTTTCAGGCTAGTTTGCGTTGCTCACTTTGTTTTACATTGTTTTCCCAACCAATCCCGTGAGGTTTTCTCAGAGAAGCAAGGTCGTCCCCTACTGCAAGTTACAGTTGCGGCAACTAAATTTTGCTGTTTGCTGTATACTCGCAAAAGTCGCCAAATTTAGTTGCTACGAGTAATAGTAGCCTTAGGTGGGTGTTTTTTCGCGTGCGTGCGATGTCACAAGTACCGAAATGTATTCTCTGCACAGGTATATCAGGTGTATGACGGCAAAAGAATTTGCGCCTTAAAGTATGTGAACCTGGAGGAAGCAGATGATTTTATCGTTCAGAGTTACGTTAACGAAATTAATCTTTTAAAAAGACTTCAAGGAAATGATAACATCATCAAACTGTTTGACTGGTGAGTACGGTAATGTTTCTAGTCCTTTCACACACGCACAGTGAGGAGCTTTAGCAAAGATTTCGGCGACGGCAAGGAGAACGTAAAAAAAAATAACAACAATAGGTGTAATCAGCAAAAAACAACTTTGCACGTTCAGCACACCTTTTTTGTACATTTCTTTGCCGTCACTGCACGTGCACGACGTGAAATTCCCTCAAGCGACGTTTTGTGGAGGGCGTAAACATAACGCAACGAACATAACTCTCTCCTCTTAAAGGGCCTGTTTACATGGAGTGGGGGACCCCGGTCTAGTGGGATTGGTTTCTTTTGTTTTCACGCTCTGGAGGACACAAAACAAAAGAAACCTACCCCAGTAGACCGGAGTCCCCCACTCCATGTAAACAGGGTCTTAAACTTGGGTTCGGTCTCCAAGAATTCAATTCGACGAAAATTCACCTATATTAGACATTTTCAGCGAATAGGAATAATCGCGACAAAGTTTCCGTCGCCGTAGTCGATGCTAAAGCTCCTTAAAATTCACTTTTGTGAGTGCGCAATTTGGTTGACCCAATATAAAGCGTTTCTTTTCCTTTACTTAATAGGGAGCTAAGCCAAGAAAAAAGCGCTATAATCTTAGTTATGGAGTGTGGCAGTATTGACCTTGCGGGCTTCTTGCGAAAAAACCGCAACAAGATGTCCAGAGGAGAACTGCAGGGATTCTGGAGGCAAATGCTGGAGGCTGTTCATGTGGTCCATCAACAAGGAATCATCCATAGCGACTTGAAACCCGCCAACTTTCTTCTTGTCGAGGCTCGTCTAAAACTGATTGATTTTGGGATCGCCCGTACATTGCAAGTAAGTAGTACCACACCCTTACAGCTTCGATGACGTAAGACCTCCTCAAAGGAAGAGTGATTTTTTTCCCACAGAAAAGCAGCAACAACAACAAAAACAGTGTGTAGGTCGTGGTTCAGTTTTTATCCTTGGTTGAAATTTTATTTCCCTTCGTTTTTGGTTACGTTAATGTATGATAACGAGTTTAAAAAGAAGGGGAAATAAAATTGAAACCAAACATAAACGTAAAGCACAACATATACATGTTAAACGACAAGTCGCAGTGGAGGTTACGCGGACATTCACACGCTCAGCTACACTGAATCGCAACAAAGGTTTGGAACCAATTTTTTTGTTGTTTGAAACGGTTGATCAACCAGGACGCGCAAACCAACCGAAAATGGCACACCCTAATCAAATAATCATTGGAGCAGTTTGAGTTTCTGGGAAATTGAGCACCTACCCCTCCCCTATAAACCAACATTTTGCCGTAAGTGAGAAGTAAGTGTTCATGTTGACTTAGGGGAGGGGTAGGAGGTCAGTTTCCCATATGCTGATCCCATCTCTGTGTATTGCGCTAAACTAACCAGTGCTGTTTGCCGTTCGCAATCATGTGGGTAATCGTGTTATAAAATCATAATTCTAAACTTTGCGGCTAAAAACTGGAAGAACTGTGATTTCAAATGAAGATATGGTCGTCGCCGTGGTAATTTTAATTTAGGCAATTACAAATTAACCCGAAGAAAATTTCGGGACTTCAGCGGTTAGTTGTTATGTACCTTCATTAGTGTTGTCTCAGTGCTGTGGGAGTGCTTGTGTACAGGTTGAAGAGGCACATGCAAATCATTGCAAACCACATAGTCATTAAGCTGGGCAGCAACAGCTTTTTCAATAAGTTTGGAAACATACCTGAGATTGGACACTGAACGAAAGTCATCAAAAACCTCAGGGTCAGTATTGGCTTTCTTTAGCAAAGGACGAATCATTGCGCATTTTAGTTACCTTGAAGTCTCACCAGTAGTAAGTGATAAGTTAATAATCCTCGTAAGCAAAGTTACTAAGGTAGAATAACACCTGGCCACGATGGATGCTGGTAGAGGGTCAAGTGAATGTCCACGACTTAATTGATCCAGACTTGATCAAAACCGAGTAACTCTGTTAAACGTTAGCGGTTCAAGAAACTTGAATTCTGAAACACAGCTTGAGCTCAAGCAATTAACATGAGTTGTGGTTTTGTCATTCCATTGGCAGACCGGCCACGCGCGATTTTCCCGCGGATACGTTCAATCTTCAGCACGAAAAGTCAGCAAACACATTAGAAAGTTCAGCACCATTACTGGGTTTTGGATAGCAAGCTTTAGAGTTCCTGTGCAGAAGCATATTCACAGACTTAAAAATTATAGAAAATTGAGCCGGCGGAAATTTCATGACAACCTCCCGTGTGAATTCACTGCTCATTACGCATGCAGGAAAGTAGAGCTAAATCTGAAATCTGCCACTACCAACGGATTCAACTTTCAAATAAATTCATTACTGGAATCTTGGGGGGTACGCTTGACTTGGCTTGACTGTAATGGTATACATGTAAATGCATGGGTTTTCTTACTTGACCTGCAGGGAGACAAGACAAGTATAGAGCTTGACACACAGGTTGGGACGTTGAATTTTATGTCCCCAGAAGCCTTTCAAGATATTTCTCCTCGTTTTGATAAGACAGGAAATGCTAAACCAAAAATGAAGGTAAGTTTAGAGTGCTTACTTTCCCTTGAAGCACAGCCATTCATTTTAATTTTTAATTTAGCGGTTTGCGGTGGAGAGTCTTCATGAGTATTTCCGCCAAAAATCGCATTGCCATTCCGAACAAGTTTGACCACTTTTATTGTATAATGACGGCAAAGAAATCTGCCAAAAAGTGTGCTGCATGCTTAGAGTTTTCTATCTTCTCTTTCGTCGTCGTCCTTGTTGGTCGAGCTCGCTAGTAACGTTACAACTCAAGACAATTCTTGATATGCCACGATTTCGTTGATGGGAAACGCTCGACGAAAACGGCACGACGTCCCCAGGTACCCGTCGAGCGGCTCAGGGGCCCGTTTCTCGAAAGTCCCGATAATTAACGGGCCCGGTAAGCTGCCTCCGTTGACATTAAAGATCGAGGTTTCAATAGTTTGGCATCTAACACGATAAAACTGTCAGTTAATGAAACAAAATGGAGTAGTTTGCTAGCCAAGAGCTGCGCTCTTATTCTTTATATTTCGATTTGAATATTTTATTTCGGGCCCGTAAAGTTACCGGGACTTTCGAGAAACGGGCCCCAGTCTTGCTATCGTACATTCTCATCTGCATGACACTTGGGCTCATTTTCCGCCATGCTCTCTCTCTCCATCTCTCCCACCCTTCCGGTCGGTCCGGTCTTGTCCCTTCCCGAGAAGAGCGCGCTCAGTTCGCGAACAGCGGCTGGGAATAGAGCCAACACGACACTTAGCTTTTTCCCTTCTCTTATCTGACAAAAGATTGGCCGACCTAGTGATGTATGGTCTCTTGGATGTATCCTTTACATGATGGTGTACGGTCGCACACCGTTCCAACATATTACCAATCATCTTCAAAAGCTGCAATGTATTATGGATCCTTCTTACGTCATCGAGTTCCCGGAAATCAATGACAAGCACTTATTAGATGTCATACAGGTTTGTTTAGTAATCTGTTCGTGTTTTACTTATTTACAGTGCATTTATTTATTTACATATTTATTCATATGTTAATTTATTTTTATTTTTTCGTTACATGTAACAATACCGAAAACTGATCTACTTTGTCTTTTAGTCCTCACCACACTCATTTGTAACCCTTACATTGTTACATCGTTATGGTCATTCATCTAAGACAGAACCTGCCGTAAGATTTTTGTCAAACTTGACCAATTGCCTTTTTATGTTTTAGAATCTTAAATTTTGATATATAATCAAGGGTCCCTTGCTCGTTTAGGATCAGGAGCAACTTGTACGTACCGAAAGATTCCTTAAAGGGGCTCTGTGAGACGGAGGCGCGGTTAAGGGCTTATTACGGCTTCGCTTAATGTACTGTAAGTCATCTTTGGAGATCCCAGGAGCATCATTTCGGTACGACGAAATTTTCATGGAAAAGTTACGATTTCAGCAAAAAATATCTAGTCCTCCAGAATAGCTGCTCTTGGGTCTCCAGGGATGAATGCAGGTTTGACCATAGCTTTAACGGCCGCACTTGAACTTGTTGATTTTCAGGGCTGTCTTCGCCGCAGTCCCAAAGAGCGCTACACCATTCCGCAGCTTTTAGCTCACCCTTTCATCAACTCCTCAGCCCAAGGGAATACATCCTCTTTTTCAGACCCTTCGGTGGAAATAGACTCGGATAGAATGTTTGACTGCCTGATGGAGTTTGCTAAGGCTGATGTCAACTCTCCTCGATCAATACGAGCTCTCAGTCAGGTAACAATTTGCACTGTATGATTTGTAGTGCTGAAAGTTTTCTTATAGACGTTTTCACGTTTTCTCATATCAGAAGTTCACAACGGGTTGAAACGTGTAACTTGCGCTCAATCCTCGTGAATATTCACTTTTTTAAGTACCATATTTGGGAACACTCGCTGCGGCCTCAAACAAGTAATGGGTTTAACAACGACTTTGCACGTGCATCACGCTTTTTGTACATTTCGTCCCTCTGCCGTCACGGCACGACTATAGGGTGTAAACAAAAGACATGTATACGGACGAGACTTTCTTTTTCTTTTCCTGAACTTAGATACAGTGTTTAAAATTCAACTCCAGAAAAATGTGCTAACATTTGTCAAACTGAACGAGACAGAATAAACATGATAAAAGTCTCTAACGAAGTTTGATTGGTCAATATTTTTTCTTCTCGTTCCTTTGCGAAAATGAATATTTACGAGTATCGGACAAAGGAAACACATGAGAGTTGCACGTTTCAACCCCTCATGAGTTTCTACTCTTATATATAGTGAGCAATAGACCGGAAAATAATAAAAATAGAGTAGCTACGAGTATCTTGTGGTTCTATTTTATCTTTGGTTTAAATTTTGTTTTCTTTTGTTTAAAAGTCATTTTCATACATTATCATACCCAAAAACAAAAGAAAATAAAATTTAAACCAATGATAAATTAAATCGCAGCATTTATCTAATGACTACAGTACAGTTAGACGAAGATGGTAGAAAGCCCGCAAATAACATTCGTAAGTTTTGTTTTCAGTTTAAGGTTGGCCAAACATACATCTGGTTTCAAAAACCTCTTTTGACAAGTGTAAGCTGCAAAGAAAGTCCACTGTCGCCGGGCACTGGGCTGAGTAAGGTCTGGGGTTGAGGCTTAACTGTTAGTGTTTTATTATTATTCACCAGGGCTTCCTTAAACAGCTGCGTGCTGGAAATAAAATCAGTGTCTCATCAGCTGTACCTGGCAAGCACCATATTCATGTCAACTCCCAGCATGCAGTGCCATCGATTCAGGTCCCAGGCCCTGCACTCCGTCAGCCGTTGGCTGGAATTGACGTTCAAGCATTAAGTCAGGCACACAATGCACTGAAACCTCCTCACGTGTCAGGGAACGACAAGTACATGAGATGGAACACAGTTGAACGTGATAAGGTATTTTATTAACGTTTATAGGTCGCGTTCTCGCTGTAAAAGACTGCCTATAAGTATTCATATTGTAGCTAATAGAAAGATTTAGTAAAGACAAGGTGACGACAGTGACGGCGGCGCACGCAGATCTAAGGACCGGCGGACTGACCAATGACAGAGCGGCAAATTGTCCACGGGAAGTAGTGCTCAGTCCTTTCCACGCGCTTTCGCGTTCTTTTTTCGTTGCTTGCTTTTTACACACACTATTTGCAGTTAGCCATTACGACACTAGACTACGAGTAGTCCCCCATTTTTCCTCAGGGATAGTAAAGCGTGCGAAACGCGAGCGCGCGTGAAAATCACCCCACGCGAGAAAAGGTGACACGCGGCGGGGAGAGAGAAAAACGACGCGCGTCGCCTCTTCTCGCGTGGGGTGATTTCACGCTCGCTCGCGTTTCGCACGCTTTACTATCCATGAGGAAAAATGGGGGACTACTCGTAGTCTATTACGACACCTGACGGAGGATCATGAGGTTATTCCTATAATAAGGTCTCTAATGACAATTCACCCGGCCCAGGAAAGGTTGGTCACACCACCAGGGTCTACGTCCCCTACTCTTTTTGAAGAGCGGTATGGTTCTTTTTTGTCTCATAAGAACCAAATTAATGAAAGTGCTGTGATGTGGGACTTACAGTTTCTCGTCCTTATCCGAGAAGATTAGAGAGTCTAACCGTTTTGCAAATTTCATTACAAAGGCAGCACTTTCCTCTCAGTTATTAAAAGACCTGAGTGTTGGTCCGGCTGGGTATTAAACCCCCGACCCCCGCTCAGAAGACTGGCGCTCTCCCAGCTGAGCTAACCAGGCGGCGGTTTGCTCAGTAATCTCCTTTGCTAAATCTGCCTTTGTAGTGAGACGTTCTTTTAACTTTGTTGTAGAATTTTATTTTATTTTATTTTTTAGGGGACTGCAACTGTGGATAGTCGCTATAGTACTTGCCCTGTTAATAATTGGCGTGGAATGTTTTAGAGTCTGCTTGATGTTTTTCTTTGTCGTCCTTGGCGATTCGAAGACCTTCTGAAACGCAGTTCCCAATAATAATGAACCAAATTTTCTGAGCATTTAACTTCTTCATTCTACATATTCAGTTGTAGATTTTTATCACCCTTTTATTGTTTTTGAATAGGAAAATGCAGATCTAAACGCTGTGTTGAAGCGTGAGCTTGCCGAAAAGTATAGAAATGCAGTTCCTGCTGACATGTCCGAGTCAACATTTGGTAAGTACTGTCAAGAAGGTTTTCACTGTGGTTTTCTCTGTGGATTATTATTATTTCATGCAACTCGCCTTTAGAATAAGCGCTTCATAATGGATTCAGTGAAAATCAACCATTGCAAAAAATAAAATAAAAGTGTGTTGATTGCCGTAGAAAATAATGGAGCTGTAAACAGTTGAAAAAGATTTTTCCTAAGGATTCTGGTGATCGAAGCTAGCCCTTTAAAGACGATGGTTAAGGATTTTTTTTACTTTCTGTTGGTCGCTTAAGCGTAATCTAGAACCAAGTTAGAAATATGGAACCTGAACTGAAAATATTTTTGTCTGTGTTACAGAACAGTCATGGAATACAACGACAGGAAGATGAATAGTGCACTAAAATCAAGAAATCGACGCTGGCTTGTGATAATTTAGGATGTTTTATTCAGACCCTATGTAATATATGTTTATCTGCTAAGTGCCATACTGGTTCTCCCAAACTTCAGTATACCTGCCTTTAATAAAAATAAAAATACGAGAACTCGTATACGAGGATTTTGGACTGGCTTAAAGGAGATTTGTCACGAAATTTATCGAAATTCAAACGGTGAGAACTGCCACTAAATTGACTGGGAAAAAAAACTCTCAAAGAAGGTATACAAGTAACACAGTAAATACAAAAAAACCACGGATGAGCAAACTGGAAGAAGACTGAAACGGATTGCTATTATCTAACAGTTTTTCAAAAGGTTCATTTCAGTTCTTTGTAACGTTATTTATATATATGATAATTAGCCTTTGTGACCTCGTTAGCATGTGCCAAATACAAAAGTATTCTTACTTTCATTTCACACATATAAAAGAAAATATAAATAGGCGGCCATTATGAAAGGGGTCTATACTAAGACGTGAATAAACGTTAGTAGAAGGACAGCAGCAAGTGTAAATAAAAAGCTGTGTTTAATAGATGTTAAGCAGTGTATTTTACTGCTTCCTGGCGAGGGAAATGAGGATTAGAGAAGTGAAGACTGGTCCACACTTGCTATGTAAGGGTGGTTATAACCTTGTAAGAAATAGAAAATCGCAATCGTAGGCGAGAATTGTTATTAAAAAGGGACTGTAACCATCAGCCATTTTGATTTAACTAAATGCACTCCATTTTACTAAATTCCGTAAAAATCGAGGTAATCTTGATAGAATATTTGATCTTTATATAAAGGATGCTTAGGATGCAAAACAATTTATAAGATATCAAATTTCGGGAAAAATGAACGTTGTTGAAAATTTAACTCAGCGTTAGTCGTTTGGTCATTTAATTTTTTTTCCCAAATAAGAAATTAGTAACTTTCTAAAAAAAAAAAAGCCTGGATTTTATTAACAGCTAAAATGACTTTGACAGAGTTGTAATATTCTTAATGATGTAGTACTAAACAATTCAATAAGTAAAAATAGAAATAAATCCTTTTTTATAGAAAAAATGTAAATTTTGAAAAACATGGCTGTCAAAACTCCGTTGTCATGGTAGAGTCACGCACACGACGACTTTAAATAATTTAATTCCAGAGAAATTTTCGGAAATAACGCTAAGTTTAGCGGTCATTGCTTTAATGGTATTGAAGTTATTTAACTTCTTAGCGAGGGGTGAGTCAAAAGCTCCCCGGGGTGGATAGAGTTAATTGTGCGTTACCTTAGGTGATGTTTACTTTCGGCTTCCGGCACTGTAATATAGTACGGAAATACCCCTCTTACATTTTCGACTTGACGGGTATCACGTTAATCAATTAATTCACTGCTGCAGTTTCTGATTGATTTTTCATTTTGAATCAGTCAAAAAATAACATTCTTCATACATAGGGTTTATAACTCAGTCCAACTAAAACCAAAGCTGGGCAATAATTCCTTCCGTTCGAAGTCCTATGGGTTGTTGGCTTTTCAAATATAGCTAACATTGTTTGCTAAACTGTCTCGAATAACTTTTAACTTGTTAAATGCGTGTCGTATGGACAGCTGGTGTCGATGTCGAAACAAATGGCGATGATAATCTTTTCTTCGTCTTCAGAGTAAGACAAATTTGTTGGTTACTGCGGTCTACGCTGAAAATACGAATTTTCACCCGTGCAGGTCAAAAAACTCGTATCTGAACAAAACAAAGCGACTGTGTTGATTCTTTTCTTTACACGCACCTTTTGCTCTACTGGCTTTATCATTGCTCATGATCGATGAAATTGCTGACAAATACCCCCTTAAGAATATTTTCGGCTAAAATTCAAAATTTTTCTAAATTAGCTCATTAGCTTTACAATGCGATAAAGCATTTTTGCCTCCAACAAAATGATAATTTCTAATTCAACGAAGCAGAAAATACGAGATCTCGTATAATTTACATAATATTTATTTCGGATCACCCCGAATAAATAACATAATGTTTTCCAGTATTCATTTGTGTTATTCACTCACCGCCCAAATGTTCTTCTTTTTTAATTTATCATCTTCAAGTCTTTGGATATTTTGATTTTTGGGATTTAAACTCTGACTTCATCGCTACTGAAAAGATAATCATGGCGCATAATTATTCATTGAAAATTTGTGAAGCAAACAAAGGCGATAAGGTATATTTATACGTTGTACGACCTGATAATGCTATTTAGTCGACCAATTTTAGAATATTATGATATAGCAGTTTCAACGTATTAGAAAATAAAAAGACTGAACTGTTTGCTATTTTCAGCCCTTTCAATAAAACTTTCGATGAGAACTACAAACCAATTTCGATATCCTCAATGTCATACTTGAGGATTGCTTTAAGAGGCGCTATTGGCTATCTTTTTAAAGGCTAAAACGGTCTCGGGATCAGTTGAATTTCAAAAATAATATTTCATTTTTGTTTTTAAGAGTATTTTTAAGCATTGAAACTGTTCGCTGTCTTCTGTTGCCTCGGATGGCAAGGATTGACATGAATTGAAACTTGAAAAAATTGGACCAGCTTTTTCAAGTTTAAATGTTATGCTCGCAAAAAATCACCAAAAAATTATTTTGGTTAGTGATTCTTGATGAAATTTGCCTGATATTTTCGTCAAAACTCTACAGGAGCATTCTGTGTATAGTTAAGGTACTAAATAATTATTACCGCAAAGAATTGACCTAAAACAGCAATACTCACATAACATAGCCCCTTTAATTTAACCCAACGATATGTTCACTGTCTGCAAGTTTTTGGTTTCCACGGCAACAGACCAAGCGTTTCCTCGATCTAAATTTAGAAATACTTCGCTAAAAATAACACCAAAGCATGGGCAAGATTGCTGATTAGAAGTATGCGTAGGTGGAACAGAAAAATTGAAAAGCAAATTTTGCTTTTGAAAAGAGTTATTTTGAAAATAACTTTTTTCGTGTCACGTTTACTTGTAAAGCACATTGTTGATTCAGATTCACCTGTTTTGAAGAAAGCAATAGCCAGTAAGCTGACATTATTTTCAGTCTATGTGTACCAAGTCCGTTAAAAGCACGATTGCGTTTCTAACTCGAAAAGCAGATGCCATTCAAGTAAGCCAATGACACTGCAGTATTTTATGATTTCCAGAAATTAAAGGATATCGTCAACTAAGCATTTTCGTATTTTCAAAAATAGCAATATCAAAGAAGAAAAGGAGGAAGAAGTAACTAGCAAGAATTTCAAAGACCTGCGGCTCCGATAATAATGTGGCTGGTTACCGTTCATTTTGAGGTTCACTTCATGGACGTATTGGAGACATCAAGCGTGTTCGCTGTTCTGATGGTTGCTGCCATCTTGTTGGTTAAGCGCGGGTCACGAAAATTGAAACCAAATAGGAATGGAAGATCTTCTGTTTTTTGGGAAAAAAAGCCAATTCCCGAGGAAAATGAAGAGGACAACTTCTTCCAGGTAATTTATGAGCCCGCAAAAATAATATTAGAGAGTTTTCCTTCTATTCTTTTTCAAATGCATCAAGTTTGAAGAACTTTCTAGTCATCTGTGCAGAACAAAGAAGGTCATTATAATGTTTAGTAGTAGATCTATTTAATGTACAGTTAATTTTTCCTTTAACTCATAGATAACAGAATAAATGTGAAAAGAAGACTGAATAGCACATTGAAAAAAGGAAAACACCCAATCAGCAGCTTTTATACATTTCCCTAACTGAATGACCTTTTCCTGTGCCTATAATAAGCCGGGTTTCCCTATAAACTATTATAAGAGCTAGTCTGCCGCGGTCTATGATACCAACGGGCGTATCCCAGGCTATCATATACACCACAGATAAATTTTACCATTTATTGAGTCATCGCAGACAAGCTATTTTGGTATAAATAACTTGATTTGGGTTTGGCAGATCATGATCATGAAAACCAGGCTTTACTGTCTTGTAAGTCTACTTTTGTTTAATTTCAGATTTCCTACGGTCCCAGTTCTACAGCCTCGTCTACAGATCTTGAAGAAATAAAAATTGACAACAATAATCTATTAATTTCGAAGGAATATAAACTTCTTTGGAAGGACGCCTTACACAAAGCGCTCTAACAACAACTTTGTTTCGATCTCCCAGCCAGACTCAGTGATGTTAGCATGTTTCAATGGCGCTATTGCTTTTATGTACACTAAATAAAACATCGACTACGTAAACTCACCTGTACAAAATGTTTAATTAAACATATTTTGCTGATTTTAAAAGAGAAGCGATAAATTGAAAAATGACTGGTTTGATGAGAAAAAAGTGTGGATATGTATAAGTTTTATCTTGTTAATAGCCTGTGTATTTAAAATATTATAAGAAACAAATTCAGTCACCGCTTGTCAAGTTAATCGTTATCCAGTGTAAAATTCAGTTTAAAACGCAACATTTCCCTCCAAACGTGTTTTACAGGAATTCCATTAATTTATTATTATTACATTCGCATTTAATCGGGCGCTAAAAAAATTAAAAGTTAAACAAAATATTAAAGTTAAATATAAGGCTGTTTGTTCGTGCTCATGGAATCAACTCCAAAATCTCTTGTGTAGCAATTTATTGCTTTTCAGTTTTGTCAAATCTGGATGAAACACATCCACTATCTCGATCTTTTCTAGTGTCTTCGAAACCCCGATGGAAGAGAAGAACGACGGTGCACGTGTACGCGGCGCTTTTTCGAAAGCAATCTGTGCTGGAATCAGAGCAACAAGCCGTCTTTCAAACTGATCAGTTGTTCTAACAACTGGAGATAAAATTACCTCCCTAGCTAATCAAAATCGAACTTTTTGCTGGATCATTCGTTTTTGAGTCGTCTATAACTGTCCTTAGAGAAAAAGTAAATCAACTTGTGCACTATTAACCATTTTGTATATATTTCGCAATGGACCGGGTACAAGCAAAATGTAACTGCCGCAGGAATATTAGCTCAGTCGGTAGAGCGCTTGACTGCAGAGCGGAAGGTCGCGGATTCGATTCCCGGGGCCGGACCAATAATCAGGGTCTTAAAATAACTGAGAAATGAAGGTACTCCCTTTGCTCTGCAAGCGGCTTGACCTTATAATTCGCGTACGTAAAATGGCCGTCCCGTCTCCTCTTGGAGAC